CGATCAATGGCCGCGTGGCCCTGACGATGGCGAGCGAAATATCACGCAAAATCGTGCGATCATTATTTAATCCTTAAAGAGCGCCGCTTCTATCGGGCTGACGGTAACCTTCTACCTCGGAAATTAAACGGCCAATTTATCGCTCCGAATTGCAGCACGAGTCGCGCGAGTCGCTGCGCGAAGCGCGCTAGCGACGATCATTGTGGGACATCCCACGCGCTTGTGGGACTTTGGAGTTTTGTGAATGAAGAGGTGTACACAATATACCAAGGCGGAGCCTACGAGCTTGCCAAAAAAGAAGCGGGGTTATTTTGGCACTCGACTAAAGTCGAGTCGAACAATCTCTCGATTTAAATGAAGATAAACACAAGAGGGGGAGGAGCGCGTATATACGTGTGCGTGACGACACACGTGTGACGTCGCAGGCGGCTAGAGCGAAACCGACGCACGCTACGCGCGCGCACGCGCACACACACACACACACACACACACACACACACACACACACACACACACACACACATATATCACGATACAAAACAGGCATTATTATAAATTGCCTTTTGAAAGTACATGGCACGGGAATCCGACATTGAGGGATTAACGATGGAAAGCGGCACGCGATGAAATTATCAAAGCCGGTAATAAATGATCGGATTTTTAAACGCAGGCTTCAGACGGGGGCGAGCAACAATGCCGTACCGTTAGCGTACAGGCGCACAATCATACGGGTGTTGCGAGAATAAATAACTGCAACCTACTTAAGAGCCTTCGTTACACGCTACTCGTACGCCAAAGCACATCAATCAGAAACACGAGCGCGTCGTCTCGCGCCTCGAGTGATCGAGTCAACAGACTCGTATTGTCCAGGTACGAGAGAGAGAGAGAGAGAGAGAGAGAGAGAGAGAGAGAGAGAAAGAGACGAAATAACTACTCGATATAATGAACCGTCATGATCACGAGGTTTACCTCGGGATCAAACTTGTGAACTCTCCCCGACTCCCGTTGCCGAGAAACAGCGGCTCGTTTCTCCTGAAACGCAAAGCTCAGAAAATAAATATTCCAAGAGATTCGGAGGAACGATACGGAAATTGTTTATGTGAGCCGTGCTTATCTTGCCGGGTCTCATGCATGTCTGATCAAGTTGTGACACAATGTACGTCCGATCCCTTTCGACGAATTCGTACAGGCTTTACATTTCAATGGAGATCAATATGCAGAGTCTCAGTCATGTGTCGTTCGTTATTTATAACCGATCGTCGTGAAGTTCGCAGAGTCAATGTCGTTGCAGCTGATTGCAGCTGATAATAATGAAACGCGTCCCTCCTGAAAGCGCGCCGATAAGAATCGCCGATTGGGACGGAATAGTTATCAGATAACGGTGTAATGGCCTGTTTTGCACAAAAATACACGAGCGGGTATTCGTATTCCGGAAAGGTCTCGTTAAAATGTTGAAACTGACCGTGAAACTCGACTCGAACGACTCAAGTGTAATGCGACGTTGCGTCATAACATTACGAGCGCGCTACAAAGTGCCGGATCATTATAACGTGCACGCATACGCGCCTGTATGTGCACGCATCGTGAGGATAAAGACGAGAAAGAAGTTGAGGATCGTCGGGGGAGAATTTATATTTTGGACGAGAGAATTTATTTCAAAGAGAAAGAGATAGGATAGAGCGAGAAAGAGGGGAGGGAGAGAGAGAGAGAGAGAGAGGAAGAAACGGGAACCGGTGCGTTTCCATAAACGCGGCGTAATCAGCCGACTTCCTTCCGTTAAAAAGCCGCTGAACCATGCCGGCACACGTGAGACCATCTGGCGGATACGAAAAGCGACCGATGTAACTTACAGCGCGGCGAGAAACCGCGCAAAGCTGTATATATATCAAGCGGACTCTATATATATATATATATTACCGTGCCTCTCGGCCGCATCACACATATATGTGTATACCGCCGAGATACGCGCGAATGTGTAACGTTTCTGAACAGCAATTACGCAGCGACAATTACCGTCAGTAGTTACGATATTGTTGCGTGCAACGTCAAAACAACAATTATCCATCGCTCAGCGCGCTTTGTGTCAGGATCATCGAGCCGAAGGCTCGCGTCGTTGCAGACGCAATGTTCAAAAGAGGGCTCAAAAGACGGTAGCCTAATCTCAAAAATAACGAGTGAGCATCCTCCCCACGCATGGTTTGAGAATTGTACGAACGGCTTCCTACGACGCTACCGATAAGCTCAATAATGAGCTCGTAAGTAGAGATAAAATTGCATCGTTCCACAAGACCTTCCGTCCCTCTCCGGGGGGTGGGGGGTTTAAAAAAATTTATGACGTCACTCTTTTGTGTACATGTAAAATCAAAGTGCTGTTAATGAATTATATAACGTTCTTGTATGTAGCGATCTTTCCCGGCGCTTATCGCTGAATTCTTTATCGCCGCCGATACACTCTGCAATAATGCAACGGAATCGAAATCGATAGTAGATCGCGCGGACATCGGCGCGATAAAAGGGACTCGCAGCTGTGGTCACGCGAAACGAAGGCGTGCCGGCAGTTCTACAGGACAACTTTACGATTTACGTCCGACCGAGTCCGCGATCGAGCCAATATCCTCCGTTCAGCGTGTGGAAATCCGAGGCGAGGTTAATCGCAGTGTGCTCCTTAGGCTCAGAAGCCCCCTTCGCGCCGCAAATATCTGCTCGCGTTGGAAAGATGTTCGCGCGCGCGCACGCGCGAAACAAAACGGCAATCTTATCCGGCAGGATCTGCGACACGCCGCGGAAATCACAGCGAGATAAAAATGTGCGCACTTATCGTCACCCGAGACCGAGGCGGTTGTGTAATTCAGACATTGAGACTTCGGACAGGCGGTCTAAAGTATATAGTCTAAAGGCTACAAGTCTTCGAGTGCACGAATGTGCAGCGAACCGGTGCAGCAAAACTTGCATTGTTATACGGCGCGACGGTGGATAGTTGATCTCGTTACACGTATTTACTACATCAGGACTTGATATCAGAAAATATCAATATCCATTCCTCGCGATAAGTTCACTCGGTCTGCGTCGTTTTCAAGTTTAACTACTGACCAACCTCGCTTCTTGTTATTTATTCTCAACGGAGAATGTGCTAGTAGAATGTGTAAAAAGCGTAGGCGTGTGTGACAGAGGCAGCGATTTCAACATTTCAGTATCGTCTTCCGGAAGTAAGGAGAAAGAATCTGATATAAATGCGTTATCTGATTACAGTCTAGAAAACATGTAGGCTGTTACTCATCGTTTTCCACACCTTTTTCCATACCATACCCCAAGAGTGTAACTCTGAGCTCCGGACGATTATAAATAGCCGTAGAGTAGTTTGCGCGTCATAAAAGTCAGATTAGTGACTTGAGACAAAGTTCGTCACAAGACAAGAGAACGTAAGCACGACGCTTGCAATAATATAATTCAATATCTCCCATATATCTATGTAGTCTTAGAAAATAAAGAAAGGTAAGCGATATTCGAGAACCTTTATACCAAGACTTTTTAAGAAACGCGACACCGGCCGACGACGTCCCTGTCTGCTTCAGCACTCACTCAGAATGTCTCAGAGTTATATCCTTCTGCCGCCGCAGGATTCCCCCAGCCGGAATCGACATTTCCTTAAGAAATATCTCGATCTCAGAAGCTACATCTCACTACGTTTTTAATAATCAACGCAACAATTGCGCATTTGTAAGCAATTTTCTTGCTAAAATTCCAAATTCCAATGAGAAATCTAGCCGTGCTCTTTGCAATGTTGACGCGAACATTGGACACAAATTGCAAAAGTCGCGGAATATCTTAAAGGACTCGCGTAACTCGCGATCTCTCGAGACATACCGAGACCAGTTTCCAGTTTGATAAAGACAGCGGCTGGCTATCGTGAACACGTCTACATTGTACCCTGACAAATGACGAAGCGGCATGAACGAACGGCCGGCAGCAGCAGCCAGCGAGAGCACGTTGCAGGCCTCGCACGCGCGGCGCGGTGGCGCCGCGGCTGACGTGCCGCGACGTCGAGGATCGTCGCGCACAGCGGCGCGGCGGCGGCGGCGGCGGCGGCGCGAGCACGTTCGTGATACGTACATACGTAGGTGTGCGAGTCGCGAATCAGCCGGTGTGAAATTCACGAGGACGATCTCGCACGAGGGCTAAGCAGGATCGAAGGGAGACAGCGAAGGAACTCGCGCGAAGATGCGAAAGACTGAGACAGATAACGGTAATCTCTCAGGCGGCCGGGGACGTCGTCGCGCGGAGTCGACGCAAACCGCAAGGCCGTCGGCGCGTGACCTTAATGAGTAATCAGTCCGGCAGCTCGGCCGACTCGGGCGTTAATCGTGCAATATTACGCAAAGCTGTGCGAATTGATCCAACCGTCCGACCGACCGCAAAATCGTCTCGGCACTGTCAAACGCGCGTTGAGCCAACACATCTGATAAGCGACAGGAAGAACGACCAACGACGGCGATGACAGGCACCGTGGACGGGCGACGCGACCACGTCGGGGTGTCGCGGAGCTCGTTCTGAGCCGACGTACGCAAGCCTGGAGCGAATGCCGGGTTCGTGTACGTGATTTTCTCGCGGACGGCTCACGGCGCTCAACGTGCACGGTGCGATATCGCTCGACGATGTGCGGATACGTGCGTGCATGCGGACGGACGGCGGGACCTTGTGGCAATTACGGGACGCGGTGCGCCGCCACGGCGACGTACACGGCCCGGTAATGCCGGGCTGCCGCGGCACGGCCGGATCGCGGCGAGTAAAGGGACACAATGCGCCGACAAATACCTCGTTTCTCGACGAGCTTCGAAATCTCCTCCCTGTTGTCAGCCATCTTAGCACCAGTCACTGTCCCACAATGCACGTTGGGTAAAAACAAACGAGCCGAAGCCGCACCGCGGCGCCAGCGATTCGCAGCTGCAGCGCCACCTGCTGTGTCGCGACCGAGTCAACGCCTGTGTGTCCCAGGGCCGTGCTACGCGCCGCAGAGCACACGGCGCGCGCGCACACGGCGAAGCTTCCGATACTTTTTATCATGATCGTTACATCTCAATGGTATCTCATTAATATTCACTCTCCTCCGATCTTTTAATGATGAATGATATTTCCCGATTTTTGCTCAATCGTGCAAATTATCTCGAAACTTTGAAAATACTTTGCTTTTACGAAATAACTATTTTATCGATGCACTTAACGACTTTTGACACAATAATGTTATCATAAAATCGTTAAAGAAACTCAAATGTTTATCTACTAACGATTAATATAAGGATACTTTGTAACACGTGACCAATAGGTCATATTCTCGATTTGATAATCTTGCTTCATCGAACGTGTTCTTTATATGAAATTCAATATTAAATTCATATATAATCGCTTTTTCATTTTATGCGTCATTCTTGTAAAAATCTCGACTAAAAGCGTATCGATCTTTATGTAATCAATAAAAATCATTTTGCATACCGTCATGTAATATGTATGTCATAATATATATATAGTGTGTCATGTATATATTTGCGTCGTGCATATATTTGCATGATATATTTATGCAAACGTTGAGAATGATAACAAAAAGCAAAGTTGATAAAAAAAAATAGTAAATTTAAATATACGCATATGTCGCTTTTCTTATGTATAGTTTCATCGAAGCCTTATTCCAATGTATAAAACATGCGACATAATCATACCGTTTTAGAAAACAAACTTAATATATTCAGAAGTAGTAGCCAAGTTCCCCTCCTTGAATACTTTTCTTTTCTGCCGTACAGATATATATTCGTGGCATGACACACTTTCATAAAACAGCCGCTCCTGGCACCAGATCGTCCACGCTTATATACTTCCGTTAGGCCGTGCCACGCACGATCCACGACGGCAGTCTTCGTGCGCTTTTCCATGGAATAGGTGGTGTTTGCTCAAAGTTCGCAATATGGGTGACTGCGACGTTGTGATTGTCTCAGCTGTTAGAACTTGCATAGGTAACACCGGAAAGAATAACGTGCAAAGTCAATCAGACATTAACCGAATCATATGCAGCAACTTGTAATACAAACTTTAAACAATTAACTTAATTTGGATCAATCACAAATATAAAGCTAATTCTAAAAATACTTTATGTGTAAATTAATTCTTTAGGAATGATTGTAAACAATAGGTTCTTCTGTGTATATTTATCCAATTCTGGTATATCTGCTGGAAAATCATACATGTGCATATAACATTGGTACAGTAATTATATATATAAAATCTTATATACGAATAAAGTATCTATATAATAAAAGATATATTGTATTACAAGAGGACAGATATATCTTGTCTGAAAATTCATACGAAATAATGTGTACTCATATCATATGTAATCATATATATCACAAATGTACAGATTACTATACTTCTTAATACTCAAGTTGTATCTTATAGGATCATTCTGTGGGTCTTTGTCTTGTCTGAAAGCATCATTGCTGGGAAGTATTGTCATCAAGGAGAGCCTGGCAAGAGTTGGATTAAATGGAACAGATGTTTCTGAAGTTATCATGGGACAGGTATTAAATATTTTAACAAATGCTATAAAAAAAATAGACAATACATCAAATTATATGTATTTTCAAATTTGCAATTAAAAGTATATATTTTAATATATTTTTATCATCTTTATATATTCATGTATCTTTGTTTTTATTACCTACGTAAATTTTTTTTCATTTTATCATTTCATTTATATAAATTCGTATCACTTAAATATATATTTATATTCGTGTATCATATTTTTGTTACTTACTGCAGGTACTTACTGCGACAGAAGGCCAAAATCCTGCAAGACAAGCAGCAATATATGCTGGCATATCTAATCATGTGCCAGCTTATCAAGTCAACATGTTATGTGGTTCTGGTTTAAAGTGCGTATAGATGATAATGACATGATATATTTTATACTGAATGAACATATGTGTGTACGTGTGAAGAAGAATATTAATTATAGGACATAGATATTGAAATGTGACATACATACATAATTTGCAGATCTGTAATAAATGGTTATTCTTCTATAAAATCAGGAGAAAATGACATAGTTGTAGCTGGTGGTCAAGAAAACATGAGCAGGGCACCGCATGCCACTTATCTCAGATCTGCTATTAAATATGGGAATAACAATTTGGTTGATACACTAATAGAAGATGGTTTAACAGATGCCTTCCATAACATCCATATGGCAATCACAGGTATAAAAAGAAGAATATTGCCAAAAAAAGGTATAAAATATTTAAATTTTATATCCCTGTAACTTTATTTTTACGTATTACAAACAGCTGAGAATCTCGCGGAAAAATATGCAATAAGTAGAGAGGCACAAGACAATTATGCAAATAAATCTCAACAAAAAGCTGAAGCTGCCATTACTGCTGGGCATTTTAAAAAAGAGATTGTTCCAGTGATTATTGAAGGCAAGAAAGAAGTTACTGCTGTATCTCAAGACGAATTTCCGAAATTCGGGTCAACCGTAGAAAAACTTGCCAACTTAAAACCAGCATTTAGGCCGGTATGTAAATATCCCTCTGTGTAAGATCATATAACTTTACAAACACAAAATATAACATTCGTTAATTATATTATGTTCAGGGAAATGGCACAATTACTGCCGGCAATGCATCTGGTATAAATGATGGTGCAGCCGCTATAGTTCTAATGTCTCAAGAAGCTGCTGTAAATAAAGGAATTGCACCATTAGCCAGAATCGTTGCAGTTGCACAAGTTGGAGTTGAACCTCAGATCATGGGTATTGGTCCAATCGAAGCTGTTAAATTAGTCGTTAGTATGATATATTTGGTTTTTAATTGATTATATTTATTTTAGCAGGATATGATTTGTCATTATTGAAAATACACTACTATTTCAGTTGAAGAAAGCAAATTGGACAAAGGAGGAAGTAGATTTTTATGAATTAAACGAGGCCTTTGCAGCGCAAGCGATTGTATGTATTCAAGAGCTCGATCTGGATCCTGAGAAAGTTAATGTCAATGGTGGTGCTATTGCCTTAGGCCATCCCATTGGCGCATCTGGTATTCATCAAATTAATGTTCAAACTTGCTTCAACGGAATTCTCACTTTCTAATTGAATTTTGTTTTTTAGGTGCAAGAGTACTGGTTACTCTGTTACACACTTTGGAAAGAACTGGGAAAAAAAAAGGTATTGCATCTTTATGCATTGGAGGAGGCATGGGCATTGCTGTTGCTGTTGAAAGAAAATAACAAATGTCTTCTTTATCCAATATGAAAATTGTTATAAGTCTTTTTATTAACAGATTTTCTTACAAAAATAGCATTTTTCTTATGCTATACGATGATCTTGAGGACATTTGTCATTGAGTTCTATAGAAATTTATCATATATGTATATATAAATATGCAAGTATTCAATTTATTTTAGTGTTAAAATATAATACATGATATTGTTTTAGAAGATAATGCAGTTGAATATTTTTATACTGCAATTTATACAAAATGTAAAGATACATACATATATATATATATATATAGTGTAAAATATTGTAATGTTAAGCTTCTCACAATCTATGAAGAATACAGAACACATAAAGTAAAAACAAAGTCTCTCAAGCTGTAACTAAATCACAATCATCCATTTGAGCAGTTACATTATATTTCACGTCATTCAAGTTCCTATGTATAGGTAGACATTTAAAAAATATCAAACTGAATTTGTATAAATCTCACTTTCTATCTGCTATCTGATTTTGAATCAGTCCTATTTTTACTTTCTAAAATTTTATCTACAGCAACGAGATCTTCTTGTTGTTTTTGTTGAGTGCGTTTTGTTCTAAAATTATGTTTTATATCTTTTACTTCCCTCGGTGAACCCTTTAGTTGTTGTAACTGTTCCTTGATAGCTGGTATAATCCGTATCTTGAATTATAATAATGTTTTCGTCAGAATTTTACTTAATATATGCTACATTATTTAAAATACATTTGTAAGATGCATTTAAAATGCACAAAGCAAGTTTTAGAGAATAAAGATTTTACTCTTATTTAATAAAGACATACACAGAAATAAAACTCAATTATTATTTATTTTTCTATATAATTCCGGAAAGGAACAATTATTTTCGCATAACTGATACATGGTTGTGTGTATACTAACAAGCATATTAATAAGACATTATGATTTTTTATATTTATCAAAACATGGAAAAGATTTATCTACAGCAATTGTTAAAATCTCATCAATGCATGATACACAAAGTTTTGAGTGCTTTTTTATTATATACCCCCAAAAAGTGTCTACATTAGTCTTCAAATCTGTCAAGCAAAAGTAAGATCCCCAAAGTTTTGAGTTCAATATCTTTTTATCTGGATACTGTTTACAACACAAATCCATACAATTATCTTTTTTTTCTGACATTACTTCTTCAACTATGGATATTGTATCACAATATGTGAAAGCATTCGGTACATAAACATCTTGCACCAGGTTGTCACCTATGTATAAACATTGTGGATTTTTTTTACCCGTTGTAAAAGAGAAAAATTTGTGCAAATCTTTCCAATTTCCTTGACTATATATTTTGCCCTTTTGTAAATGTTGACTTATAATATCAGTTTTCTTATTTTGTACAACTTCTAAAAACGGTCGATCCGTGGTAAAAAAGCCTGGTTTTTTTGCAAAGCATATTACAATATCAAAAATAGATTGCCACTTCTCTCCAAGAGCATAAGTTGCAATAAAATTTACGTAATCTATATTTGATCCAGTAAGAAGAAAAGTCACAGGTTTTGGTTCAATCTGTTGCAACCATGAAATTATAGCTGTAATATTAGCTTTATGTAGATATTTTTCTGGATTCTTCTTAACATGGCCAAAGATCCCTTTGTCCAATTCAAAATGATCTATAGAAAACATATAGATCATGCCATCCAATATATCAGGCCAAATATTATATTTATCCTGGTGCGATTCACATTCTTCATCAAGGATATCTACTGCCCGTGCAAACACCAGACTTGCAGGAATATCAAAATAATCCAGCACACTTCTCATTTTTTGAGACAAAGGGCCATTCCAGGTTTCCATTAAAGCCTGAGCATTACTACAGAAAATATCAGTTACTTCCCATTTCTGCTCAGGATATATCTCCTTTATTTGATCTTTATTCAACAAATGTGTGCCATGACAGGCTTTATGGATAATACCATCTAGACCTAATTTGAGTATATTTCCTCTCTCAAAGTCTAGCACTAATCCTTTTTGCATAAAATCCAAGTCATTGTCTGTCAATGGTTCCAACAGTTTCTTATTGTATCCCCGTTTATTTACCATAAATGTAGCTAATATTTCATATTCCATGTGCATCAAGTCCGTAACTTTATAACGCACTAAAGTATTATCCAAGTCGAAGCCAATGCAGTCATAGTCCGCCAGTTTAAACATATTCATATTGCGTTTTACAACACAAAATGTCTTGGAACTATACTGATAAGAGTTCACGTGAACACTGATATTGGTGAGTAGAAATGCTCTACCAGGTACGTGTTTATGTGCAGAAATAGGCGTACTGATATACCATTTAACAGTACTGCGATAAAAGTACCTGATCATATTCTCACATGACCATGATATATTATAGCCAACAGTTCTTCAGCATGTTTTTTCATCAGACACAAGCAGTTGCAATATTTCAAAGTCAAATTAGATAATCTCGAGATATGAAACTTCTTCACCTTGGCATTATTAGCTCGACTGTATTCTGACATTTATTTCTTAACCAAAATGAATGAAAGAAAAACCGTTTTTGGTATGATTTTTTGCATAAACTGATCCATATAAAATAACCTAAACGATCCGTTTGTGTTATCATTCTGAGAACCGCCTTAAAAATTACCAGCGAGATACTAGATAATAACTACCTAGAAAGATACTAGATAATAAGAGAGAGGGGAGAAAAGAGGACGATAGAGAAGGGGGAGAGGAAGCACGCACGGAAAATTTGCAATTTTGTGTCTACTTACATTTGGTGGGATATGAACATAGCGGATGTTCCTTGCTTGCACGAAGGATACGTCATGCTTAAAGGAGTCTCCGCGTGGATCCGTGAATATACAATCCTTCATTACGATGTTCATGAATCTGCAAAAGTGGGGACACGTGCATCAAGTCGATTTACGCGCGACCGAAAACATTTTCTCGCATTAAGATTGCGTCTCTTCTATTAGCGAAAGAAATAATCGTATGTTAATACCGAGATGTATTTCTCACCACGAACATATCGTGTTATCGCGAATAAAGTGCACTTTTGAGTATATAACGGCTATATTAACCAACGATGAAAACTTGCCACAGCGGAAATAAAGCATGTAACATATTACGTACCCGTCGACTTCCTCGACGACGCCGTAAATCGACGCCTCATTCCGCAGGTCCACCGTTGTTCGTTGCTTCTCCACAGCTTTCAGCAGAATAGCCAGGCTGTTGTAAAGAAGATGTTTCTCGTACTTTTCTGTAGCCATCGAGAATACGGACGAGAGCGCGCGAAACACACAATGATCGTGATGCCGTCGATGCCGGCAAGCGGAGTGAGGTGTCACGTGATCTTCGCTCACGGACCTGCGCACAATCGCACGATTTGAACGTGCGTTACGTTGCGTGTAAAGATGTTGCTCTATTATTCTGGTGTTATTGTAGGAAATTCTTTATATATTCGTCTTAATTTGTTTGATTTCCATTTCGCAGCATTACCTCCTTGACGACAGACGTATTATTATCGTTAGGACAAATTGTGGGCCATTAAAGTCGTTTTTATTTAACGCTACAATGCAATTCTACCACACACACTTACTGTAATATATTCGTTATTTTCAACTCTCAAATTCATGATTAACGCTAAACAATGTTTATTCAATGACGTGCCAGATAGATTGGTGTGCAATAATTAATATCATAAATAGTCACTCGTCTACGACAATAGCCTCTGAGTTCACATCCATTTCATTTTGAGGCGCAGACTCGAGAGAAGAAGCTTTTATTTATCGAATTGAGAATAGCGATTCCTGACAAGAGAGCAGTGTCTATTGAGATTATATTTCGTTACGCAAATGCGGTGTTCATACGGGAGCGATCCGTATGACAATTGTAACTAGATTGCCCTGAACCCATTATTAATTCCATCTCGAGGTTCGTTCTTTCGTTCGGAAGTTGCGAGATGTTAAACGCGTTATCGTGGGGAGATTCGATTTGTCCTCGTATTATACTACCATCGTGAACCCGATGTTAGTCTATATATAGTCACTCATAGCCGTCATTGCTAGAGGAATTAGGTTACTTCCCAACGGATATACAAAGGGGTCTTGTAAATGGTCGTATCCTACGTGCATCTAAAACAATCTCGTACAAGTATTTCCGCATAGATGTCTTCTTGTTTCGCGAGCAACAATCCGTTTCGTGGAAAATTAAAAATCGATGATTTTTCATTCGAGAGAGAGAGAGAGAGATGCTATTAAAAATTTAACAGAATATAAATATTGGGACGTATGACACGGTTTCTACGATATAAAGTAATCCCAACACGTAACATCGCGTTTTGTTGCTAATTGAGTATTTTAGCAGGTTGCTTCTAAAAGCAACGTCACACAAATGTAACTTGGTCGATGTAGCAGCAAAGTTTAATACATGAATTTAACTTATCGCGTAATTGCATGTGCATAATTGCGGGAGGTGTTTACTTTTGCTATATCGTTACGTGCAAGATCGTGGAAAAGATAATCAACTACGATCGTTTATACTCGACATTTCATAGAGAGATAATACCCTCTCCGCTATTTCTAAGATAAACTCGAACCACATTTCCACATCAATATATTCAGAGGCGCGATAACTTGTAAATACAAAATATATAGTCATTTACTGAAATCTTTCATGGATTTCGATGGTAAAACGCAACGAACAAACCGTAAAGGTAAATTTTGCGAGTAATATTTCAGTAAGCATCCTGTACAGCGCGACGGTATAGCCTCATTATTAATTTCGCCGTGTAACGTATTACATAATATAATGATTTACTTGACTCGCCGGTGTTCGTACACCGGTGCCCCGCGATTTTACGTCACACTTCCGGATCTGATGCCTGCTTCTACGAATGATGCGCTGCGAGAGAGAGAGAGAGAGAGAGAGAGAGAGAGAGAGAGAGAGAGAGAGAGAGAGAGAGAGCGTCCAGCGCTCTTCACGCTCCGACGTCACCGTCGAAGATTCATTTCGCGCGCGTGCCTCTCTCTCTCTCTCTCTTTCTCTCTCTCTCTTTCTCTCTCGCATCCCGCTCTCATTCTCCGTCCCTGTAGGGCGAATTGTCCCGGCGTGTGTCTTCCGTTCGCCAATATGCAGCAACGCCGTTCGAGCAGCCGGCCGTAGCGAGCGGGCCGGCTTGAAAACCAAACGCCGCGCCGCGCGCATTTTTCTTCCTTCGGCGCTTATTATTCGGTGCCGTGCGACCCGCCGCCGATGAGTGCCCTCTTCCTGTGATCACCCGGTCTCTCCTTCTCCCCCGAACCGTCTCTGTTATCTGCCCGTGCGCGTCCCTTTTCCCCCTTTCGGTGTGCGCCTTTCGCTTCCCCGCGAGCCTCCCTCGGCGCGCACACTAATCAGCTTCCTGGATGGGGCACATTATCTGCCTGATTGTGCAGATCCCAACGCCGCGATACCTAGCCCACTGGCAGATCCATCCGATCTCGACAGTCGATCACGCGCGCGCGGAAAGCCTCGCGCGGATGTCACTCGCGCCCGCGACACCGCGGTGCAATGATCCTGGACGTAATCGATCGGGTGTGACCTCCTTCGGGGCCTTATACCCCGTCGTCGTCTCCTCGGGAGCGGCGTGTCGTTCTGTTGCTGCGCGCTCGGACGCGCTCGGTCCTCGGCTGGATCGCGCGAAAGGATCGTCGTGTGTTGTCACGATGCACTCTCGGACGATTCGCACGTGCTTCGATAATCACACGCGAGGAGAAGTGCCCGCTTACGGAGTTTGATTACGATAAACTCCGTGAAGACGGAGTTGGACGAGCTAAACTTCGGGGAATAAGGATAATCCGGAGATAATCGAGGATCGTCGAGAGTGGAACGACGGTGGAAGTTTTTCGGATGAAGTTTTCGTGTATGCCGCATTATTCCCGGTTTCATCCCCTCCCCCCTATCCCCGCGAACACGCGGAATGCTAAGTTTATGAGAATATTCATTCACATCATTTGCTCGCATCACAATCATGTATCTCTCTCCCTCTCTCTCTCTCTCCCCCTCTCTCTCTCTCTCTCCCTCTCTCTCTCTCTCTCTCTCTCTCTCTCTCTCTCTCTCTCTCTTCCTCTGTTATTTGGCACAACAGCATTCTGGAGATATCTTCCATCTGTAAATAATTTAGATTGCACGCTAGGAATTTAGGGAACTGTTCTTGAATCGTAACAATTATCCCATTATCCGATACGTATAAAATGATATCAAAGCAGATGACACACGTCTGTTCTGTGCTCGATAATGCAGAATTGAAGCAGCGAACGTCTGAATGAACCAAGATGGCACACACCGTCGGAAGACACAGCACAGCCGCCACGAAGGCTGCGGGATGATACTCGCAGGATCCGTTCCGACATACTTCGCGTACGAAGGAAGATATCTCTCACGGGATTTTTAAGTGACGTGCTCTTGAAGCCTGAAGGATGTCTTTGGGGCAACGTATTTCCGGCGCTGTTGCGGTTCTCAGGGGGAGCGCGACGGAGGCCAAGGAGGGCCATACGTAAAAATATTTCTCTTGTTTTTACCGGAAATTTGAGCTATCATTCACCTGGAATGCCTTCCAGGTCGTGCACAGAAGAGATCGAGAAGATGACGTCCGAAGAGGAGGTCGAGGCCGAAGTGCGACAACAAGTGACGGCGCTCGACAGGCTACAGATGGTTAGTCAGTTGTTTTTTTACCAATTTACCAATTTTAATTTGTAACGGTAGAATCTTAAGTATATGTGACGCTCAAGTTCTCCCGGCTGGAAATGTTCCGACAGAGAGTCGCGAAGAAGACATTTTGCTTTATCAGCAGCAACGCTGCGCTTGTTGAAAATATCTAATGTCGGAATCTACTTGTTACGATAATTTGCGAAGAGTGAAAGTGCTCACGAGTGTGCACGAGCAAACTATTGAATCTTGCTGCACGTTATGATGAATACAGGTGGTAGAGTGGATGGGAAGTAACATGCTTTTGGTATTGACCATCTTCGGAGTTTTGGTGGGTCTGGGTCTCGGTTTCTTGGGTCGTTTGGCCGATCTCTCGCCGCAGGCTATAACTCTCGTCAGTTTTCCGGGAGAAATTCTCATGCGGATGCTGAAGATGTTCATCCTGCCACTTATCATCTCGTCGCTCATCTCCGGTAATTGCAGTCCGTTTGATTAAACGATTATCGTCAAATAGGTAATGCCCTCGCTACGAACACGGCGCGAACGCTTGTTCCGTGTTAAAAACGGAGGTACCCATCTGAAATTCATTTTCCGCCTCGTCTCTCTATCTTCGTCTTTTGAAGTTCGCACTGCATGAGCGGTTCGCTACTTTCAGGAATGGCACAGCTAGACGTTCAAAGGTCAGGAAGGATAGGGATTAGGGCGCTAACGTACTACTCGGTGACGACTATTCTCGCCGCCATAGTGGGCATTGCGATGGTGTTGATGATCCACCCCGGTGATCCGCAGATCAAAACTACGGTCGCGGCGGTGGTGAAGGCTGAGGAGACGAAAGTCTCCACTGTTGACGCGATTCTCGACATCATTCGGTACGGAAAAGCAATTCCAATTACGTGACTGCCAAATCTACGTACGAGATCCGCGGTGCCTTGCGTTTTCAGGAACATGGTGCCGGAGAATTTGGTGCAGGCGTGCTTCCAGCAGGTTCAGACCTCCTACGTGAAGAAGAAGGTGGTCGTGATCGGCTCGAACCAGAGCGAATACATAATGGAGCCGACCTTGGTTTACAAGGATGGCACGAACGTGATGGGTATGATCGTGTTCTGCATCATCTTCGGCGTGCTCGCGGGCCAGATAGGACCCCGCGGGAAGCTGATGGTGGACTTTTTCGTGGTGCTGAACGAGATCATTATGAAGCTCGTGACGATCGTCGTGGTCTGGTACGAAGCAATGAAACAATTTGTTTGCCTCGTAAATAGAAGCCACGGGCGAAGAGCACTTGATCGTTGCACGTTATCGAATTACAGTTAACTCCGTCTTTACCTACGAGCTTCTTTTCGAGAACTTTCTTTCTTTATTGAGCAGTAGTAAGAGAAGGGGATTTCCTCTTCCGTTATTTCGACTCAAAGCGAGGCCTCTTTCTTCTGTTTGCTTCCTGATGATTTTCTATCGCTACGACAATCACCGCAGGTACTCTCCGTTCGGAATTATGTGCCTGATAGCTGGAAAGATCATGTCGATCACCAATCTGGCGGCAACTGCCCAGATGTTGGGTCTATACATGGTGACAGTCGTATTGGGCTTGATGATCCACGCTATCATTACGCTACCAATGATCTATTGGTTTATGACCCGAAACAACCCGGCGGTATTCTTCAGGGGTATGATGCAAGCCTGGGTGACGGCTTTGGGTACAGCTTCGAGGTATAGGATCGATCATCTTAAACAAGTACTCGAGAGTGTATAATTACGTTTACACGGCAAGGTTAAGGTTCCGGATTAGTAACAACCGTGGTTAATGAATTCTTCGATTCGATTGGTATATTCTTTCAGATCTAAAAATATACTATATAATCGGATTCGAGACTGCACTAACTACGGCACTAGTGACTAAGTCGAAGTTAGAAGCCGTATAGTTATCGATATCAAGAGTATATAGGGTGCTTCAGAGAGGACTGATTATGCACATTTTAGGCACTATTTACATGAACTTTTCCGTTCGTCTCGATGAGAAGAATATAACCACGTATAGCCAGTTCATCTTTCTTGAAACACCCTGTATATTAGGTATATAGAGATAAACTTCAACTTTCTGGCATGATTGCAAAGTTTTAATTAGCGCGTTCCCGGCAATGACAAGATATCGGTATATGGGTTTACAGCGCGGCGACCTTGCCTCTGACCTTTCGCTGTCTCGAAGAAAACAACAAGATCGATCCGCGAGTGACACGCTTCGTCGTGGCAGTGGGTGCCACTGTGAATATGGATGGCACAGCTCTTTACGAAGCCGTCGCCGCGATCTTCATCGCGCAATTAAACGGAATCTCGTTAGGATTCGTTGAAGTCGTTACAGTCAGGTAGAAACGATATAATTACTCGTCATTGAAGAAAGTCCCTCTTTTTACGAGTTACTGATGATTATGTCACGCTCAGCAGATGAATAAACACGGATGCCGATGATGAGAAAAGCGTATCGCGTATACGCGACTCTAATGCCGTGACTCTGGCCGGCAAATTAAACGGGAATTGAATTTTTACTCCAAGTTCTACTTTGGCTTTTCTTTACAGCCTTACGGCCACCTTGGCGAGCGTCGGGGCCGCGAGTATACCCAGCGCTGCATTGGTCACTATGCTCTTGGTGCTAACTGCCTTGGGTCTTCCTACGAACGACGTGTCTCTGCTGTTCGCCATCGACTGGATGCTGTGAGTTACAAGTGTAGCCACTGTGATTCCGTAAATTAAAGCGACCAATTCGTTTTCAGGGACCGGATCAGGACGTCGATCAACGTCCTGGGCGACGGCTACGGAGCCGGGATAGTCTATCACTTAAGCAAAGCGGAGCTAGACAAGATGGACGAGGAACGGCGACTGGAGACTTTGGAAATCGGAAGCCCACGCGAAATCGTAGCCGAAGGTTGTAAACGAGAGGAGGCGTCAACGCATGAGCAAACTTCTGAGACGAAAATTTGAGAGCCTGCGAACTTTCCCGGCCAAGCCACGTTATTCACTTGCTAGGAATGTAAATCTGCCAGTTCGCAGGAACAAACGCTCGTCCCTGTGTTAATATCCGCGACGTACGATTGACTTTCACTGCCGAAAACGAGTTTCTCTATCAAGTAAATTAAGTATTTATAATACACGTCACACACGCAGAGAGTAACTGTACGATTTAAAATATATTCGATTATATTAAGAATGCTGTAGGTACAGATGGTGTTTTATCTAGCGATATATAAATACACGATACCGTTTATTTTTCCGTAGCGAGGACGAGGTAACAGTAACGAATGAATCGAACGTATCGAACGCTGAGGTAGAAAATGCGAGCATGTAAGTACAAATCGAGGAAAGTTGTACGTCCGTTTCTTATTTTCTTCTCAGTATGTACGAGAATGTTTCCATTTTGGAATATATATAAATTATTAATGTATAGTAAAATAGGAACATAGAATACGCGGTAAATCACTAAATACCGTCACGGTCAAGGTTTGTACATCGTTAACGATCGAATTGAGAACGTGAGGAGTTCCGTCGACATTTAAAATATTACATAGACGTTTTAGAAATATTATGTCACGTATATATAATTTAACCAAGTTTTATTCCAATACGTTAGTAATTAGATAATAGCGCTCGTCTATTTATACAAATGTGTTCATAAGAATTGCATGTGCCAGTTCCAGTTATGACTACTGATGATACTTCACCGAATAGTTAATAATTCACTGGTTAATTTATTACGTAAATATGATACATATAATAAAGAATATAATTATTCGTATCGCTATTGAATTATCTTCTCTATATATGTATGTATATTGTCTTTATCTTTATATTAAAGTACCACATCATAAAAGTCGCAGTTGTTTTATTACATAATTAAAAGTGTATTCTATATACATATCGACATACTTATACAATATCACGTGAACGCTTTATCGTTTATTTGGTCAGTGTCTGAAGTATTTAAGTGATGTAAATACAACGATTCAATGACTGTTTTATGTAATTATGTATCTTTACGGTATTATGTAGGTAGTCACTGTCTGATTATAATTGCTCCTATCCTCAATAGACATGAACCATACCATATAAAAATCTAATTGTTTATTAAGAAATTTATATCAGTAATATTATATATAGCTGTGTAATAGTGATGTAAATAGTTTGCTTTGTTTGTATGAGGAAAGGATACGTCCAGAATAATACGTATGTCTGTAATAGAAGTTCCACAGAGACACAGTTATTATTAAGGAAAATAAATTATTCTCTGAAACAAAATTCGTTTCCACGAATTGTCTTAAAGGATACAAAAAGCCCTCCCCAGAAGCCGCTGGTTAAAAGATTCCGCCTGCTAATAAAATACTTTTTCCACTGACCACCTGCTTTCATCAGTAGCATTGCCTATAAAGATCTTGATCTTATCACATTCAATTATCGCTAAATCTTATCGAACAATCTTACCCATAATCCGAAAACTGCAAAGAGATAAAATCCAAATCCATATACTCCGGTTAATCCTAATAGACCAGCTGTACCGCCTGATAATGCTGACATTGATATCTTACAATACTCCACAACTGCAGCATTGTTTAAAACTGCAGCCTCGCTGTATGCAATAATTTCTGCAACATGAAATCGCGTTTTAGCTTTAGGTTTTTGTTTTCACATTGTCTACAACAATCTTTTAATTGAAACATGAATATGGAATTATAACCTATAAGTTTGTCATCCACGTATTATTATATCACGATAGAACAGTTATACTTGTTACCATGCATTATTTTATAGAATAACTAGATAAACCACAAGCAAAGCCGTCTACTTGTCCAATGTATTAACGACTAATAAATAAATAACAAACATAACCTTTCGTGAAAGTTAGTGTGATAAATCACACAAATTTCACTAGGTTTGCTGCAGTTGTGCTTTCTTCCATGATAATCTTTTGACGCACTTACCGCCACTTTTGTCCTGCTTCGTTTTGATTTTGCCCAACATCTCTGTAAAGTATCTGTCGAAACGTTAACCTAATAGAGAAAATAAATGAATGATTATACACGAACGATATTCCTGTCGGCTGCTGCTGTCAAGACACGTCAGCTTCTGCGCGTGCTACAGGCCTTTAATCGATGGCGGTACGTTCAAAAGACCGTCGGTAACAGCGAGTCGCGCGTTCGTAACAATTCATTGTATCGCGTGTCTCACCTGCGAGAATGAGAGAAGTTTGAACATTTTGGCAGGGATTAGTGGCAACAAAAGCGAGCCGCGAGATTATAATAGTCATTTGCTGTAATTTGAGAACATGTGAATTCAACATTGTCAAACTACTTATTCGACATGACAGTATCCGAATTAACTTTGTCCCGATATTCGACTCGTTGGCACACACTGCTTTGTAGATTTATTAAAATTATCTGAAATTTTTAATTAAGTGTTTCGCATCGATATGAATAAAAATTAGATTTCTCAGGATCTCATAGAATAATATTCTGCTTTTTTATTTTAATTTGCTTACATTCTGCGGTTTCGCGAGCATTGATAATCCTTCGTCGTCGTCGTCGTCGTCGTCGTCGTCGTCTTCATCGTTGTCGCAGATCGTTGTCGAGACTTCTTCAGGAATGATGCAAAGCGGCTCCCTCAGGATAAATGGCAAAAAAAAAATAATATCGATTTCGCAAAATCCCAATTAACAAGGCGGACACTCTTGCCTGCCCACTTGTTTATTCCTCACGGCCACCGACAGCCCTTGGATGACTTGGATGGTTTATTCAGACTTCCTGAGGAACGGTGCGAAGCGCGCGGAGCGGAGCGGAGCAGAGCAGAGCAGAGCAGACTCGCTCTGCGCGGCTCGCTCGGCTCGAGGCTGAAAATAGCCGCCGGAGAGCCGCTCGCTTCGCTCCGCTCCGCTCGGCTCGACATAGCTTCTCGAGCTTCGACGGAAATTTCGTCGCGGGGGCCCGAGCGTGCACCCTTCGAGCTAAACCCTCGGTCGAGCTGCGAAATATACGACCTGCTGCACCCTCGTGGAAGGTGCAACGACGAGAAGGTCATCCTTGCGGATACCGAAACGAGACGAGTGCGCGAATCAAGAGAGTTCGACGGTGTCGAAGTGAAGTGCTATTTCGAGGTGAGTCTTCTCGGGGTGAATGTCGCGATTGATTTTCTTTTTCCTCCTCATGGACGCGCGCTCCCGGATGCGAGCTATCAGTGCGATGAAACTCGTGCACCACCGGTTGCACCACCGCATACACCCCGAGTCATTTGGGGGTGTGTATGTATGTGTGAGTGTATGCGTACGGGTGTATGTATGTGTGTGTGTGTGTGTGTGTGTGTGTATGTATGTGTGTGTGAGTGAAAAGTTGAGTGGTGCGCAAAGGATATTTCTGAAAGGTTGTATAGTGTTCACGATATGATTTCGCTGTCTCGACTAATCGGATCATTCCGCGCCGTAGAGACGTGTTGCACAATGTTGCTCAGTGAATTTGGAATACCATGAGAAACTCCATGCACACATGTAGTGATTCGAGACGCAGCTCTAGAATACACGCTGTGAATAGTGAAGCTAATTTTGTAGTTAAACGGGTTGATACAAATGTCGGTAGATGTGATGAATTGCCTGTTATTATAAGAAGCTCTGTATATTGATACGACATGGTATTTCGAATTCCGAATGTATCTGTGGACTTCTCAACTCAGCAGACAGTCTTGTATTTTTCACATCCTAAAATTAGAAACTCAGCTTTGTATTCTTATGCAATGTCGCTTTCTGGAATAGCGTTGCCAGACGACGGAAACACTTAAAAGTCGTCGTAAAAATATCGAAATATACTTCAGTCAGCCGCTCCAACGTGCTTTAGTTGTTCTTGAGATTCGTTCGTTTAAAATTAGCTCAATGAATTTAATGAACATTCCATTCCAGATTGGAATTTTGCCGGCCCGCATCGACTCGTTTCGCCGTAGCTTCGTAGTGCCACTGTTGAATATTATCTGTCAAAGTAACGGTAAATTGTCGTCTCTCATGTAAAGCGCTCAATATCGTGACAAAGGATAAAGATATAAGGAGTATTTATAGAACAGGAGGAGTAGAGATTTATCGACTTTCTGATGAAATTTTTATCTAATTTATCTCTCTCGCAAAGAGAGGAAGAGAGAGAGAGAGAGAGAGAGAGAGAGAGAGAGAGAGAGCACGCGCGGATTTCATCGAGCACGGTGGGAAGCACATTCCCTCGTTTCTCCTTGCTACAAGTCAAGCTTGACGATTTTTGTTTGACGGTAAAGACCACATGTCCTTCGAGAGCTACCCTTAACCTTCGATTAACGTATTAAGCGCGATAATGCAAGTCGACTCTCACTAAGCGCATGGGGATATTTCGGTAAGCCATCGCGGATGCATCTATTTCTGCCGCGTCGCTGGAAATAGATTCTCAGGGAAGGTAAAATCGAGCAGATATATTTTGTCCTCTGCTTCGAAGCGGCGCATTGAAAAATTATACGGTTGACAGGAAGGATCGAACAATTTCACACGTGTTCTCACTAAATATCAGATGTTGCGCAACGCTAACAGACGAGATAACAAAGGGATTTCAAAAAGGCCAAGGCTCGAATATCTTGCTCAGAAATAAAAGAAAGTCGATTATTTCCGATACGTTGCAGATATTTAAAGAAAGAACCCCCGGCTTGCCTAGGTGACATTTAGTCACGTCTTTCTAGTCACGACGAGACTGTCAAGTCTCTGCGTTGTTCCGAATGCGCTCGGAGCGCAATCTCATGTATTAAACAGCTGCTATACTATACGTATAAAGACTGTAGATTGGAGAAACGCTCGTTGCAAGAACGATCGCGTTTAAGCGCGACTTAGCATCATACGATATTCAACGCTTCGTATTCTATTCATTGTTCGCGCTCAAGGCTCAATAATATCGGTGATTTCGAATCGATGGCGGCATTTCAATCTGTCGCTCGCGAATTCAAGCGGCGGCATCGATAGTTGAGCGAAGTTGCGCTTCTTACGCTCTATAGCGAAGCTACGACCGGAAATTAGTTATGAATTAGCTGTGTCACCTGACGTATGCGCTCGCATTCCGCCATTCCGAAGCGCTTTCTGTCTCTATAGCGTGATCCGACTGAACACTCATTTGCTGACTCACATATCTGAGATTACCGCGGAAACGAGATTTGTGTGTGTGTGTGTGTGTGTGCTTGCTCGAAACTATTTTTACGCGAATACACGAATCGCACAAGATACTCGCGCGCCTTCCGTCCCGCTGCACGCGGAATTTTAATTAACACACACGAATGCGTCATATTGTCGAGCCAGTTCACGGACGTAGGACGCTGTGTATGCGAGTGCGCGTCATCATGCGTAACCCCCTTCGATTATAAAAGTTCGATTAAACTACAGCGACTTTCCTCAAAGGTTGAAAGCTTCAAGAGATGTACTCACACACGCGCATACACACTCAAAGGTCAATCTAGTCCATAAGCCAGCCCTTCCTCCGTGAATCGTCTCGACTGTAAACCGAGTTAATATCGCACCACACGATCCCATTCCACCCCCCCTCCCCCGAAACGTCCCGTCAACCAATTTCCCCCGGGGCGCGATATTCGGCTTCATCTCGAAAAAAATATATTCATCTGGAAAAAAATATATATCCAACGATATTTCACGGTGAGACAGCAGCGTAATACGCGAAAGCCGCGTAATACGCTCCGTAACCGAGGGGGATTTTACGTTAACGTAGCCTCGAGCATGCGGAATTTGATTGAAGGTGCCGGGCGCTTGCGCAAGGGTCGTCGGGCGAGCGGTCTGGGTGCCCTCCCCGTCAGCAGTGGGTGATCGTCGGTGCTCCACGACGGATTAACACGCCGACGTCGACGTCACCATCGTCGCCGCCGTCCTCGTCCTCGTCGTCGTTGACGTCCTCCGTCCTCGTCCTCGTCGTCCCGGCTGACGAGACGAAGAGGTCGGGAGCCTGCGATAGCGACGGGAACATGCCGACCACGCGAGACTGTGCATGACTACATCCGCGCTACCGCCTCTCAGCATCGATAAGGGTGCCTCGGACACGAAGTGACACGCGAGATAGGCGCACACTCGCGTAGACGCGTGCACACGTACGAGCGCGCGTGAAAGTGACGCGGACGGAGAAGAAAGCGTGCCGAAGGGATGGCCGACAGCGAGGGTGGCTCCGAGCAGGACGACGTATCATTCCTCCGCACGGTAAGTCCCACTTTGCCACGGGCAAGTTTATCATTCCGGATCACGCGGGGTTGGGGGAGACAGTCGCAGGCCTCAAGGTTGATGATTAAGGGGGATGCCGCAGGGCATCTTGTCACAGAGGGCGAGCGGATCAATTGGAAAATCCGCATGAGTAAAAATCCCTGCCGATGTATAGTCTCGTTGTTGTTGTTGTTGTTGTTTGGGTTTCGATGATCAGGCATTCAGAGGCTGCTTCTATCGAGCAGTGCTTTTATGCTCGATGTTTCAAGGGATACCTTAGCGATCACTATCAAGGGCGGAGGGATCGTCGAGCTTGCGTGGAGAGACTTCAGTGTCAAGACGCGTTTGTTATTAATAACGCGCCACGCAAACACCCCTCGGACTCCGTCTCTTATTTACGTTACTTTGTAAAGTTGAGGTAATCGGATCGCTAGTGAGTATCAAAGCGCCCGAGGGTTTTGTAAAATTTCACGAAGCCGTCGGCTAAACGATAAATCACATGGAGATTAAGTATCTTCGTGAACGTGGGACCGCGCGAGGTCCACGTGATAAATGGGCACGATATGAGGGTGGCACGACAGGTATCAATAGGTTTGGAGCGAGCCAAGTGTAAATACATATATCGGGTTGACGTGCCCGCAAAGAGCGCACGAGAACAGGCTGGTGGTTCGCGTTCAATGATGCAGTGGTGTGTTTGTGTGGAAATGAATGAATGCCGATGCAGTTGAAACTTTACACACAGGAGGCAGGCAAACTGTGTACACTGTGCGAGGCTATTCAATACAATATACGCGTGTTGCATCAATGTAAGCGACAGTGATAGTAGTAGTAGTAGTAGTAGTAGTAGTAGCTGTAGTAATAGTAGTGGTAGTAGTAGTAGTAGTTGTAGTACTTGTACATATATTACAACATCGCGTCCTTATGACTTTTCAGACTTTTATTATTCAGACCGGGAAAAAATATCGGAAAAATTGTTCTCGTGTAAAGTCTCGTCCCGATACCGCCCGATTCGGACAACTAATGATCGACATAAAATGACGTTGCTTTTCGATTAGACAAGCAAGCGAAGAGTCTTTCGGCCGCTTACCGAGAAAGGAAATAACGGAGTATCCGGAGCAATTTAGTCCGCGCGCGACTCTAAACGAATTTGATGAGTGCCGGCTGAAATTGTCGGCGTTTGTTTTAACTTGCGAACGCTTGCGTGCAATTTCTCGCGTAGCCGGAGTCACGCGGTAAGAAAAACCATGCGAGATTTTAGAGAAACGTGGAAGCACTTGAAGTACCTTGTAGCACAACCTTGACCCCGTTCGACCTGCGGGGATCAAGCAGTCGTATTGGCCAAGGTGCAGCCTTGTGCTTTTGCCATCGCGCGTTTGACGTTTGCGCATTTAATCCGTTATGCTCTGTTGACATGGTCTGCTTGTCCGATATCTGCTCGATTGCTTTCCACCATTAACTTTACGCAAATATCAGAAATGTTGGACCAACGCAAATATTCGGGGGTTTGCTCGTGTAATATTTCTCTCAGACGAAGAGATTACTCTCATTCGCAATTTAGCAAATCCGACGCTCTTATTCAGTCTCAGTGCCACTTTTAACAATGTATAAAGTTCCATTACCGTGCGCATTCACAATTTTGATTTGTTATAATTGCGGATGCATATATTCATTAAAATACATAAAGATACAGATTTAGGAGTTATGAAAAATACAAGCGGTATTGTAATAATATCAAAGTCGATTAAAAGTTGCGCGTATTTAAAACATTAAATATTCATTACATAAAATTGTTCGAAAATTATATATGGTATCGCGTATATCCCATTTCACGGCCTTCGCACTCGTCCCGCTATTCTCCATTTTGTTTCCAGACGCAATGCACTTGATGCTTTAAAGTTCCGAATAAATACGTACGACAATCTGCAAATTATATTCCACTGTGATTCCGGATTAAAATGAGATTCAGAATTAAAACGTAAAGTTCGTCTCAGCCACACATAATTTACCATGCTTGCTGCAGTGCACGCTAACGCATTGTTGGCGGCAGTTTAGGAGGCAAAATTATTAATTTCAATTTGCCGTAATTTTAGTACGAACATCCCTCTCGTCGCTCATCGTTGTCCGTTGCTGGCGCACGCATCTTCTGGGTCGTTCAACGGCGGCCGTGAGATGTAATGCGTTTTATCATCGGCAATAACGCCCGCTTTTTCCCGTCGTCATCCTTCTGCGTCGTCTATTGCGCTCTCTCTCCGCCAGACGTACGTACTTACTCCTGTCTTCGTCGGACATGGCGCACCATTCCTTGCCGGCCTCTCGAGCGACCTCCGTCACGCGTTTGCCGGGACTCTTGTAGTACAACTCGAGGTAGAAGATGATGAAAGGATTCTGGGAGCGGATTTTCCGTCTCCTACGTCTCCTGGATCTGGATCTGGTTCTGCAGCGGCAGCTCTCTCTTCTCTCAGCTCTGCGCCTGCTACGATCCACGCGTCGTGCCGCTTTCGCATCGTCATCTTCGTTTTCCTCCATGGGCACGTCCGTCTCTCTGATCGGCTCGTTAAACACACGTCTGTGTGAGATTTCGGATTTTTAGTAGTTCTTCGCGCATTGCATTGGTATTGTTTTGAAATGCGCAACCTCTTGTGCGCGCGAAGTGCAACGGAAGCAACGTTGATTCTCATAATGAGCTTTGAACGAACTATTCGAGCGATTTTTCTCGCTGCTCTGTGTTCTGCGAAGATAAATTCGTCACGGAGCTGTTAAGGTGTTATCTCTGCAAAATGCATCGTAAACGTTTTTTACGCTCGATGCAACACGCGTTATCGGCCACCGAAGCGAACGAGATATTATCGATCCTCGCAGAATTTCCGGCTTTTCCTCGAAGTCGTTCGCGGATGGTAGACTCGTGTTCTGAGCCCGTTTACGACCCACGGGGCAAAAATTTAACGAACTTTTATGACTACGCGATGTATGTGTGGGTTTGTGCAAGGGGTAACATCCGAGGGGCCGGCAAGCCGACCCAGCGTTTTCCCAGCGAAAACGATTTCGATGATCGACACGACTGCGACTGCTTGTCCGTGGGATTTAGATGGTTCATTTGTGTCTTCGCTAAGTCGATGCACCAGTGGTCGGGCGTAAAATCGCGTGAGAAATACGTTTCTGTCAGACTCGCGTCACGATAAAAAAGCCAGGCTGACGAAATCGGCGGAGCTGTCGGTGCCGGTGCCGCGAAAAAGGTCATTCGTATTCTACGCGAGAAATCGGGTCGGCGCCGAATCGACAGGTTACTTCTCCCGCGAATGGATTCGACAAGTTCGACAGGAAGGCGCGAAATATCGCTCACCTGCCACCGCCGGACGTGCTGCCGTAAATATTGGGCTCATCCATGCTTCTTGGCCGTGTTTCCTCTGGTACAACTTTCACTTGGTAATTTGACGTGTGGCCGGGAAAAAGGAAAATGTCTCCCGTATGAAAACATCTGAAGTTTTAGGAACTTGATTCTCTCTCCACTTCGTGCGCTCGACGGAAAGTCGACGGTGGTTCTATCGATTATTAGCGCTGCGACATCAATGGATTTTGACAAGTATTCAGTATCGATTGTGCGTCACTGCTAAAATGTGGTCAGCTTCGTGCGCATAAAGTTGGAACGGGAACTTCTCGCTGCAATATCTCTTAATATTCCGTTACGAAGGTTGCTTCATCAGCGAGGCAGGGATTGGTGTGTGTGTGTGTGACTTTACCTGGGTTTATTAATTCAAGTGTATTAATTCAAGAAGGCTTGAATAATGGGATATTCGCGACGCAATTTTGACATTAAACGGGAGAAGAAATTTCTAGAGACTTCTGATGAAACGAGAAAATACGTTTAACGATATTTCTCGAAACTATGGACGAACTCAACACCGTTCCCATTAATTTCTCTCACTCGAGACATTTTTTTTCGAAGCGACTTATGCGACCGAAGAGTCCGATGTTATTCATCGTGCAGTTCGCTGACGGAATTTTCTGACACATACATGTGACAATCGTCGTCCTTCGCTTATTTAGAAATCTGGCAAAGTTCGAGACATCGATATATTGTCAATGTTGTGCTTTCGAGCGAATCGCTTTTAGTTTAATTTTAGAATTCGATGCACGCTTGTCCGTTTGATCAATATGGTTAGCGTAGCTTTCATTAGTGATGTCGCTTCGAAAAGTGATGAATTTATAATTAATTCACCGCGCAGTATGCACCGATCCAATGTACCGAGTATCGAGCAACAAACGATATAGCACGACACGCACGACAGCGCGCTGCATCAACACCTTTCTAAGCCTCTTCCGGCTCAGCGATACCGTGAGGCGTCACGAAGTTTATTATTTTTTAACGATAAAGATTTATTAAATGTTCTGTCGCCTTGCTTGTTTACGTGCCTGACTAATCACGCAATCGGACAATTTTTTTAATTTAGGCAGGGATCATACAGATTCGCGAAGTCAAATTCAGCCAAATTCATCATCGTCAGTGAGTTTGCAAAATCATCAACGTGAATGCAATCACGCGGGAGTTCGTCATTCAGGAGACTTTCGGAATTTTCATTTCAAAAGTTGCCATTTTATCAAATACGCTGAATCACACGAGTGGAAGAAGTTTCTCGCGCTCCCCGTAAGCTGCAACAAGTGTGTGAAAGATTAATATTTGGAAATTTATTTCGTCTTCTGACTCACCGCGCTGCGTAAAGATGATTTATGGTTACTCGCTGGTTGTTTGTGACAGAATTATAGGGATTATCCGCTTGTGAAATGGTAGCGCACCCTTGACCTATACCGCGATACATTGTGACTTCGATCGTCGTCACAGACGCCGGAAGTAACCGGTATATTTGGTTCATTATCAATGCACAAGTCGCGCGTCTGCCCGCCAAATGTCCAATTACGCTGTAATCTCCGACATCGAGTTTCTTGGACGGAGGGTCGTGAAATATTAATACTTCAAACATCACAGAATACGATCGAATTATCCGAGGAGGGGAAGGAGGCGGTTGTTCTAAAGAGCACGAAAATAATTACGACAAGTGTTTGTTCGAGCAAGCGTGCAAATATAATAACGAACACAACGAAGAAGACGAGCCAGGTTCTTTCTTATAACTGCATTAATGTCCCAGTTAGAAATTTCCGTTCCCTCATTTCCTCCCATAAAGGACAAACGTGCAAGGATGTAATATATCGAGCGCGAACTGAGAATTTTAATAAATATTCTCCTCGCGTACGACATACTATATACGTCGCCGACGAAAACGTTGGTGAAAGCAACCGTTCGCGGGATCACCCGCTTCGAAGGCAGATTAACCAGCGAGATTAAATAGCGCTTTATAAATATCTCGATAAACAAAATTAGGTCTGCTTGCCAAATTTCCAGTGACTTTCGGTGCCTCGCGTGTCGCAAATGCGAACATACGAGCGTACCGACGAGTCGCGTGCCATTCCGTTTAATCCAGGCAGGAAGTTATGTTAATGTGTCCTTTAAGTAACATTATTTATGCATCTCTCCGTTGCATATTAACTTTTTTCGAACGAACCGGCGTCGCGTCGAAAATGTGCGTGTGCGTTTGCTGTATTTGGCGTTTCACAATGTGGTTTACTTTCCGTCTGAAGACCGATTGGGTGTGGTTGTGATGACGTCGGCGGGATACGATTAATATGATCGTATCAAGTAATTTGCCACACTCAAACTGCTCCGGAGCCAATTTCAATTAATGTAACCCTGTGATCGAATGATTGCTTTATCTGTGTGTTGTCGTTTATTTGATTGCGGTGAAATTCCGATAATCTCGACGACGTCGTGATATTAAGATTAGCACGCTCTCCTGCGGTGTTTTCTCACAGCGCTAAGAATAGTAATGTATAAAAGATAAAAGTACCGTGCAGGTAGTTATTGCCAAATTGATGACAAACAGTAGGAACAATCGACGGCAAACGTGAAAAGTATATTTTTTCAACGTAGTTGCTTACATCGTCGAGTTTTACAAGGCTTTATAAAATGTAATAATATTAATGTAGTAATAATGTAGTAGTAATGTAGTAAAAATGTAGCAATAATATAAAATGTAATAATATTCATACCTTAAAGATAAAAAGATAAAAAGCACACAGCGTTTATCCCGGTGTGAAATCTTTTGCGTCACTTTTACTCCCGGTTAAAAGTTTTATTCCCGGTGGCTAAAAATAGAGCTTTAAATTAGGGCGCTCAAGTTATGAAAATCGCGTTTGGATAATATCACGGTTCTCCATCGCGCGTCACCCATCACGTGTTTTGCAGCCAGAAGTCAATCGTTCTCAAAACTCAGGGAATTTATCTTTTAACCTCTTATAAGATATTGATTAGGATATTGCGATTGTTTAACGCAAGAAAGGAAGTTCGCGTAAAATTAACCGACGAACAATGTCTTTCTCTCACGATTGCAGAAACACTTAAATATCTTCGCGCTGCTTTCTCCATCAGCATCGCGGCGGACTACTCTAGAAAAAGTGCTGAAGAAGAAAAGAAAACACTTCGATGATTAATTAATCGCGCGGTTAATTTGCTACGCGCACCATTAAAGCCGGGCTTGGAAATGTTGACCACAGTGTGGCCTTGCCGCCCAACTCATCAGGCGTAATTCATATACTATAAATGAGTACACTGTTATAATGGAATCGGCTGATCTAGTTGTGCGACGAAAGTAACAGAATAAACAACTTTCTCGCGCAATTTCCGTTCTAGTCTCTACAACCGCTAATAAAATTTTCACAAGCGCGTACGATTGACCACCGTTCTTTCTTTCCATCTCCTTTCCCTTTATCTCGTTCTCGCTCCTTCTCACGACAAACTACTCTCTTCCCTCACTCATTCTCTAGTGTCACGCATGAAGCTGAAGGGCGCATGGATGCCATTTAACGCTGCTTGGCTCTCCTTACAGCAGTGAACAACAAAGTGAAACTTTTCGACGAGAAATTGATACGTCTGAAGCCACGCACGCAAAGTGAAGGGAAGGAAGCGTTTAGAAAAATATGCTGCTTTCGTACAGACCGAGAGAGGCGAATTTCAAGGGTTGAAATCGAGCGACGCAAATCGAGTGACTCACTCGGCGAGCTTCGCAAGGCGCGACGTTATTACGAGCGCGTGTTAAATAACGGCGCTTCGCGCGATGCACGCGAGTGTTGTTTCCTCTCGATGCAAGGCGCGAGGCGTGTCCAAAGATTACGAAGTGCACTCGAGACCGGTGCATACTTGCGTATGCCTGGTCCTCGTGCATTCTTGAGGTCATCCAAATCGGTTCTGGCACGGCGACCGCATTCTGTCGTTCGGCCCGCATCGTAATTCACGCGCGCGGTCCCACAAAATCTCATTATTATGTCAGGTGATTATTTCGCGAAACACGAATATTCGCAGATCGGCGGTCCCCTCGCCAATCGACACGCTCGATCGATTCCGATTTCCGCGCCCGCGGGATCCTGCTGTCCACCGTAAATTGCGACTTCCGATGAAGCAAAATGCCAAATTGCAACATCGTTCGGCAGTACTGCGTACTATTGCGGCACTAGCGCAGCCAATGCGTTATAATGTAGCCGCGAGACCACCTGAGAGAAATCTCTGCCTCGAGTTCTCTTACTTAGCTGGGCCATATCGATATCGACAGGTTGCGCAAAAATAAATTGCTGTCTAATAAAGTACAAATTCCTTCGAAAAATTCTGCGTCAGTGTTGTACATACGCTGGAAAGAGTGATCACTACCGAGGACACTACAAATCGAGGTCACATAAAATCTATAAAAGTCCGAAATGACTTTCTCCTCCGACTTATCCGCGAGTTTTCAAGAAAGAGAGAGAGAGAGAGAGAGAGAGAGAGAGAGAGAGAGAGCGAGCGAGCTAGCAGCAAAGCTATCACATAAAATCTTCGTTCTCTGAAATTTGCAGGAGGATATGGTATGTCTGTCTTGCACCGCGACAGGAGAGAGGGTCTGCTTGGCAGCCGAGGGTTTCGGCAATCGACACTGCTTCCTCGAGAATATCGCGGACAAGGTAACAAGGCGACTGCGACGATTAAAGTCGGCTCGAGTCCCTCGCTTCGCGCGCGCACGTCGAGCGCTGCATTATTTTCTTCTTTCAGAACATACCGCCGGACCTGTCGCAATGCGTGTTCGTGATAGAGCAGGCTCTCTCGGTGAGAGCGCTGCAGGAATTGGTCACCGCTGCCGGTTCCGAGACGGTAACGTATAAGTTCTCTCTGCCTAATAGCGTACACTCTCGCACGAGGGTACTCGTGCGACCTCAGTCTCGCCCAGCGAGATTCGTTTAGCTCCAGGGGATACTTCGCGTAGCTTCGCGCGCCGCAAAAGGCACCATCGATTACCCCCCCTCGTTTCGAAGGAGGACCTTCTCGGTCGCGAGTGCAACGAGGCTCGGGCGGACTCGCAGCTCGAGCCCGACGACCGCGCCCGTGCGATCCGCAGACCACATGCAAACAGTATGCTCGTCTACCTCGCGATTAGGAGCCCCTCATGCTCCCGGATTAAAACCATTAATGCAAAACGTAGACCCTCGTGATCTGCAAAGGAGTGGGCCATAAAATGCGTGCCGCTCAGCTCGAAAGTGTCCGCGCAAGATATCGGAAGTCTGAGAGACGTTCGGAAGACGTTTGGAAGGATCACGTGGACGTCTTTTGGATCACGTCTCTACGATGTCCCCCTTAGACCCTCAGGCCTGCTCGACTTGTCCGACTAAATTGTTCACGAAGGGTTCCTGATACATCGGAATATAGAGCTTCTCTTGCACTCTCGCACGCAACCCCCGCCCCCCGTCCCCGCCCCCGCCCGCCAACGCACCGCCCTTTGTCCGTATGATTTGTGTCGCATGCGTTCATGTAGCCGTGCAACACGACTTCGAGCCACGTTTTTCTTTCGTTTTTCTCACGATCGTTTCTGTCTTCACCTGTGTGGCCTTGTCACTCGGAACATATTAGCGCCGTGAGAAAGAAAAATCAACCAAACAGGGTATCGCCTGAAAGCTTAACTACTAAGACCGTCACCGTCACCGCCGACTGTGAAATATCATATGCGCACATTTTCTTTCTTTTTTCATATTTCTCTCTCTCTCTCTCTCTCTCTCTCTCTCTCTCTCTCTCTCTCTCTCTCTCTCTCTATCTATCTATCTATCTATCTATCTATCTATCTATCTATCTATCTATCTATCTATCTATCTATCTATCTATCTATCTATCTATCTATCTATCTATCTATCTATCTATCTCTCGTCTTTCTCTTTCCAACAAATCCAAATCAATACTTGACGAAGGAGATTCATTGCTTCTTGTGTTTTTCTTTGCAGCAGCAAGACAGTTTAGTAAGTATAATTTACGTACCGTCTGCGGGGCGCCGTTATGTGTCCGCTCTTGGGTAAAACGATCACTTGTTTGTGTGTTGGATCACGTCGTGATACGCTCTCGATCGAGTCTGGGTGAAGATACGAGCAGTTTGCTCAACGAAGGCGGTCTCAGCTGAACTTTGACGTCGCGCCTTCATTTAGCGCTAACTGAGCGTGATTCTGAACTGCCTTCACCCGACGCGAATGTGTCGCATTAATAATGAAGTTGAGAATGAGGACTAACCAACCTAAGCGTTCAGCTCAAAACACATGCGAAAAGATATAAAGTGTATAGAGTCGAATCAAACGTATCTTGTTTATTTCTCGCGCACACCGCTTTCGAAACAAACAGCTCGTATCGTCTCAAAGAACATGGCGAACATTCCGTGTTCTTTAATAGGGTTTGGAGAGTAACGTTGCTGTGCCTTAAAGTTGGTAGAAACTAAAGCGAAGATATGAGTTTTACGTCTGTTTTTGTTCTTCTTAAGTATCGAGACGCCATCACCCATCGATCGACCAAGCGATTACGCTGAGAGAACTTTAGTTGTTATTGACATAACCGTACCGTTGGGGCTGTTTTCTTTGGCTGTTTAACGGATTAACTCTCTGCGCTAAAACCGTTCTTCTGCAATCTCTATGCTTTAGACATAAATCTCGCGAGCCTCGCATCGTAGCTTAAAGAGGGAACCTGGTTTAAGAGGCTAAAAAAAGGAGATTTTTATGAATTTTTTTTATTGACAATGATGCAGTTGAGGTTCCTAAAACTTTTATAATATTTAACTGCCTATTTGAAGATGTAAAAAAAATTTTTATATTGTAAAATAATTGCAAAATGGCGCCATGGTGTATCTCTAATCAGAGCGCCTCGCCAACCGAGTTGCCAATCTGCGGGAAAAATGTAGCCTGCAATTTCGATCCGAAACAAAAAAACCAAAAAGATTATTAATTTTCATGTATTTTTATTCTATGTGAACCAACAACATGGTTAAAAAACCGTAAAATACAAAACTTTTTAGCACTTGAATAAAGAAATGACGGTTTTGAGAAAAAATTTCCTCCGTTTTTACCGCAATAACAATTATTTAAATTAATGTTTTTACCAATGTTTGAGGTTCGCATAGAATGGTTGTTCATTCTCTAGCTAACGCACTTTGAATCAAGTCGATTGATCAATTAGTTTTTTCTCTATCTTTCCCGCAGATTTTAAGAAAGTAGGAAAATGATATTTCGAGAAAAACGCGTTTAAAGTTTGTGGTACAAAAAAATATCATTTATTGGAGACTTACCGCAATCTTATGCTAATCAGCTGTACCAGGGCCATACCGCAAGCCTTCAGCTTCTTCATAAAACTCGTCTCGTTGCATTTGCTCCAGTCTACGAGCTGTGCGAGCTTCCTTGGTCGTGCTGCTTCGGCGCCGCTCCCCTCTCGTAACTCGCTGCGCATCGTAATTATCAACGAACATTTTACATTGCTGGCCGATATTGATTTCTAATAACTGCATCGTTAATAAAATGGCAGTGTAGTCTTCATTAAAGATGCCAGTAGCCAAATATGCAGCGATTTGAACAATTTTAAAGCCCGAATTGAGGTGTTTGGGAGCGATACGCCACACAGTCGAATTGAAGGATTCGTTGGAATTTTGTGTGTGCCCGCCTAAACATCTAGTCAAAAGATCTTCATTGGAAAGATCTTCATAGATCGAAGTAAGGTGTTTCTCAATATCAGACTTTATAACTGGAGCAGGATGTTTATAGTTTACGAGTTGACCGGCGGCTTCAGCTTTGCGCCACTCGCACCAACTGTCGGCGCCTGCGGGGCAATTTCCATGTTTCGGCTTTTCATCGGTCGAGCAATAGTGGTAGAGTGTTGCCATTATGCTCTTTTTCATATCACCCGCAGAATCTACATTTCGTCTTATGGCTAAACCGTAGTAAGTGATTAATTTTTTTATGACGAGATCGGTCAATCTCCTCTTGCCGCCAAGCTTCTCCTTTTTTTCTTATATTTCGAAGCCGCGTCCCCATCCGCTTCTGAACGCGTCCGACGCACTCACTTTTTTTTACAGGGCAATCTTCGCCATACGGATTCAAAGTCAAAGTGGACTTATAAGTTTTTCTTTTTCTATGATTCTATAATAATGTTACGGATTCACAATAATATTATCAGTACTCGCTGTATTTAATTTTTTCGCACTGATCGCACTCTCGTCTAAATTATCACTTTCATTCTTGGAATGCTGGTTGCCACGAAATCTTCTTTTCGGCGGTTTCGAAATGCGCTGCGAAGTACTTCTTGAGCCTTTTGGATATATATTTAAAACTGTCAAACGACTTTTGCTAAATAGAAACTCTTTACTCGTCGAGAATCAGAGCAAGACTGTAGATCGTTGAAACTATAAACTATACTCACGTGCACACACATAGACACGCATACACTCATACATCTACGTGACAATCTATAGGAATGTGTAATCAAATATCGTGCCGGCATATAGCACGTATGTATCAGTATCGGGTGAGCGCGCGGCCTACTCCTGCCGAGCGCTCGTATACTTGCGCGACGCTGATTCACCATGTATTCTATAACTTTTAAAATACTTTGAATTGGGCTCTGAAACTTTGGGAATATATTCTTGAATAGTTTAACTATCGATTAAGCAAAAAAAAAAGAAATTCGAAAATCTTGATCCTATAAACCAGGTTCCCCCCTTGATACCTACATTTATGGCCTCCTCTTATCAGTATACGCTTGTAGAAGTTGTCTAAGAAATTTTGTTAGGCTGACAAGCATTAGAAATACGTCGCACGGTACACGGAGAGGAGGCAGGAATTACTACGGAGTGAGAAGGGCGACAGGAGCTTTGACCAATCCTTTGATGCTTTCCAGGGAAAGGGCACCGGGTCAGGGCACAGGACCTTATTATACGGTAATGCCATATTGCTGCGACATCTCAATAGCGACATGGTAAATTGATCCTCTTTGTAATTTTACGCGATTACGCGGCGTTAATTCATACGTTTCATGGTTGCATAAATTTATGATCATGCACCGTAGTACCTCGCGTGTCTCTCCACGAGTTCGTCGAACGATAAGCTTGCCTTCGACGTCGGTCTGCAGCAACATTCTCAAGGTACACGGAGCGTACATACTCTTACTACCCCACTTAACTTCCCCAACGAAATCCTACTTTGCAACAATCAAACACGTTCCGCAAAATTCACTGCCAACAAAGGAGAGAGAGAATCTCTTTCCCGATTAATTCTCTCTTTATTTCCCCTAACGAATTCTCTCTCGTCGTACCGTTTTCTTCCGGCTGTTGTTCCCTTCCACTCCTCAGCACAACGCACTTCTCCGTGGGAGCAACTGCTTCATCAATGCAATCACCTTCGACTGAGATTGAATCGAAGCTAAAGTCCAAGGTGGCGTTGCATTGCGTTGCATTGCTGACGAACCTTTCACGAGTTTTCCGAGAAGCACGATCGCAAAGAGACACGCTTATTCGCGCGAAGCTCTCAGAAATTTATTCTCCCGCAGGTGAGGCGTGCTGGTGGACCGTACATCCCGCTTCCAAGCAGAGGTCCGAGGGTGAGAAAGTGCGTGTGGGTGACGATCTTATCCTGGTGTCCGTCGCGACCGAACGATACTTGGTAAGTACGTTTGACACGTGAGCAAGAATAATGACTCGAGGACGATCGAGCCAGTAGAGAAATCTGGGAATCTTCTCCTCGCTCCAGCACACCACGAAGGAAAACGATCTGTCGGTGGTCAATGCGTCCTTCCACGTGACTCACTGGTCGGTGCAGCCTTATGGCACAGGCATCAGCAGGATGAAGTACGTCGGTTACGTCTTCGGTGGCGACGTGTTGAGGTTCTTCCACGGTGGCGATGAGTGCTTGACAATACCGTCGACTTGGAGTCCAGCACCCAGTCAAAAGTAAGCTCCGATTACGTCCGTCGTAGCTCCATTAGCACGTACGCCGATTAGTCCTTACGCCATTGTGTGTTCGGGAATCAGGATGAAGCGACGACCTGTTTAAGAGGATCCTCTTAATTTTTATTGTCATCTTACAGCCTTGTAATCTACGAAGGCGGCAGCGTGATGAGTCAAGCCAGGTCGCTGTGGAGATTAGAGCTCGCCAGGACGAAGTGGGCGGGTGGTTTCATCAACTGGCTGCATCCTATGAGGATCAGGCATCTGACAACCGGACGTTATCTCGGTGTGAAGGAGAACAACGAGCTCTATCTGGTCGATAGGTTAGTATTTATTTTTAGAAAAGTTCAAGGGTCACGGTGAGATTCTTATACGGGCTCGTGTGATAATGTTTCCTAAATCTGCGATTATCTTCCCACGCAGGAATGACGCGACGATCGAGACCTCGACGTTCTGGCTGCGGCAGGAGAAGGACGACCAGAAGATCATCCTCGAGGACAAGGACCTGGAGGTGATCGGCTTGCCGATCATCAAATACGGTGACTCCACTGTCATTATGCAACACGCCACCACGTGTCTCTGGGTATCTTACAAGGTAAATAACGAAGATAATCCTGGAGAAGTGAAATGTAAACGAGAAAATCTGCTTCAGCTCATTTCGTCGGCTTTCTAGTCAAGTCTGAAAGTTTGAACATTTGACAGACAACCCGGTGGATTTGTGCATTATTGATCGTAATGATCCTGTTTTAGTCGTACGAAACGAAAAAGAAGGGCGTCGGAAAGGTCGAGGAGAAGCAGGCGGTGCTCCACGAAGAAGGTAAGATGGACGACGGATTGGACTTCTCCAGATCTCAAGAAGAGGAATCCCGCACCGCTCGTGTCATTAGAAAGTGCAGCAGCTTGTTCACGCAATTCATCACGTGAGTTGTCGTTAATATTATCAATTAACTTCTGTATCAGCGTGACACTGCTATACATATTGTTATGTTAAGTGTTTTATTATCCGCGTACACAATCGACACATAGAATCGTTCGAAATATCTCAACAATTCAAAGATTATAAATACCATTGTCACTTGACAAATATCTCGCGACCTGAGCGAACGAAGCGAGAAACGAAGGTGTGGACTTTGCCAAAATTATCGGATGTGTTTTAGAGGCCTAGAAACATTGCAAGTGAACAGAAGAGCGTCCATGTTTTTTCAAAACGTGAACCTCAACGAAATGGTGATGTGCCTGGAGGACCTGATCAATTACTTTGCTCAACCCGAAGACGACATGGAACACGAGGAGAAGCAGAATAAGTTCCGAGCTCTGAGAAATCGTCAGGATCTGTTTCAAGAGGAGGGCATACTGAATCTCATTCTCGAGGCTATCGATAAGATCAATGTGATCACCTCGCAAGGATTCCTCGTCGCTCTTTCCGGCGACGAGAGTGGCCAGGCTTGGGATCAGATATCCGGATACCTGTACCAATTGTTAGCGGCCATTATCAAGGGAAATCACACCAACTGCGCTCAGTTTGCCAACAGTAATCGTCTGAATTGGCTGTTCAGCCGGCTGGGCTCGCAGGCTTCCGGCGAAGGTACGGGAATGTTGGATGTGCTTCACTGCGTGCTGATCGACTCGCCGGAAGCTTTGAACATGATGAGGGTAATGAAACATTTCCGGTTGTATATAGACAAGTTATTTGACAAGGAGAAACATTTCTCAACAAATTTAAATCCCCGTTCTCGATGTAAATTTGCCTCCTCCCCCAGGATGAGCACATAAAGGTGATCATTTCTCTACTGGAGAAACACGGCAGGGATCCGAAGGTCCTGGATGTTTTGTGCTCCCTCTGCGTCGGTAACGGCGTCGCGGTACGCTCCTCGCAGAATAATATTTGCGACTTTTTGCTGCCCGGAAAGAATCTACTCCTCCAGACGCAACTGGTGGACCACGTGGCGAGCGTCAGACCGAATATATTCGTCGGCAGGGTGGAGGGTTCCGCTCTGTACCAGAAGTGGTATTTCGAGGTGACCGTCGATCATATCGAACAAACGACCCACATGATGCCGCACTTGAGAATCGGCTGGGCGAATACCGCTGGGTGGGTTATTTTACGCAATCTCTCTTTTACACAACCCTCGAGTCTCTAGATTTAAGATACGATTTGCTGAGAGAGACGTTAAATGCTTTCGATTAAAATCTTTGCATTGCCTTGTTTGCATGTCTTCTTTTCGACAGCTACATGCCGTATCCCGGCGGTGGTGAGAAATGGGGTGGAAACGGCGTCGGCGACGACTTGTACTCGTTCGGGTTCGACGGTGCTTACTTGTGGACCGGCGGCAGGAAGACCCAGGTGGTGCAAAACGCTACCGAACCCTACATCAGGAAGAGCGACGTGATCGGCTGCTCCTTGGATCTCACAGTGCCGGTGATAATGTTCACCTTTAACGGCACTCACATCATGGGCTCCTTTCGTAACTTCAATCTGGACGGCATGTTCTTCCCTGCCATCAGTTGCTCCTCCAAGCTCTCCTGTAGATTTCTGCTGGGTGGTGATCACGGTCGGCTAAAGTACCAGCCGCCTGAGGAATTTTCGCCGCTGGTGGAGAGCTTGCTGCCGCAGCAGATCCTATCGCTAGACCCGTGCTTCTACTTCGGCAACATGAACAAGGTGGTCCTGGCCGGCCCTTGGCTCGTCGAAGACGACACCGCCTTCGTTCCAGCTCCGGTCGACACCTCGATGGTCAACCTGCCGGCCTACGTCGAGCAGATCAGGGACAAGCTGGCGGAGAACATCCATGAGATGTGGGCGATGAACAAAATCGAGGCTGGTTGGATCTTCGGCGAGGTCCGGGACGACCTCAGGAAGATACATCCCTGCATAGTACAATTCGAGAGGCTGCCAGCTGCGGAAAAGCGCTACGACACTCAGTTGGCGGTCCAGACGCTGAAGACGATCTTGGCTTTAGGCTATTACATCACCATGGACAAACCACCGTCCAGAATAAAGACCTTGAGGTTACCGAATGAGCCGTTCCTGCAGAGCAGCGGCTACAAACCGGCGCCGCTCGATCTGTCGGCGATCATGCTGACACCCAAAATGGAGGAGCTCGTCGATCAGCTCGCTGAGAATACACACAATCTGTGGGCAAAGGAGAGGATCAGCCAAGGCTGGACATACGGACTGAACGAGGACTCGGAGATGAGGAGGAGTCCCCACTTGGTGCCCTATCCGAAAGTCGACGAAGCTATCAAGAAGGCTAATCGTGACACGGCCAGTGAGACCGTGAGAACATTGTTGGTCTATGGATACATGCTCGATCCGCCTACTGGAGAACAGCACGAGGGTGAGACTTTTGAACTTTCTCGTTGAACGCGTTCGTTCATTTTTAGACAGATCTCCGTGCGTTGCAAAATGGTTCTACATCACTTCATGGAATTTATGCTGATGAAGTATTATCGACGATAATATCAGTAACTGCTCATGGTAGTTGATCATCACACACGTGATAAATGACCTTCTAAAATTTTTCTATTTGCATCGAATGCGTGCAACAGAACGTGTTTTTGTAATTGTGTCGGTCTCTTGCGAGGCAATCCCGAGGCAATCGTTCGTTGTTATTTTTTAGTGTGAGTAGCTTCGCAAATTATGTATATTAATAACGTGTTTATTTTCTGGTATTTGTAGCGTTGCTTTTGGAGGCCAGCAGGTTACGACAATTATCCTTCAGGACTTACAGGGTCGAGAAGCATTACGCGGTCAGCAGCGGGAAATGGTATTTCGAGTTCGAGGTTCTAACAGCCGGACCGATGCGCGTTGGTTGGGCGAAAGCCGACTGCATGCCGGGCAGTATGTTGGGCAGCGACGAAAGTACCTGGGCTTTCGACGGTTACAACGTAAGTGTCGGCATTGCCTTTCCTTTCTGTAACTTGATGACTCAATCGGAAGCGATGTTTATATACTCACGGGGAATTTGTCGAGACGACTTTTCCAATGGTTAAAAAAAAAAAAAACGACAATTCGGCCTTCTCAAATAGTAATATAGTAAATTTTCGGTTCGAGCCGCAAGTAGCGGATAAGTAACGCGAAGAGACGTCCCAACTCGTCTCGATTAGATCTTGAGATATTAACGTTTCGTTTTCTATTTCGTGAGACCACTCTTTCCGATATTAATATGTGAGCGATGTGAGATTGCGTAATACCGCGGATTATTATAGCCACGGAAGGTGAGAACTTTTGTACAGTCCTCGGAGACTCGCGTATATACCATATATATATATATGCTTAGATTCTCTTTATGGATAAAAGTATATCCAGCCAGAGCTGCGTGTATAATCCGTACACGCAGTAGCGCGTGTGTTTGTCGAATGTGATATTATATAAGAGAAAGCGCCACGTGGCTCCCGTTCGCGACCTGCGAGATGCGAATAATCCATAAGAGTATGAATGTCAGGTGACCAAAGTGCACGCTGGCACCCACGAGTCATTTGGTCACAAATATCAAGTGGGCGACATAGTTGGATGTTTCATTGACGTGGCAGACCGAACGATCAGTAAGAGTCCCATTTCCCATTTCAAATTAGCCCGATCTAAAGAAGCCCCACTATACATCTATCTATACATATACATATATCTCTTCTGTTTCTTTTCTGAGTTTTCTGGTCACTACTATTGTATTTGTCTCGCTCTATATGTTTCTTTCATGTTGACTTGGTTTTCTATCTTGCATCTCCTTGTCCCAAGACGAATGAAATCGCAGGAGAAATTTCATTCGGCGAAGTGTGGCTTGACCTTTGATCAGTGTCGGGGGAATCCGCGGGGTACCCTCGCGGTATCGTGCAAGACTCGCGCGCAAAATCGTACACGGCGTCGAAGTATGTATCAATCAGCGATTAAAGGCAAATCGTATATAAGGTGCCCCCGCCCCGCCCCGCCCCAGCCCCGCGCCCTCAGACCAAAACGCGCGGGCGACAGAGAGTGCAATCACGATGTGCAATTTGTTTCGTCGCGCGGACGCCCTTGCTATGCCGGTCTGTGCCGATCTCCAGCGAGCGAAAGTGTTGAACTGCTGAACGTTTTGTTGTTTAAAGGAGGAAAAAGTATACTCGGGCACGGCCGAAACGTTCGGCAAACAATGGCAGGTCGGAGACATTGTCGGGGTTTTCCTGGATCTAATTGACCGAACGATTAGTAAGACGGAATCTTTAAGCGAAACGCTTCAGCTACCATTTCAAGCTATACACACATAATTTGATCTCAGGAGATAGATTACTGGATACAGGCACCGCGATCTTTAACGCGATCTCAGCCGCACACCCAGCATTAACCGGACCGATTGTACTATAGGCGACTATAAACCTACAAACGACACAAGACGCGAGACGCGTACGATCGTGTCGGATCGTGTGTCACCGAGACAAGATTTCATTGCAAAACGCGCGAGACCGCAGCACGTATTTCGTTGCGAACGATTGCCCGAACATCGCCCGTGGCACGTGGCCGGTGTCAAGTAGCTTGAGATCCGAACGGACGTTTGTCAGGCAAAATTTTCGCACTTCGCGCACTTTCCGGGGAAGAGCATCTTGCGTCGCGCTTGAGCTGTCACATAAGGGAAAATCCGTTGCGACGGTTACTTGGACGAAAGGAGCGATCATGCGTCTCTCGCACACAGGATATCTCATCTCGTCACCGTCATCTTAACAACACGTTGGGGTTAACCGCAGAACCAGAGACAGTCCTGGTTTCGATCATCATTAATACAATGCAAATACCATGCTCTGTCGATCGACGAAAATCATGTCTGCCCAATGTCTTCTCCGGTATCCAGTACTCTACTCAGCGTTTATACTGTCAGCGATATATAACAGCGCTTCCATAATCTCATATCTACTAATCACTAACACCACAGGGTGGCCCCAAAAGATACTATGTCGATCATATCACGATCAGCATTCCAAAACAGCAACTCCTAAATACAATATCGATACGGTCGTTGTACGAGCACAGAATAGTACACAGTATAGTGTGATCCTCTTCAGGGAGCACTTCGATATACATTACATTACAACCATCATGTCCATCTTACGATCGATCAATTACGAAGCACCATACTGTGCGGATTATTAAATTAGCGTCGGCCGGTCGGAGAGAAAATATCGGCTATTGTCTGTCCCGGCGGGACAGAGATTCGAGTCGTTATGATCTTCATTCTTTTTAACTCTCGGCCCTACGTACCTCTGCTTTTTGTTCTACTTTTTTTTTCTCGTGAAATTTGTTATCTTAGTGCATCGTCCGTGTGTGATAATATTACACGTATTTGATTTTCCATTACACCTCCCTCGAGTAACGCAGCTTGCATGCTTACTTTGTCCGAATTTGAATCGGTGGGTCATAAGAACGGAAGCAAGTTCGTTTTATGCGTAAAAATCAATATTCTAGTATCTCCAATTAGCATCTTTCGTATGAACTATCTTTAATAGAGATGGAGAGAAGCTAAAGTCTTTTTAAGTTTATCAAAGCGATCAGTTCGTATGGCCCACTGTGGCACTCGCTTTGCTGTAATTGTTAACTAAGCAAGATAATGCATCTCGTTTGAAGAACTTTTAATTGGCCGTATTAGAAATTTTATTAAATTCCTGCGGCTATATATATATATATATATATATATATATATATATATATATATACATATATAATTTTGTGTTTAGTTTGCGCTTCAACTTATGTATATCTGTATGTGTCAAGTAACAGTCGGCCTTCACGAAAAATTGCAATGATTATGTATCGCGCGCCTAGTTGCTCGGTCGTTGAATTTTTATTTCGTTTGGAAGCCGAAACGAACGTCTGACAGCTCGACAGACTTGTCGATCGAGGCGAATCTCTTTTACTACCTATTTTTAAAGCATACTTTCTTCCTGCATCGTTTTTTTCGGCTCGTTCAACGCTCGTTTCGATCTTTCGGCGCTCGACTTGCGGTTACTTTGTCCTATAAATTTGCACATTACGCAGGCTTCTCCTTGAATGGAGAATTGCTGATGGACGCACTCGGCGGCGAAACTTCTTTCGCCGACGTGCAAGGCGACTGTTTCGTACCAGCGTTCACTCTCGGCGTCGGCCAGAAGGCTAAACTAACGTTCGGCCAAGATGTGAACACTCTCAAGTTCTTCACCACTTGCGGCTTGCAAGAGGGCTACGAACCGTTCTGCGTGTACGTAATTTTAATTTGTCAATTAAAGAGTTTAGAATACGTTTCACGATGCGTCGTTTTTACAGTACACTACAGGAAAAAAGATTTACTATCTTTAACCAAACGGTTTAGTGGAGGCAATTTTTAATAGCAACCAAATATCTTGTTTTATATAACAAAATATTTAGTTGTCTCAACGAAATATATTTTCCTGCTTTGTTCTCTGAACCAAATGATGTTGTTCTTAGACTTCATATATAAAAATTAAGCATTTTAGTTATTTATCCATAAAAATTACATAATAACGAAATATTATTTTACATAAAACTAAAATAATGCCCAATGGTTACTATTTTGTCTTTCTGTGCACTAAAATTTAGATTTTATATATTAAGAAAAAATTATAGTATTTTTAACAAAATTCATATAGCTCAAGCTTTTTTGGTTGCTATAACAAAAGTATTACGTTATATACGAACAAACCAAGTAATCAAACAAGATATTTGTTTACAGGAACTAAATAGTTTTGTTGGGCATATTTTAACCAAATTATTTTGTTGTTGCAACAAAATTTAGGTTCACGCAACAATACGTTTTTCCTAGTGTGTGTAAATGTGTGTTACCTTTCACAGCAACATGAATCGCCCAGTCACGTATTGGTACACGAAAGATCAGCCTATTTTCGAGAACACCGACGACATGGCCGATACGCGAATCGACGTGGCTAGGATACCAGCAGGCTCCGACACCCCGCCGTGCCTGAAGATCTCTCACAACACGTTCGAGACTATGGAGAAGGCCAACTGGGAGTTCCTCAGGTTATCGTTGCCTGTGATTTGTCAGTCCAGCTTTATAACGGAAGGTGAAAAACTGCGCAGATGGCAAGAAATTAAGATGCGACAGAACAGACTTCTAGCTGAGCAAGTTGAGCAAGCGCAACAGACCGCGCCCTCGGCTCACCTGGAGCAAATCATGAAGTCTGGGTTCAGTATGAGCGATATCAAAGGTAACAACCTCGAAAATGCCAGTTTCGAGGACGGGAGGATTTCGTAGGACGTAGTGCGTAGCATAGAATATGCGTCGCGAAGGAATATGAAATTCCATTCGTTCGCTGCAATCTGACAAATAAGATATCTGGTCAAATCGACTTGAGTTGTTGACGCAGATAACACCAAGACACTCACGATACTATAGAATGTAAAAGCATGAGAAACACTATTATTTGATGTAATTTTGTGATAGACATTTATGCGACATTCGAACAGGATTGCAAAGGAATTACTCCGAAGATGCGGTCGAGGCGGACGAGATGCTGAAGGAGTCGCCGATTCCTATGCAGAGAGGCAAGCCCTCCAGGCCGCCTAGGAAGAACTCCCTTTACGGGTCACGCACTTTGGACAACGCAGTCAGCGAAGCCGAGATGAATGGATACGGCGAGATGAATGGTGACATAAAAGACGACAAGAAGAAACGCGGCCGCTCACCTTTTCGGTAAGTTACGGGTCGTTAATGAGCACCGTCTCGGATATGAACATTGCAAAGAGACAATTGACTTCGATACTTTGACTTTGTTAGCAAGCTTAGCAAAGAGATGGAGGATGTACCGTAAGTTGAGAATAAATTTCTTCCAGCCTTGATGCGAAACGTTGCGTCACAACTTTTATCGTTGATCTTTTGATTGGCCAAGTTAATTGAGAGATTTTCATCGCTTGCGCAGATTCTTCTCGCGTAAGGCCAAGTCGCCGGATGCAAAATCCAAGACGCCCGAGCCGCAGGTCCGCTCGGATATCTCGGACAAGAGTACGAGGACAGTCGGGAGCAAAAGTGCCAAACCTCCTCAAGTTTGTGTCTCGACCGTGAGTGTTTCGCAGCGTCATAGATATGTTCGCTATGAGAATACGAGGGAAAACGCGACAACATGACATAACATTCCGTCGTAGACGGACCTGAAAGTCGTGCCGCCCCAAATCCCAGAGCGCAATGTTCCCAAGGCGATGTCAGTGTTGACCGGTACTGGCGTCGAAGCGATCGGCAACGAAATCTTCGACGGTGAGTGTATGAAGCTGATGAACGAGTACTTCTACGGCGTCAGGATATTCCCTGGACAAGACCCGACTCACGTCTACGTCGGCTGGGTCACTTCGCAATACCATCTACACACCAAGGACTTCAATCTGTCACGCGTGAGGAAAGCCTCAGTCGCTATCATAGACGAGTACGAGCGTCTCGTGGAGCAGTAAGTTCTTCAGGATATATTTCCATTCTAATATAAAATGTATACTTTTACATGTCCTGAGAAGTTAGATCGAAACGAAGGATAATGTCTTTTGATCAGTTTTGTAATCAGGAACAGAGCAGATATAACTCTTGCGACTGCCGGATTGAGATCTAGTTTGATGTATTTGCTTATCGTATATAATATCTACGACGAATATAAGTTTAAAAACTGCTCGAAGCATCATCGGCGTGACATTGCAGAGTCGATCGACAGAGTTGCTACATGGTCCGAGCGGACGAACTGTACAACGAAGTGACCCAAGACGCGTCTGGCAAGGGTGCGTCTCAGGGGATGTTCGTCGGATGCTTCGTCGATATCGCGACAGGCTGGGTGTCCTTCACCTGCGAAGGGAAGGAAACGAGCCACAAGTTCAAGATGGAGCCGGACACGAAACTGTTCCCGGCGATCTTCGTCGAGGCTACCAGCAAGGAGATCCTGCAGATCGAGCTCGGCAGAACTTCGACAACGCTCCCGCTGTCGGCAGCCGTGCTTCAGAATTCCGATCGACACGTGATACCCCAGTTCCCACCCAGATTGAAGGTGCAATGCCTGAAACCGCACCAATGGGCCAGAGTGCCCAATCAGTCCCTTCAAGTGCACGCGTTGAAGCTGTCCGACATCAGAGGCTGGTCGATGTTATGCGAGGACGCTATCTCGATGTTGGCTCTTCATATACCCGAGGAAGACAGGTGCATCGACATCCTGGAGCTCATTGAAATGGACAAATTGCTCAGGTGAGAAATCGACTCACCTGAAGGTCATAGCAAGGAACTTCATGTTTCTTTTTTTAAGATTACCTCGCAGATATATGCTTCCTTTCGTTTCTGAGGATCTTTGACTTAAGTTTAAAACGAACTTGAAGACGTTTCAGCTGTCTCCCTTTTCCTCTTCACAGTTTTTCTAAGACTGAAAAAAATAATAATTGTTCTTGTGCAGTTTCCACGCGCACACGCTTACGTTGTACGCAGCCCTGTGCTATCAATCGAATTACCGAGCGGCGCACGCTTTGTGCCAACACGTTGATCAGAAACAATTGTTGTACGCGATACGAGCCGAATACATGTCCGGGCCCCTGCGACAAGGATTTTACGATTTACTCATCGCTCTACATCTCGAATCACACGCAACTACGATGGAAGTGTGCAAAAACGAATACATAATACCGCTCGGTGAGTACTTGTGCAAAACGCACAATCGAGACGTTTCTTCAGAGTTGCGCTCGTTTAAATGAGATTTTACTCAGATGCATCAAGGCCGATTTGAATTATTCTTTTAACCTTGATTCGTATCTTAAGGAATCATTCCTCATCGAGATAAAGTCACCTAATCAAATATTTTTTGTCTTTGTAGACATGTGCATTTTTTATATGTATTTTATTACGCTGTGATTTGTTCGTTGCGCAGGTCAAGAATTAAAGGATTTGTACGAGGATCCCGAGATGAAACACAGTCTCAGGTACTTGAAGACCGAATCAATTCGGCCGCAGATGAAGATGACCGAGATCAGGTAAGTGAAACTTTCTCCCCAAAATAGATGTGAAACCCCTACTAATCAGTCGCCATCAAGGGATGTTCCTTCCAGTGATCAGGCGATCGACAACATACGCAATCTGTACAGCCCGTACTTCCCGCTCGACGTTGTGCGGGATTACGTGATGATGGCGCTCAACGAAGCTGTCGAAGTGAATCAGGTGCACAATCGAGATCCGATCGGAGGCAGCAACGAGAATCTCTTCCTGTATGTAAGATAATAAGTATGGCTGCTGCTGTTGCTGCTGCCGCTGCCGCTGCCACTGCTGCGACTAATGTTCTTCGTCAATGCTACCGAAGCGACGATATTATCATCGTGCCTATTTTTTCTTTTTTTCATATATTAATACGAGAAACAAGACTTGCAGAATCTTCGTCTCAAGCTGTCTTTCTTGAACAGGAATTTCTGACTTTTCGCTTATCTCGCTTACGGTCCCTCTCTTGACCAAAGACTTCTTTGTACGTTCCTTATATTGCAGACCTCTTCTGAAGCTGGTGGATAGATTGCTCTTAGTAGGTTTGCTGACGAACGATGACGTGTTCAAACTGCTCATCATGATTAATCCCGAGACTTGGGATCCGACTTTCGACAAAGGTAAGGATAACGTGTTACACTTGACGAAATGTTTTCTACTGACAAACGTTTGTCAGTCAGTTGTTGTTAACACACAGTAACTGACAGACAGACAGACACAAGCTGATTCGATGTTGCATTAAAACGTTGCAGAAGGGAAGGACGAGCATAAGAAAGGCTTGCTGCACATGAAAATGGCCGAGGGCGCCAAGTTACAGATGTGCTACCTGCTTCATCACCTGAACGACATCCAGCTGCGCCATCGTGTCGAGTCCATCATCGCCTTCAGCCACGATTTCGTCGGAGAGTTGCAAGCCGATCAATTGCGACGTTACATTGAGATCAAGCAGTCGGACTTACCGTCTGCCGTTGCCGCCAAGAAGACCCGAGAATTCCGATGTCCACCGCGCGAACAGATGAACGCCATTTTGAGTTTCAAGAACTTGGACTCCGAGGAAGATCCGGAGAACTGCCCCTGCGGCGAGGATCTGATAGTGAAGATGAACGAGTTCCACGGCGACCTGATGTCCTACGTGTCCTTGCACGCTCTTCAGGAAGCGGCCGCCGCCAATGAGTCGAACGACGATTCTCAGAAGCCGGGAGCTATGAAACGCCTCCTTAATTTCATCAACGCAGTTAAAGAGCTCGAGGAGGAAGTAAAACCTGACGCGGAGCCTGAGAAAAAGACTCCTGAAGGTGAGTCCTTTGATTTGCAAGTCCTCGCAGCATTTGAGTTCGGCAAGTAAATTTTAGTCTACGTATATAAGATAGATATGAGTAAATAAATGATCAAATTCGCTCGACGCGCTCCTTACAGAGGTGTTCCGCAAGGTGCTGATAGCGACCATCGTAAAATGGGCCGAAGAGTCGCAGATTGAGACACCGAAACTCGTACGAGAAATGTTCAGCTTGCTGGTCAGGCAATACGACACCGTGGGTGAGTTGATCCGGGCCTTGGAGAAGACCTACGTTGTCAACAACAAGACCAAAGACGACGTCGCATTGATGTGGGTCGGCCTCAGCCAGATTCGCGCCTTGCTGCCGGTGCAAATGTCGCAGGAGGAGGAGGAGTTGGTCCGCGAGAGATTGTGGAAGTTGGTGAACAACCACACCTTCTTCCAGCACCCCGATCTCATCCGAGTACTGAGGATTCACGAGAACGTGATGGCGATCATGATGAACACCCTGGGAAGACGCGCCCAGGCGCAGTCCGACGCTCAGACTCAGACACAAGCGACCGAGGGCGAGCCAGCGTCGAAGGAGAAGGACACGTCTCACGAGATGGTGGTGGCATGCTGCAGATTCCTGTGTTACTTCTGTCGCACATCCAGGCAGAATCAGAAGGCCATGTTCGACCACTTCGACTTCTTGCTGGAGAACAGCAACATCCTGTTGGCTAGGCCGTCGTTGCGAGGTTCGACGCCGTTGGACGTGGCTTACTCTTCGCTGATGGAGAATACCGAGTTAGCGTTGGCCTTGAGGGAACACTACCTGGAGAAGATTGCCATTTATTTGTCACGTTGCGGCCTGCAGTCGAATTCGGAGCTGACGGAGAAGGGCTACCCTGATTTGGGCTGGGATCCTGTGGAGGGTGAACGTTACCTCGATTTCTTGAGGTTCTGCGTGTGGGTCAATGGTAAGGCTCGACGTTTTATCATTTGCATCAGTTGTTTCATACAATTTCTCAGCTGAAAAGTAACACTAGATGCGATTCTTGTCTGATATCAGGTGAGAGCGTGGAAGAGAATGCCAACTTGGTGATTCGTTTGCTAATCAGAAGACCAGAATGTCTGGGTCCTGCTCTTCGAGGCGAAGGTGAGGGTCTGTTGAGGGCCATCATGGAGGCCAACAAGATGTCCGAGCGCATTGCTGATAGGCGAAAAGTAAGTTATGTTGAAATTGAAACTTCGATACTTCTTTATCTCCCAGAGCGCGAAGCTAGAAATCAAAATCAGACTATTTCGTAAGTAGGAAGCAGCTTTCTTTTGATTGTCGCTTCAAATGAAATCCATGTATTGTTAATTCTACATGTACCTAGGAAATTACAAGCACAGCCCTTATATATTCTCATCAGACAACTACTTCAATTCTGACCTATGTGGATTGAATTAGTCTCCATTTCAATAACTTACTCGGTCCTTTTCTCTTCTCTCTATCCTTTGATACAAAATACGCCTTATTCGACTGTTCCCTGTTGCATTTTAATATGCTTTGTGGTGAGACAAACCCCATTTCAACTTAATGTCTTCGGTACTTACAATCAACACGGTTGAGCTTCTGAAGACGTGTCGAATTCTTTAAATATGGCACGAATAAAATGTTGACTATGTCGCACACATTGAACTCCCCCGTTTGCAAGCCCACTGTTATGCACGTGCACGAACTTTCATTAATACGGTATCAACTTAGTACTTCGCACAGGTGCAAGACGAGCCCGAGGGCACGGCTATGGTGATGCAGTTCGAGCACCCGCTTCCCGAATCAGACGACGATGAGGACTACATCGACACGGGCGCAGCGATCCTGAACTTTTATTGCACCCTCGTCGATTTATTAGGTCGCTGCGCTCCAGATTCTTCTGTCATAGAACAAGGTAAAGAGACAGTTCAAAAGAAGCCGACATTCTCATCTTCATTAACAGAAAATATTCACGACTTTTACCTTTATTATTTGTTATTTTATTTGTATGAGAATATAACTTATATTTAAATAATAATTAAGGTATCGTATATAAAATAATATAATAATAATAACAAGTAGATTTAGAAATAAGAAAAATTTTCTACAAACTCTATCGAGAGCAAACATCATTGATAATAAAAAAACATTATATTGGGTCTGGGAAAAAGTTCGTGGCGTTTTTCCCGATAGATGGCGTCAATTGTAAATAACTCAGGAAACACAGATCGCAGCGACACCATTAAACGCTCGTTGGAAAGGTGACACCTCGAGCGTTACTTTGAGAGCTAATTATTTGTCGGAAGAAAAGTGGTATTAAATTTTCTTGCTTTATTTAGTCTCAGGAATATATTGTTACAATAGCGCCCTAATTTTTGTTAATTTGATGATTTTGAAATTTCCAAAAATCGGTAAGTTAAAAATCAAGACGCTATTGTAACAATATATTCTTGAGACTAAATAAAGCAAGAAAGTCTAGTACCACTTTTTCTTCCGACAAATAGCGAGATATCGTAAGTTAAATATTGAAAAAGTTATTAAGTTTTCCTCAAATATCTAAAAAAATATTAGAAAAACAAGTAAAAAAATGTTTTAGACAAAAGTTGTTCAAATCAACTAGTAGAAAAAACACACAGTGTAATAAAAAATAAGGATTCCTATTTAGAAAACGCAAGTTGACCTTCAAGTGACCTTGAAAATAGAGGTCAAGGTCAAAGTCAAGGTTATCATAAGGTAGCTCACTTAAATCCCTACAACTTTTATTCAGATCATTTTCCCTCAAAGTTCAATACTGAAGAGTTATTTAGGGTGGGACATTAAAATGGGACACCCTGTATATTGCTTTATAATCGTGAGCATATCAACTATCGAGCCAAATCATTTCTCACAATAGGACATTTTCACGTGCATTTACGTGCGACGTAAAGTCGCGTGAAAATTTTGTCGCTTGCAAAATGTAACGAATTATCTAATGACAGCGTTTATATTTTTGCTTTCCTAATGGGCAACAGAGGTCTCTACAAAGTCTGTTGGTAATATACGTAAATGAAACTTTGCTTTGGTAGAACGTTATTGAAACGATGCTCGTTTGCCTGAAGCCGCGTAATCGTTTCAGGGAAGAACGAATCTCTGCGAGCTCGGGCGATCTTGAGATCGCTGGTGCCTCTGGACGATCTTCAGGGTGTGTTGTCCTTGCGATTCACCCTGCTCAACCCAGCCGCAGGCGAGGAACGACCGAAAAGCGACATGCCATCGGGCTTGATACCGGGACACAAGCAAAGCATCGTGCTGTTTCTCGAACGCGTTTACGGCATCGAAACGCAGGAATTATTCTACAAGATATTGGAGGAGGCCTTCCTGCCGGATTTACGCGCTGCCACGATGCTCGATAGAGTAAGTCGCGTTATGTCTCATCTACTTTGTGCGGCAACATTTAATCTCATTGTTTTATATAATAATCATTCACTTATTTATTATTTTAAGGTACGCGCGTGTGCAAGATGGAAAATTCTGATTATGAAAATTTGTTGGACTTATTTGTAGTTCAAGCTTAGATAAGCACAAAATATTCGATTTGTGTGTGTGTTTCTCCGTTTCTTTCTATATTCTGAATTACTTACAGAACGATGGTTACGAATCCGACATGGCGCTTGCTATGAACCGCTACATAGGGAACAGCATTTTGCCGTTACTGATCAAGCACTCGAAGTTTTACAACGAAGCCGACAATTACGCGAGTTTACTCGACGCTACGTTGCACACGGTCTATCGGCTCAGTAAGAACCGGATGCTGACGAAAGGACAGCGAGAGGCCGTTTCGGATTTTCTCGTTGCATTGACTAGGCAAGTGATGATTAGAAATGATTGTCTCTCTTCTCACATTACCCGGTAGTACCTTTCCGTACATTCGTGTCGGTTTTATCTCGGAGATTAATTTTTTATTCTCCTTGCAGCCAGATGCAGCCGAGCATGTTGCTGAAGTTGTTGCGCAAGTTGACTGTTGACGTGTCGAAATTGTCAGAATATACCACAGTAGCACTCAGAGTACGTTTATTTCTCCGCAAATTATTTTCCATCTTACTCTATTTTGCATGTTAACGATTGATACGTAGTCGCGTATTATTATCCTTGAAAAATTTCTATTCACGAATTTCGCTTGTTCGCTTCGTTACTGTTGTTATTAATTTGACCGTTTTGATTATTATTCTTATCTTATCATTTTCTTCGTTATGCTCTCAGCTGCTGACGCTGCATTACGAACGTTGCGCAAAGTACTACGGCTCCACCGGCGGTCAAGGCGCGTACGGGGCGTCGAGCGATGAGGAGAAACGCCTCACAATGGTCCTCTTCAGCAATATATTCGACTCCTTGTCCAAGATGGACTACGATCCGGAATTGTTCGGCAAAGCGCTGCCTTGCCTGACGGCTATCGGCTGCGCCTTACCGCCGGATTATTCCCTGTCGAAGAACTACGACGACGAGTGGTACGGCAGCAAGTCGGCCTCGACTCAATCACCCGACGGCCCTTACAACCCGCAGCCAATCAACACCTCCAGGTTCGTAACTTTATAAGCAACTTATTTTAGCGTTCATCAGCAATCGGGTTAGTGTTTGGCAATTTCGGACAACCGCCGCGAGTCGCGTGCTTGACGCTTCGACATGATTTATAATTGCAGCGTGGTGCTGAACAACGATCTTAATCAGATAGTACAAAAGTTCTCGGAGCATTATCACGACGCTTGGGCCAGCCGGAAACTGGAGAACGGCTGGACCTACGGCGACCAGTGGTCGGACACGAATAAGACTCACCCGCGATTGAAACCGTACAACATGCTGAACGACTACGAGCGAGAACGATACAAAGAGCCTGTCAGAGAGAGCTTGAAGGCTCTATTGGCGATCGGTTGGAGCGTGGAGCACGCAGAGGTCGACATGCCGTCGACCAATCGTAGTTCCATGCGAAGGTCTTCCAAGAGTCAAGTAAGAGATTACCCGGAGAAATTTGTTCATATTTGTTTCATGTATACTCGTGAGAGAAAGACACGCGTTTGCCATGTGCACCTTTCAAATCGCACAGGGCGACTCGGCAAATCCATTTAATTACAATCCTCACCCGGTGGACATGACGAATCTGACGCTGAGCAGAGAGATGCAGAACATGGCCGAGAGGTTGGCAGATAACGCACACGACATCTGGGCCAAGAAGAAGAAGGAAGAACTCATTACTTGCGGTCGGTCACAAGTCAAAGTTTCATGACCCATTTATGCAGCATGTGAATTGCATAAAAATTGCATAGAAAACCAGTCGCTCCGACTATTCTGCTTCCGACTGTTCATTTTCCGACTCTTCTTCGAGTCTGAAAGTTCAATTCGCCGGATAATATATTTTACGACTATGTTGCCTTACAGGAGGCGGCATTCATCCTCAGCTAGTACCGTACGACCTGCTGACCGACAAGGAGAAGAGGAAGGATCGCGAACGGTCGCAGGAGTTCCTCAAATACCTGCAATATCAGGGCTACAAGCTTCACAAGCCTAATCGCGGCGGGACCGAGACCGAAGTGGCCGGTGCGGTCGCTTCGGTGGAGCTGAGATTCGCTTACTCCTTGTTGGAGAAGCTGATAGCGTATCTGGATAAGGCGACGATCAACATGAAGCTGCTGAAGCCCTCCGACACGTTCAGCCGCAGGAACAGCTTCAAGACCTCCACCAGGGACATCAAGTTCTTCAGCAAGGTAGTGCTGCCGTTGATGGAGAAGTACTTCAGCACACATAGGAATTACTTCATCGCCGTCGCCACCGCCACGAACAACATCGGTGCTGCGTCCTTGAAGGAGAAGGAGATGGTAGCCGCGTTGTTCTGCAAGCTGGCGAGCTTGCTGAGATCGAGACTCGCTGCCTTCGGCGCGGACGTGAGGATAACGGTGCGCTGTCTACAAGTACTCGTGAAGGGCATCGACGCTAAGAGTCTCGTGAAGAATTGCCCAGAGTTCATCAGGACGTCCATGTTGACCTTCTTCAACAACACTGCCGACGATCTGGGCCATACGATCTTGAATCTTCAAGAGGGCAAGTACAGCCACCTCAGAGGCACTCACTTGAAGACCTCCACGTCGTTGTCGTACGTCAACAGCGTGGTTCTGCCAGTGCTTACTGCGATGTTCGATCATCTTGCCGCGTGCGAGTACGGCAGCGACTTGTTACGTGAGTATTCGATACCTTGAGAAGTTGATATAATTCAGATATGATCAGGCAGTTCAATTCGGTCGGGAAAATTTCCTACATTGCTAATAAATGTAAAATATATATCTCATAACTTTCCTCTTAATTTCTATCTTTCTTATTTCTTTCTCCCATGATTATTATGCTTCATTGAAGCTTGCTTCATTGAAGCTAAACATCAAGTGATGTTTCTTTCTTCAATGGAGCGAAGGAAAAATTCAGCATGTATATGATTTAACCGATTACACATCCTTTTCTGCTTGATAGTTGACGAAATTCAAGTAGCATCATACAAAATGCTGGCGTCTCTTTACACTCTCGGAGTGGACGCTAGCTTGACGCACGATCGGAAGTACCTGAAGACAGAGATCGAGCGACATAAACCTAACTTGGGCTCTTGTTTGGGAGCTTTCTCGAGCTGCTTCCCGGTGGCCTTTCTAGAACCGCACTTGAACAAGCACAATCAATATTCCCTGCTCAATCGAATCGCGGATCATTCGTTGGAAGCTCAAGACATTATGTCGAGGATGGAGTCGAGTATGCCTACGTTGGAGACCATCCTTACCGAAGTCGATCAGTTCGTCGAGTCCGAAAAGACCTACAACGACGCTCCTCACGTTGTCGATGTGATCCTTCCATTACTCTGCTCGTACCTGCCCTTCTGGTGGGTGCAAGGACCCGACAACGTAAACCCGACCGAAGGTACCTATGTCAGCATGGTCACCAGCGACCACATGAATCAGTTGCTGAAGAACGTGCTGAAATTGATCAAGAAGAACATCGGTAATGAGAACGCACCGTGGATGACGCGCATCGCTGCCTACACGCAGCAGATCATCATCAACTCGTCTGAAGAACTGCTGAAGGATCCGTTCTTGCCTCTGGCGGAACGCGTGAGGAAGCGAACGGACACCATGTTCCACAAGGAAGAATCCCTCCGAGGCTTCATCAAGTCCTCGACCGACGATACCTCGCAAGTTGAGGCGCAAATACAGGAGGATTGGCAGTTACTGGTCCGCGATATCTATTCGTTCTACCCGTTACTGATCAAGTACGTCGATCTGCAGAGGAATCATTGGCTGAGGAACAACATTTCCGAAGCCGAGGATCTGTACAATCACGTGGCGGCTATATTCAACATCTGGTCCAAGTCGCAGTACTTCTTGCGCGAGGAGCAGAACTTCATATCCGCGAACGAGATCGACAACATGGTGCTCATCATGCCGACTGCAACCAGAAGATCTACAGTATCTGACAGCTCCGCGCCTTCCGGAGGAGGCAAGGTTCGTGCAAGTAGCTCAATGATCGCGACAACTTGACTGAACTTTCATCGATTATGACGCATTTAAATCACGAAAAATTTCGATTTCACTGAAACTGAAGACTAATATCTGAGGGTGTTTAAGCGTCACGACTCGGCTTTCAGAAAAAGAAGAAGCACCGTGACAAGAAAAGAGACAAGGACAAGGAGGTGCAAGCATCCCTCATGGTTGCTTGCTTGAAGCGGTTGCTGCCCGTCGGCTTGAATCTCTTCGCCGGTCGCGAGCAGGAATTGGTGCAGCATTGCAAAGACAGGTTCCTGAAGAAGATGCCGGAATACGAGATCGCCGAATTTGCCAAGACCCAGCTGACGTTGCCCGACAAAATCGATCCTGCCGACGAAATGTCCTGGCAGCATTATCTGTACTCCAAATTGGGCCAGAAGAAGGACGTGATCGAGCCTGTGAAGGCTCAACAGCTGGAGGACGTCGTCGCTAGGATCACCGACATGGCCAAAGTGTTGTACGGTTTACACATGGTCAGTTAGAGATTTTTGTCACGCTGTTCAACAAGTAATTCTTGAAAATCTCTCAGCTAAATGTTCGAATTACTCAGAAAGATCATATTTTCACGGTTCCGTCGTGCTTTTCGATTCGCTTGAGATGAATGTTTAGATTACGCGGCTAGCATTATTGTACAGCCCCTAGGAATCATTACTGTTCTCCTTTCTTTTGAATAATCAGGCTGACCTCTTCATTTCACTTCATGCTTTTATGTTCCCGAGTAGATCGATCATCCGCAACAGCAGAGCAAGAGTCAGTATCGATCAGTGGTGTCGATTCAACGTAAACGAGCGGTAATCGCTTGCTTCCGCCAAATTTCCCTACATTCCTTGCCCAGGTATCCTTCTTGTTATTCGGTTGCCGTTGCTTCAGTTCACTCACTAACCCCTTCAGCCGCAACGTCGTGGCGTTGTGGTATCAGCTCACCGTTCTCTCTCAGCAGCATTCGAGTTACTTTTACGTGCGATTGATTTGCGTAGAATCAATTAGGCATTTTGCTGTTTGTCCAAGCGAGAACAAGTTAGACGATGAGCATCTCGATGTTCGATAGTGTATGATCGCAATGAACCGACGAGAATAACCGTTGAACGATTTTACTTAACGAGTGCGCTTGTGGTTTGTGTGTACACGCGGCTAACAGGCGACTAAGCCACCACCATCGCGAGATGGATGGAAACGTGTGCTGTGCGCTGCCAGAAAAAGAGCAGCGATTGCATGTTTGCGTAGTGAGCCTCTGTACAAGTTGAGAAGGTACGACTAATTATATATAACGCATATTATATATAATCCGCATTGTGTATAAAAAGAACTTGCTCGGAAGATTTCAACACGGGACTATCAACATGACTCTGCTCTCACAGGCATCGAGCTATCAACATATTCGCGCGGACGTACTACGAGCTGTGGTTACAGGACGAGAACGTGGGTCAAGAGGTCATGATCGAGGACCTCACGGTGAGTTGTCATCACTTTGTCGCTCTCGACCTACTTCCGGTGACGTATCCCGACCGCTGAGTGAGCCCATGGAAATATACATTCGCCTCGTGCCTAGCAATCGTTCGAGGACGCTGAGCTGAAAAAGATGGACAAGGACGAGGACGAGAGCAAGCCTGACCCGTTGACACAGTTGGTCACGACCTTCTGCCGCGGCGCCATGACCGAACGGTCGGGCGCTCTTCAAGAGGACCCGCTCTACATGAGTTACGCACAGATCATCTCTAAATCCTGCGGCGAGGAGGAAGAGGAGGGTGAAGAAGAGGGAGGAGGCGAGGAAGAGGGTGGAGCTTCGATCCATGTAAGTATCTCCTTAAGTGGAAGGATATATAATTCTTTTTTTTTCATTTGCCTCCAAATAATAATCCGAGAGGTAACATTTGACAACAACAATCGATTTAATTATACATATACGATTAATGTAGATCTATGTAGATAATTGCGCAGATAAGAGTGTCTACTTACATACGTCTCGTTGCAGAGAAGTTTATTATTGAATCTCGTACGAGTCATTTTTACGAAGCGTGAATTTGTTGAATTGTCCGTTGGTCGTTTGCTTGATGAAGTGATAAGGAAAATCCTCCAGGCAAACTCCAGAATCTGTCTATTAACAAATCCCCTATCTTTTTCTAACTTACTAATTCGCCTAGAGGCCGACGCATAAGCTACTTATGGTAAGCATAAGTAGTTAGTGCGACAATCCATCCGCTTAATGTATGCTCGCAGCCCAAAGTGTCAATCATTATGTGTTCTCCACATCTCGTCACCCGAGTCTGTCGAGTTGTACGTTGTTTTATTCATTGACTCGTCAAGTGATGTACAATGTACTACTGTTCATAAGCAAGCGAAACATCGTAGGCTGTTGCAATCTTGTGTTTTCCTCGCTCTCTCGCCCCGTTGATAACGATATTATTAAATCGCCTATTCTCTGTTTTAACTATGTAACTCTCAAGAGGCCCATGCATAAATTAATGGTAAGACGTTAGCATGCCCTATCAAATTTACACACGTTGCGAAACAAAGCTGCACTTTTCACAATCAACAACAGCAGTAATTTGAAAAGAGAAAACTGAAAATTAAAATTATGAATTACACATCTCATATTTATATAAAAACATTTTTGTATTATATGTGTGTTAGCAAGATTCGCGAGCACTCGTTTCCACTCTTCCACTTTTCCTCTCTAATATGTCATCTCTCGTGCAGGAGCAAGAAATGGAAAAGCAGAAGCTTCTGTTTCACCAAGCTCGCCTGGCGAATCGCGGCGTCGCGGAGATGGTCCTGTTGCACATATCGGCCTGCAAGGGTGTCCCCAGCGACATGGTGATGAAGACCTTGGAGCTCGGTATCTCAATCCTGCGCGGCGGCAACATCGAGATCCAGCGGGGTATGCTGAACCACCTGAAGGAGAAAAAAGACGTCGGTTTCTTCACGTCCATCGCCGGCCTGATGAACTCCTGCAGCGTGTTGGATTTGGACGCTTTCGAGAGAAACACGAAGGCCGAAGGTCTAGGAGTAGGCTCGGAGGGCGCAGCCGGCGAGAAGAACATGCACGATGCTGAATTCACCTGCGCCCTGTTCCGCTTCATCCAACTCACCTGCGAGGGTCACAATCTCGGTGAGTAGCGCCTCGCCGTGATCGACATGCGATTTCGACCACGATTGACGACTTCACTTCGCTCTCTCTCGGCAGATTGGCAGAATTACCTGAGGACGCAGGCCGGTAACACGACGACGGTGAACGTGGTCATCTGTACCGTCGATTACCTGCTGCGACTTCAGGAGTCCATCATGGACTTTTATTGGCATTACTCGAGCAAGGAGCTCATTGATCCCGCCGGCAAGGCGAACTTCTTCAAGGCCATCGGTGTCGCCAGTCAAGTGTTCAACACCCTGACTGAAGTCATCCAAGGTCCATGCGCGCAAAATCAACAGGCTCTGGCGCATTCGAGATTGTGGGACGCGGTCGGTGGTTTTCTCTTCTTGTTCTCGCACATGCAGGACAAACTGTCGAAGCACTCGAGTCAAGTGGATCTTCTGAAGGAACTACTGAACTTGCAGAAAGATATGATTACCATGATGCTTTCCATGCTTGAAGGTCTTACATTTTTTACTCAAAGAAAATGTTGGCAAAGAGCTGTGCTTAACAGTGTAGTCTTCTGATTGAAGGTAACGTCGTGAACGGGACGATTGGAAAGCAGATGGTGGACACCCTGGTCGAGTCGGCTAGCAACGTGGAACTGATCTTAAAATACTTTGACATGTTCCTGAAGTTGAAGGACCTCGTATCGTCGCCAAGTTTCTTGGAAGTCGACCTTAACAACGACGGTTGGGTGTATCCCAAGGATTTCAAGGAGAAGATGGAGCAGCAGAAGAGTTACACCGAGTATGTCTCGCGAATATCATCACTTTCTTCATCTTTGCTTTCAGATAACACGAGAGAATTAACTTTTCCGGTACTTTGTGCAGCGACGAAATTGAATTTCTCCTGGCTTGCTGCGAGACGAATCACGATGGCAAGATCGATTACATCGCTTTCATGGATCGCTTCCACGAGCCGGCCAAGGAGATCGGTTTCAACCTCGCCGTGTTGCTCACCAATCTCTCCGAGCACATGCCTAACGAGCCGAGATTAGCCAGGTTCCTCGAGACAGCCGGTTCCGTCCTTAATTACTTCGAGCCATTCTTGGGCAGGATCGAGATCCTCGGCGGCAACAAGAAAATCGAGCGCGTGTACTTCGAGATCAAGGAGTCGAACATCGAGCAATGGGAGAAGCCTCAAATCAAGGAGTCGAAGAAAACCTACTTCTACAACACCGTGGTCGAGGCTGGTGAGAAAGAGAAGCTCGAGACCTTCATCAACTTCTGCGAGGACGCCATTTTTGAGATGCAACACGCGAGCGCGTTGATGACCGTCGAAGAAAGCGGTGGAATCGGCAAGGCCAGGGAGTCCTCGTATACTTACATGACCGACGACGACGAGGAGAGGAACAAGGACCCGATCAGGCGAAGTATACAGGCTTTCAAGGACGGCATTTACTATTCCTTCTACATGCTCTCACCGGCTAACATCAAGAACAAGATTGCCGAGATGCAGCAGATGACGATCCCGGAGCTCTTTATCGGTTTCTTCAAGATGATCTTCTACGCGTTCTATTACTCCGGTTTTGGCGTTGGCCTCGTTATCAAATACTTCATGAGACTTTTGTTAACGCTGATGAGAGGACCACATCTGGACGAGCCTGTCGTCGTCAAGGAGGAAGAGGAGAAACCTTCAAGACACTTACCCGCCTTGCCACCCACACCGGATGAATCGAATCTACAGGTAAAATTCTGATTCCGAATGGATAAATTGTTTCTGATAAAATTCTTCTATCCATCTTCTAGTTCCGTCCAAATTTTTCCACTCACCCAATATATCATATATTTATATATAATATATTATAAATATATATGTATATATATTATATATAAGTATATATAAATATATATATTATATTTATATGTGTAGACAATATTTCACAAAAATATATATTATTTTAAATATACACTAACATAGGTGCAAGCGTTCGGAATGGATATAACGAAAGAAGAAGGAGGACAGATAAAATTGGCGCCTCACGAGTCGACCACTTCCACGCCACAATCCAGTATCGAAGAAACAGGCGAAAGCACTCCGGACGAAGGTACCGGAGAAGAGGGAGCGCGGGCTGAAGGGGGAGAGAGCGAAGCGCCTGTCACTTTGGCTGATTTGCTTGGGTAAATATTTAACAAACATGTGCGTGCGGGTGTTCACTTTATGTTCCGCAACAATATGTATAGAAATTTTTATGCTCAACTTGGTATAGTACAGAATATTTTAAATGTTCATGCGTGTTCACATGTTGCATTACTCTTCATATTGTAATAATTTTTACGACTACACATTCACGGCTTTATTATATTTCCATGTTGCATACTTTTCATTCTCACATAAATGTACACGTATATATGCATCATGATAAGAACATACAGTGAGAATTATTATTATTATTATTATTATTATATTATATTAATATTATTATTATTATTATATTATTATTATTATGTAGTAATTATTCCCGACTAATAAGGAGAGAGTAAAATTGATGTTATCTTTAAGATCAATCGCTTCGGAATATACGCATGGTCATATGTTTAAATTACGATAATTCAATTCGCAAAATTCGTAGCAACCTGAGACAATTTGAAAAATGCGCGACTCGATTTGTAACGCTGAAAATGAAACGCCTTGTTAATTAAGAAATGTTGAATAAAAAAGTTGTTGATGCAGTGCGCTTAAAACTGAATTGAGATGACTTTGACGAATCGATCGAAGCGTCCGTTTGTGTAATTATTCTTTTTCGTTAAACGGATTATTATTCACGATAAATTTTTACAGCGGAGAACAAGCCAGAGCTCAAGCTGCCGCAGCGGCCGAAGCAGCGGCGGCACAACAAGCGGCCATGGCGGCGGTCGAAGCCGAGGCGAAGCAAGAAACTACCGCCGAACCCTCGTCAGGATCGAGCGTCGACCTATCCCAGTATAGTCATCGCATAGTGTCCTTCTTGGCCAGGAATTTCTACAACTTGAAATACGTCGCGCTGATTCTCGCCTTTTGCATCAATTTTATGTTACTCTTCTACCAGGTTCGTGTGCGCAGAAACTCTGCGATATACATCGTATCTTATCTGTGAATCTCCGAGAGATAGAGATTGATATTGATATTTCATAAATTTGCGCTTCCACATGTCAGACGGAAGCAATAAATTCGGGAATTAACGCACACATGTGTATTATCATGCTAATTATCAATTATTGATTCAGGTCACATCTTTGGCCGGCGACTCGGACGACGAAGGTAGTGGATCAGCTATGGCGGACTTGCTGGCGGAAATGTCGGGCGAGGGTCCATCGGGTTCAGGAGGTAGCGGGGTGGAAATGGGCAGCGGTAGCGGTGAAAATGGCTCGGAGGAGGAGGACGATGAAGTGCCGGAAATCGTGGAGGTGGCGGAGGATTATTATTATATGGCTCACGTTATGAGGCTACTGGCTGCCCTTCATTCCATCGTTTCGCTCGCCATGCTGGTTGCATATTACCATTTGAAGGTATTTAGCGTGCAATTATTAACAGCGCAAACTAACGTTTAAGAGCGAAGTGTTAATCTGCAAGGTACGGCCGAATATTTTACGCGCTGAAGTATTTTCTCCGGTATAGTTCCTCTTTAATTCATGAGGCACGCCTGAGTGATAATGACAGATAGATGATCGTTGCAATTTTTACGAAAATACATTGTACTTGTGTTCATTCAGGTGCCGCTGGCTATCTTCAAACGAGAGAAGGAGATCGCACGACGAGTAGAATTTGACGGACTGTACATCGCCGAAACGCCGGAGGAAGACGACATCAAGGCTCATTGGGACAAAATGGTGATATCGGCCAAGACTTTCCCCGTGAATTACTGGGACAAGTTCGTCAAAAAGAAGGTTCGACAGAAGTACAGCGAGACGTACGATTTCGATTACATCAGCAACCTGCTCGGCATGGAGAAGACTTCCTTCAGTCAACAGGAGGAAGAAGGATCCGGCTTGGTTCATTTGTAAGCGAATACTCCGCAGTATTTTGCGCACCAATGGGGAGATTGTTTAATATAAAGAGAATTTTTTCTCCGCAGCATTGTAAATATCGATTGGAGATACCAAATTTGGAAGGCCGGTGTCACCATCACAGATAACGTAAGTTCTCTCAAATGTACTCAACGAGATTAAATTTGATATGAACGTATGTGTCAAATAATTTACGTTAAATATTTATACTATATGTGCGTGCATAAAGGCGTTTTGCTCGTTTCTAGGCATTTTTATACAGTTTGTGGTACTTCATATTCTCGATCCTCGGCAACTACAACAACTTCTTTTTCGCCGCTCATCTGCTGGACGTTGCGGTCGGTTTCAAAACCCTGAGGACGATCTTGCAGTCGGTAACGCACAACGGGAAGCAGCTGGTCTTAACGGTGATGCTGCTGACAATCGTGGTGTATATCTACACAGTGATAGCCTTCAACTTCTTTAGAAAGTTCTATATACAGGAAGAGGATGACGAGACGGATAAAAAGTGTCATCATATGTTGACGGTATGTTATGCAGAAAGTTCCCGTACATTGTATTATTTTTGCATATTCATGTTGTAAATATAAAACAATCAATATCACATACATATACGCACATCTTTGACAGTTACAAGAGAAGTATTAATTCTAACATAATTATCTCTTCGTCTATGTCAATTTCACTTTAGAATTAGATACATGTGTGTGTGTGTGCGTGCCGAGAGACGTTGATAAAAATTTCTTTATTTCTCCACAGTGCTTTGTTTTCCACCTGTACAAAGGCGTAAGGGCCGGCGGTGGCATAGGTGACGAGATTGGCGAACCTGATGGCGACGATTACGAGGTTTACCGTATAATGTTCGACATTACGTTCTTCTTCTTCGTCATCGTCATTCTGTTAGCTATAATTCAAGGTGAGCACACACCTGATAGATTGCGCCTTGGATTTGCAGCGCAAAAAAAAATGACGTAACATCGCGGTCGGTCCTCAGGTTTGATCATCGACGCGTTCGGAGAGCTTCGAGACCAGCTCGAGAACGTGAAGACGAATATGGAGAGTAACTGCTTCATATGCGGCTTAGGGAAAGAATATTTCGACGCGGTGCCGCACGGATTCGATACTCACGTCCAACAGGAGCATAATCTAGCAAATTACATGTAAATATTGACGAACATTTCTGACCTGACAACTTGAATTTTCAACTAATCTCTTGTCGTAGGAAGATGAACGTATATAATATTTTCGCGATATCATTCCTCGATTCGTGCCTTCTCGAAGCTGCGAATATTCGAGACCTCAGATAAACAGAGATTTCAATGCAAGCAGTTGCAACATTGATGATGTTGATCGACAGGTTCTTCCTCATGCACCTGATTAACAAACCGGACACTGAGTACACCGGTCAAGAGACCTACGTGTGGAATATGTACCAGCAGAGGTGTTGGGACTTCTTCCCGGTGGGCGATTGCTTCCGCAAGCAGAACGAGACGGTGGAGGAGGAGGGCAAGAAGAAATAAAGAAATTAATTGTAATTCTCTGGTAAATCAAGGCGACCAATCGTTAGACCAAGCGATCTACTCTTGGTAGGGTGCTCTCTTGCCTCCTCGAGCAGCGTCTTTGATAATCCTTAGCGTCAATTTTTGCTCATCGGACGGGAGCGCCGAGTCCGTTCAGAATCAAATTTTCACACAGGAACTCTACATTTTACCTCACATATTACAACGGGGAGAAATTTCACTTGTGTTAACTCGTTAACTTGTGTCTCCGTTTTCCATTTGACAGTTTATCGTTATTCCGACTAATTACATAGACCGAGTCTCTGGCGTGTGTGTCTTAGCGCATTAATTAGGTCTATTAGACTGCGTCTAGCGAAGGTGTTCGGACACGGAGAAATTCGCGGCTGAATCTCGAGTTTCGAGCGCTCGCCCGGAAATTAGCGAAATTGAACATATTTTTCCAACTTTGTAAGGACCGCTCGAAAGGTGCCCACCGAGACCGGGGGAGTTTCCCCCTTTAGACCGGCGTCGATCGATCGAAGGTAGACGAAAGCCCGAGAAGCTTCCTTCGGCTGACGTTACGGGTACGTTGTTGAATCGATGGGACGCGGCGGAACGGACTGCACAAATTTACATATTCATAGCGTTACAATTGCCTTCTTTTCATACGTCGGGTGATCGTGTTTGTGCATAATTTTGCCGCTGCGTCGCAGCGCGCTAATGTTGAGATATATGACATAGTATAAGAGTAAGTTGAAGATACTTAAAAAGTTTATATAATGTGCAAATCTCTATCGCTACGAGAAAAATGCGAACCTTTTCGACATTATTTATGACTGAGCTCACAGTATATATCCGAGAATGTCAATATATTGTAAATAAAAACTCTACGACAGGATTACCTGATAATAAATAAAGACATACTTCTTTACTCGGTTGTTTCTTCAGCATCTCTCTCCTCCTCTCCGTCTCCCATCGACGCGCATCAATTGCATGCGCTTAGTCGAGGTTAAACGACGCAGGACCACCGAGGGTCTCCGTTTTCCAGCGAAATTCGCAGAAATTGCCTCGTTTCAACGAATTTTCCCGAATTACACCACGACATTCACCCTCTGTACTTTGGTACCGATCGGCGCGATCGATCGCTCCTCCCGGCGATTCCGCGCGACGTCACGAGCGCGCGACGTCGCGTCGCGTCGCGTCGCGTAGCGTCGCGTCGACGTCGGCGTCCACGTCCGCGTAGTAAAATCTCGTATTTCCCGTCGCGAGCACGCAGCCAGCCCGAGGGAAAGCGGGGAGAGAAGCAACAAGAGTAAAAACGGCGTGTCCCTCCGCGCCGAAGGCGGAAGGAGGTCGCGCAAGCGCCTCGGCCGAGCCGCTCGCCGGTGAGGGTGAAAATCTTCAGGGTGAAAATGCACCATGGCATGGGAGGGTCAGCGGGCGATCGTCACGGCGCTCAAAACCTGGCGATGCAGGCAAGGAACGGGGTCTGCGACAAAATCGAAAATTACATATCCGACCTGGCTCGATGGTACGTGAGTAACCGCGGGGGCGGCAACCCTAAGCGCCCACAGGACGCCACTGTGTGTGTTTTCCGCCCTGTGCCGAGTCGGTAGGGTCGGAGGTCGGGGGGAGGGGGTGGACGACCCGGGCATGAAAGTAGCGTGTTTAGCTTCCTTTGATCGTGCAGCTTCTCGCGATTGGTATTGTAACGTGTAATCGTGGTATATACGTGGACTTTAGTCTCGATTGCAAGCTCCAGGACGTTAGATTGCGCGGTAACGACCGACGACGAGTTCAGACAATCGTAACACCGTCCCGGAAATTCGGACGATAGCGTTGTGTTGGTGCAGTTTCGCATGTCCTTTGCGTGTGTGAAATTTGGTACAATGCTCTCGCTGTGTTGACATACGTATGCTTCAATTCCCGCGGCTGACGTTTTACTTCAGATTTAGGATTAGAAAGTTGTTGGATTATCTGCAAAGTCGTTTCTGTTGTGAAGTCTATTATTGTCAAAGTGAATCCTCTTATCTCGGTATACTTGTTATGACATCGTGTCGCGTGGCTAACCAGGGAGCGTGATAGATACTTATCCGGTCAATGTTGCGTGATACTGCTTGTCAGAATAAGCTTAAGAGTGAGACGATGTCCGCATTTTATTGAGAACTAAATAGATTGCCGCTGAAAAATTAATTGGAGGAAATGGAGTTGATCCTCTCCGCGGGATGATACTTAAATTCTAAGATACCGAAATATTTATACAAATATTTATGATGGGGACGTAACAAAATTTAGATCTTTCAAAATGTTCTTGAATTTAATTGCAGGAGTACATCTACTCTTGCATATCTTTTTCTTTTGATGAGATAATAACGACTGTTTGTTGATGTATTGCGAAACAGGGCGGTATGGAGGGCGATAATAATGGGCCAATTTCTCTCATTGGTGCTATGCTTCATGACACTCGTAAATCATCACATGAACACCGCCTCCTACAAACTCTCGCTTCCAACAGGTAATTGATTTAGGACCGATAATTTTACAGTGCCAAAGATTTAAATCAATATGACCGCCACGAGTTCGTATTGACAATCTCCGATGTGTCGCACTTATGGCAGAAAGGTATATCTTTTCTAACACCATCGCGCTCTTACAAGGCAACTTGTGTGAGTGTAAGATTTATTTTGCGCACACAGAAAACCGTTTGGAGAAATGAACCGATTTCTTGGTCAAATATAAACGATTCAGAAATTTCGTTTGAAAATACGAGAATTCTAATTGTGTTCAACCAAAAATCTTGATTATTCAGATTGAATTCTAATAGTTTCAATTGGAATTTCGTATCGTTTAAATTCTTTTCATTCGACTAAATATTTTTCTCTCCTCTCTCTCTCTCTCTCTCTCTCTCTCTCTCTCTCTGTGCATATATTTATGACGTTCAAACTAGAATTCGTTGAAACTGCATCTACAAATTCTTGCTCGAAACGGCTAATTGACTGTCGTCGTTTTTGCGAGATAGGGCAAAATCTCCCGCACTATGTGATGATGTGCTTAGTCTACACGACGTGGATGTCCTGCAGAGGCGCGGGGAATGGCCTAATTTCCGTCATAAGGGCCCGTGGCTGGAGATACTTGCTTTTAGCGCTGATCGATGTAGAAGCATGCACCCTCATCACTTCGTCGCATCAATTTACCAGTCTTGCCAGTATACAGGTACGTGGACGTACAAGTAGACCTCTATGGCGAGATATTACGGATGAATTCATACGTTTATCTCTCACAACAGGCTCGCATCAATATTTACTTAAAGCTTCGTTATATTTTATTCACAATGTCGCTTATGAGAGAACGCTACTTCAGGCTGACATTCTCTTCGCTCGTTCATTCATGTTCGTTCTCTCGCTTTCTCGCGCTCATCATTTTACATTGCCTTTATCCTTGAGGATTAAATAATTCATAAAAGGGACTGCCGGTCTTTCGTTCTCGCTCGCATTTCATTGTAGCGAGCATGTCATTGTAACGCGTTTCCCATCGACGTCGTTCAATGTACGATTTCTTACTCGCACGCGTAACTTCCCCCGCGTCGCTGCGGTTGTCGTATCGGTGCTTTCTAACGAGCGTAGTACTCGCGTCAGCTATGAATGGCGTATGAAACAGGTATTGTAACTGCACGGCCATAGTGAAAAAGGAGGACGCTGGGTCTTCGACCCAACAATGCTTGTTCTCTCGTTGTCCGAGCCACTCGTTCTCAATCAAACGCCGCTATGTGCAAGTGTGTTGCAAGCCGTTCATTGTCGCGCGTTCGCGCACGTCGATTCCTTAACGTTGCGAATATTACGTGAAATGAGAAAAGGAAAAAAATATGTTTCAGCTCCTCGATTGCGTGGCGATACCGGTTGCCTTGGTGCTCTCGTTTCTGGTGCTGGGTGTTAGATACCGAATGGTGCACATCGTCGGCGTGTCCGTCTGCTTGATGGGCGTGGGATGTTTGGTTTGGGCTGGGATAGATGACAATAACGACCCCACGGCTACCGGTAATCATCGACGACAGCGCGACACGCTCCTTCGTTTTTAGAGGAGAATCGTTCTCAAAGAAGTCTCCGATAACCGTTTGTCCGAGCGGCGTCCGAGATCGCAATTGATTAGATCGTAGTTAACCAAAGCGAATTTAATTGTGATCGTGATGGAAGCTAACTTTATATATAAAATATGTACAAGATGTGTAACGTGTGAAAAAGAGTGCGTTAAATTAAAGTCAATTTCACGAAGGCGATACCAGGGCGCAGCGAGACACGCTGCTCTCCGTACGATGAAGAGAAGCGCCTGGCAATTCACGTAACGCACATTTTGTCGCACCAGGAAAGAACCAACTCGTCGGCGACATGCTGTGTCTCGGTGGCGCAGTATTGTTCTCGGTGACGACGGTCCTGCAGGAGCTGGCGGTTAAGACGGTCGACATTATCGAATACCTGGGCATGATCGGATTCTTCGGCACGATATTGAGCTGCATGCAAATGTAAGTACACCGTCGCCAAGGGAAGTAGCCGAAGAGATGCTCTCGCGAGCTTTGCGCGGTGAGTGCACATTTCCCGCTTCGTTCGTTTCGCCGCAGCGTTGTCCTCGAGAGGCTCCAAATCGAATCGTTTCATTGGGACAACGCGCCGGTGATAACGATCCTGATTCTCTACTGCATCACGCAGTTCATGTTCTTCTCCCTGGTGCCGGTGATTCTGTTCGAGTCGGGCGCCACCGCCTTGCAGCTGGCGTTACTCACCTCGGATTCGTTCAACATTCTGATGGGGATGCTTAATCATCACTACAAGGTAGGTCGCTGAGTCACGTCGACTCGTCGTTCGCTGCGTTCAGAAATCTTTCACTCGGTTTGATCGAGAAATGATTATGTTCTTGTGTGTATTTTATCTTATCTTATTATAGCTTTACCTTCCTTTTTTTCCCCTAAAGATCTTATTGTATCTTTAACTTTCTTTCTTTTTTTTTTCTACGGCTCAAATCACAATACGATGATGCGTCCTCCACTGCGTCTCGTTCTAGTTTCACTCCTTGTATTTCTTCTCGTACACACTCACGATGACCGGCATATACATTTACGCGATAAAGAGAACGCCCATGTCGACGAACTCACGGAGGCAGCACATCGAGCCGCCTATCCCGGATTACAGGTAGTGTCGCCGTTTTGCGGCGATTCTAGTCGCCCGTTGCTCGAGCGTTTCGAAGCTAAAGTTAAAAATTATCTTATTTTAAGACACATGTCTCATCCCGACGTCGGCGAGGTGGAGATGGCCACGAGCTCCGGCATGTCCGTCGTCAGCGGCACCCTCGACATGAGGGCGTCCACCCTCTGTAGCGAGAGGGAGACGATGGACGCGACGAGCCTACCCCTGAGCGTCAGCTCCGACACGGCCTTCACCTCCTTCTACGGCAGTCAGGTAAACTTAAAGGTAGCATCGAGATCGGTGCCGCGCGTTTCCTCCGATACGTATCTCGATACGAGCGCCGGTGCAATCAGCTCGCCTTGATGTCCGTCGGGGACGAGCTTGCGATCGGGGCTGCCGAGTCCAAGAGATCTTACGAGCGTCTCACGAGGCAGACGTGCTCCGCGTGATTGATCGCTTCCTTCGGGCTTCAGCGAGGTCTGTCTGTCGATGACGCGCACGTGACTTGACATCCAGTCCTTAGGAAATCTTCTTACGGTTGCAAGAACAAATCGCGTTGGTCGCATTCATTCCCGGAGATCAGCAGTAGAGTCGTCGTAGCCGCGTTCTTCGTAGGCCGTCTTCGACGCATGTCGTACGTCGTATGTGAAAATCGCGTGACCGGCTGACTCACGCGAAAGTAAGAAGAAAGAGCAAACGGCAAGTAAAACATTGTAATTAACTTTGAGATAGTCGTGGTGAATCGCGCGCCTGATTCCCTCGTAATCGTATACGAAGATACGACAGATGGATTAATCGCGCGGAGCTACGGAGGAGCTTTCGACTTTTCGCGGTGATCGATCTGCCTCCGACACAAGACGCGGTTTTCGTGATCTCTTTCTCAGCACTTCGTGGTGTAAATGAAATCTATGACGGTTTCAGGCTGCGAACGGGAACAACAGTTCTGCCTGTGATTAATAAGCGGAGGGGAACGACTGCCTAGAGTAGAATATCGTGCGACTTGTTCGTTCAAAGTACGACGTCTCAGAGGCCCTTTGGGAGCACGGAGGGATGTTTGTATATCGATGATTACGCGCGAACGCACACAGTCTCTTTTTAGATAGCCGTATAAAATTATTATTATTATTATTATTATTATTATACTGTATCGATTGTGTATTTAACGATAAGACCATAGCCGCGCCGTCTTTGAGTATCGTCAATTTCAGTGTGATTAGGTATTATTTAGTAGAGCGTTATGTATATGGTTGACTTTCCTGCAATTGTTCATATTGCTTGGTCGCTGCATCGTTTATTCATCATGACAATCTGTTTGAAAGTTCACAGCAGGCTCTATGCTCGATCTTTATTGGAATCAAACATTGAATGATATATCTGATCATCATGATTTTGCGACACTCGCGAAATTTGACTGTAGTAGATAAATAATTTTAACCCTGTGGAATATACTTGTTAATTTAATTAGAGACTTGCTCAATATACGTAGGTTACACGTAATTCATATTTTATAGACAGATTCACATTTTATAGGTGACTCCCGATCGTTAAGCTCGAAGACGGCCGTGAAATCAAAATGTGTAGCGAATTAGATGTTAATATTTCTTCTAGCCGACAACGTTCCCAGCATCGTTTATATAGACGCGGGCTAATTCTTCGCGAGAGAACAAAACGTGCCAAATGTCAAAGTCTGTTAGCACCCAGATCGTAGATCTAGGAGAATATAAATGCAAAACGTATACTCGTCTTACGTACGTCGTGTACTCATTTCCACTTGAATTTTTTACATTAACACGAATTACTCTCGTGGACGTTTGTTATTACTATTACGATTGATATATACTATAGTATAAATATATATATATATATACACACACACACACACACATATATATATACACACACACACACACACATATATATATATATATATACATACACACACAGAGATATTTATAAGTTACAATAAATATGATATATAACGAGGTTTGATCGGGGAGGAAAGTTTTAAATAATTTAATCGGACGAACTCTTCGGTCGACTTAATTAGTATTACGGTCAATGTAAGGCGACACATTTAACTCTATTACATCGTTCTATTCTTCTATCGCGATAGTACGACTTCCGCAGTCACAGTTTAAACGCTCCAGTGCGCATCATTTGACACAAAGGAAAAAGGAGAAAAAACATGTTCATAATCTGTTCATTTGAATACCATCGTATACTCGAGTAACACGATTAAACTACTGTTCTTATTTATGCGCACTATATCGCTCATGGTATTCCAGTAATAACACTAACAACTAAATCTATGATATGCGAAAAATTCATCTTTTCACTGTAGTTTCACTTTTACGTTAAGATTAACAATAAATCGTATTGTTCGAAACCACGAAGGGTTTACAGGGTGAGCGGAAAATTTAAATTCGACATTATCTCAGTCTTATTGTTACACGATACTAATTCATATGCTATTGTGTCCAAATATTTGATAAATTACTTATAAAATACGTAACTGTCGCTGAAGACACATGTTAGTTAGAGAGAACAGAGAACAAGCTGCTAATTATCAGTCAGCGAAGTTTTCTCGTATATTGTGGTTGTCTATTCCCTTGAATTTAACTATATGAAATATGTTCAACACTTTGCACTAAAATTTTATGACAGATGAGAAATATATTACATAATTGATCGTATATTACATATTAACTGTTATATACGTAAAAAGTCTTAGTTCTCTGCCATTATTTTGGTATCTAGTATATCAAAATGATTGCGTTACATTAAAAAAAAATATACTTTGTAATGACTCTGTAATATTTTGCACATAATATTACATGTTGCATCTCTCCTCCGTGTTTATTAGTTTATTAATATTATTATCACGTATAGAGAGATGCTGTTTTGCTTAATACTTATAAAAAAAATTGTTTAGCTTGTCCCTGAGGACAATTATACATTTGTATATTTAAAAAATAATTTGTACATATTATTCTTATTGCTAAAAAATATTTTGTGATTAGTAGAGATGTGCAAACTATTCGAATTCGAATCGAATCGAATCGAATCTAATGTAATTCGATTCGATTCGAATCTGAATAATTCGAAAATTTCGAATCGCGAAAATTCGAATACAAATCAAATACATTAGCATTTACACGTATCATCTACAAAAACGGCCACCTGGGCTTGTATTGTATGTTTGAATCCTTAATTGTAATTAACTTGTAATTAACTTAACTTATAATTAATAACTTAATTATAAATTACTTTAAATATTTAAATATATATTTTACTTTAAGATGATATTACAATATCAATATTCCCTTTCATATTAAAATCTTCCATCATTATTTGCATGTTTAATAGTCATATTAAATTTTTTTAATGATTCGACTCGATTTATTCGACTCGATTCGAATTCGAATTTAAAAAATGAGATTCGATTCGATTCGATTCAACATAAAAATTCTTGATTGGTACATCTCTAGTGATTAATATGTGAAGTACGGTATAACGCGATTCACACATTTTCTAACATAACAACCAAATTACCAAAATCAAATAATAGTTGAGTATATTAAGAAGTTCAATTAATTACCCCTGCACTTCTGCAAGAGGATTATGAATAAAATTATCATTATTTATAACTTTAGGAGGTCTTTAGCTAATTATGAGTAATGATCAAAATGTTTATTAGAAATTCATTTACTACAATGTTAGTTATTGTTACGTTATTCCGAGTCGAAATCATCTGTAACTTTTTCTAACAACAAAATGTTGTTTTATATAAGTAGTATGTATATTTTTTTTAAATAAATTAATTAATGACTGACTAGTAGCTGCCGATTATATGCATATTACTTGATTATTAATGATTATTTTATTTCCTAAAATTTATGTAAAGAAATATCTTTTTTCCTACACACCTTTATATACATATATATATATATATTGCTATTTTATTTATACACAAACTAAGAAAATATTCGTATGAATTATATTAAAAATAAAACATTATCAGACTTGTGTTGAATAATATTTCATTTATCCTACGAGTATTGTCTTTGGATTATCTTAAAAAAATCTTAAAAAAAAATTATATATTCTCATATTTTTTCAAAAAAACTTATATTTTAAATAAACGTACGAACATACCGTTTATCTCGTTCACATGACTATGGCTGCGTTCCGATTGTTACTGCCAGTACTGAAAATCTATAGTATATGTGACATAAACTATGTATTTTCAGTGTCGGCAGTGAATATTGATATGGAACGCAGCCTATATGTAACGGCTCCAAAACTAAAGAAAGATAAGCGAGGAGCACATACTTTTACTTAACACATAATGCATAACGCATAACGCAAAGTATGGCACAAAGCAACGCACATACAAATGCGCATAAGATGTTTATGATAAAAGGTTTGGATATTTGTAATAGCTGGAAGAACGATGTATTGCCCATGTATTTCTGAGCTAAGGCTAGAATATGAAAAAGACATTTTATATGAGCAAGTGAGCGTAATATTATCGTCAATCTGAGAAATTCTAATTAGGAGTACAATAAAGAGAATAAGTGTTAAAGCCTAGAAATTTGTTGGTATTTTTTCGTATATTATCGTAACTGATATATGTAATAATTTAAAAACTAATATTCTAAATATGTTTTAGGCCTTAAAGGACTATAGGAAAATGGAAAATATGAATAATATTCTTCTTTTATCAGCTTTGCAATTGTGTTTGTTGGTTTTATATGTTAAAGAATACCGAGAAAAGAAATATCCAAGTCGGAGTTGGTGAATAAGGCCCATTAATCTGGAACGTCCCTTATATGGGGATTATGAACACCTTTTTCAGAGACTAAAATACAATGATGCAGATTTATTTTTTCCGGTATACTAGAATGAATAAAGAAACTTTCAAGCTTCTATTAAAAAAGACAAAGCCGTATTTAACAAAATCAAGTAAAAGAGCATTTAGTCCAGAGCATCGATTGATCATAACTCTAAGGTAATTACTATTGTTATAAACTGTTCAATTTAAAAATTAAATACTTATGTGTAAAACAATATTTTTCAAAGTGTTTCATAGCAATATTTGTTTATCAACATTATTAGCATATCTATTTGTGTATCAACATTATTTTTTGCAGGTTTTTAGCAACTGGAGATCAAATACTATCACTAGCTCTGGCTTTCAGATGTGGAGAGTCGACGATTCGAAAAGTCATACAAGAAACATGTCAAGTTATAACTCAAGTATTGCAGCCATCTTACCTTTGCTTACCAACAAAAGAAGAATGGAAAAATATTTGCAGCGGTTTCTTGGAAAGGTGGAATTTCCCCTATTGTGTTGGGTTTTTTGACGGAAAACATGTGGAAATACAAGCTCCGCCTAAATCCGGGAGCTTATTCTTTAATTATAAAAGGACATTTAGCATTAATGCTTATGGCTGCATGTGATCACAAATACAACTTCATACTAGTCGACATAGGCTCATATGGTGGAAATAGTGATGGTGAAATTTTTACTTCTTCTGACATTTATTTGGCCTTACAAGAAGAAATGTTTCCCAAAAGGGATAGCAAATCTTGTTGGAAGCAACATTACATTACCATGTTTTTTTCTTAGAGATAGTGGTTTTCCGCTGATTCCACTACATTCATGATGCGACCTTCTGGAAAATTCTGGAAAAGTATTAGATGAGAGGAAAGAAATCTTCAATTATAGATTAGCAGTTTGGTTAATTATTATTTTTATTGTAATATCGTATTGTTTTTACTTAGTTTCATCTTATCACGTGTTTTTTTTATTTTCAGATTATGCAGAGCCAGGCGTACTATTGAAAATACCTTTGAAATTTTGTCTTCAAGATGGAGGATCTACCGAAAACCAATTAATACGCATCCGAAATATGTAGACAAAATTATCATGGCGATCGTATGTCTACATAACTTTATTAAAGCTTAGGAAAAATCGATGCAAGATGAGGATAGAATATATTGCCCTTCTCAATTTGTTGATTCAGAGGATGCTGAAGGAAACAATCTCTGGGGAGTGGTGACAAATGGTGAAAACGCATTTTAAGGACATATCTCCCACTTCCAAACATCATGCGACTACAATTGCATATAAGCAACGAGACAAATTGGCTGACTATTTTCTGATACAACCTGGGGGAAGTTCTCTGGCAATACGAGCATATAAGAAGAGGTACATTGCGATGACCCAATGCAAAATATGTTTCTAAATTCACTCTGCATATTAAAATTAACGTGTTATACACTTTTGAATATTATAAAATCTTGCCACCAGAAGCTTATGTCAATGTTGTATCATAGTAGTCACGTTTACGAGAGATGAATTATTTTCTTTTTCGTCATGAGAAATATATGTAACTGTTTATTTATTTTTGTAATGAAATGATTATATAGCACAGAAAAAAAAATAATGGAGCAAAAAAATACATATGTTGCATTATTCTATGCTAATAATTATAATATAAATAATATACTCTTAGTTATTAAAACATTAAAATATTACATACAAAAAGCATAAAGATACATGTACTATTTATACTATTTAGTATTTGTACATTATTGTATCATTTATAATCGTATCACATATCACGTAAAAAAAAATAAATATATGTCACTGCACCACTTTTTGTAACATATTACATAAAAGACATAAACATATGTATGACTAGTATCAATTCGTACTTGTACTAAATCATATGACTTGTAATTACATCTCACATAAGAGGAATAAACATAAAATATCATCAGACTTATAATTATATATTGCATAAAAGAAATAAATATTACACGTTTTACTATTTGTAATTACATGTCGAATAAAAAAAAAAATATTTATATCAGTGTATTTTTTGTAACATGTGGCATAGTGTGCACTTTGTAACATGTGGCATAAAAGAAATAAACATAACATGTCGTAATACAAATTGACATGTCATAAAAAAATTAACATACCATATATAATTATGATTATACATCATATAACAGACCCAATATTGCTTTCTTTTTTTTTATCTTCATATTTTTGGTCATATTATTAAGCGCAGAAAGTATCAGTTGGCAAAAAGCCGAATCTTCTTCTACTTCCGGTTTTAAAGATGACTGCGAAAAAGGAACACATGTATTTTCTGATGAAGAAGTCACTTTACCAATTGCATTTTTTAGAATATCTGGCTGGAATTTTCCTTCTGGCTTTATCCGTTGTCCAACTACACTTTTGGTCCATGCATGGCTGGAGTCACTTGAAGCAGATACAAAAGAAATATTCGATGATGCATTTAAAGACAAGTCCAAAATTAATGAGTTTCTACTTTAAACAGATTTTAAACATGTCATTATTATGTGTCTACGTATTTATATATAAAAAAAAGTATAAAAACTTTTTATAAAATAAATTCTCCAAAAGTGAGAAATCTTACAAATAAATTTCTGTTTATGGAAATACTAACTCTATATGTTGCGAGATATTTGCTGAAGATATACTGCTCTTTGTTGAAGATTTTTTCACAGTAGCAATGTTTGTGGCTAAGTTATATTCTTGTTTGTTATGTAACCTTATATTTCTAAAACAAAATAACAGAAGTTTCATCATTAGTTTTCAAATATAAAATTCTTTCTTGAAGATTTATTAACATCTTACACACTTTTGAACATTGGAAGATGTTGGCACCGGAGATATGTTTTTGTTGTGTATCTTAACAGATACATTTATGGGAGATGAGTTGTTCTTTTTAGTACAAAACTTAAAATCTCTGAAAAATAACAGTTTTCATAACTGATTTGCAAATATAAGATTCACTCTTGATATGAAAATGAATCAAAATGTTACGCACTTTTGAACATTGAAAGATCTTGCCAGTGAAGGTGAGTTTCTGTTGTATATCATAGCAGTTACGTTTACGGAAGATGAGTTATTTTCTTGTTCGTTATGAGAGCTAAAAGTTCTAGAACAAAATAACAAAGGTTTCATTACTATTTTGCAAAAATAAGTTTTTGATATGAAGCTTCTCTCTTCATATGAAAATTGTTAATGCACTTTTGAAAATTGGAAGATATTGCCATTGTAGCTATCTTTTTCTTGTGTATATTGGTCATTGTTTTAAAAAATAAAGAAACAATGTTAAGAATATGTAAAAATATACTTTCCATATTGTGTAACATACTATGTAGATACTCTTTAGAATGCCTTTATTATATCCTTTGGAAATCTGTGGTCTGAATTTTATTGTTTGCAAAACATAAAAATATTATATTATTCTTCATTTTTTTTATATATATTAATCGTACCTTCTCCTTTTAACAAATCGTTCCAAGAATTGCATGTTATTGAAAAATTCGAATGTTTTTCTTTTGCATGCTAGACTTCCAGTTGTTGTTTCTTCTTGTCGTTGTTTCCTTTCACGTGTATAGCGCTCTCTCAGTCTTTTCCATCTGGATTGACATTCATCCGCTAACAATAAAAATGATATTAATTTATTACATATATAATTAATATCATTTATAATTATTTTAGATTAAAAGTGAATTACAAGGATTAAATTAACGAATAATTAAAAGTCAGGAAGACATTATATATGTACTTGTCATATCCATAATATTTGCAATTTCCAACCAAGCATTTTGCTTTTTCATACTATCTTTAAAATCTGTTAGCTCATTATTATATAGGTACGGATGACCGTACACTAAAGAAATGAGCAATGGATCATTTTCCACTACTTTTATTTCATTTCTTTTATTTTGTGTATCTTCCAAATATTCATCCTCTTGATATTGCGAACGAAAATAAACGTTATAATCCATTTTTCTATCAATATTAGATATAGGTTATAACAGATATTATAACAGATCTTCTTTTTTAATATTGGAACAAAGCATCAGTTTGTTCTTACGCCCCTTGCACAATGCAAGCATTTAGTACTACAACCGCTCACTGAGCGTTAAATGAGTTCTTGCATCTGATTGGTGTATATTTTTAAAACTAAAGGTATACACCAATCAGATGCAAGAGCTCACTTCGCGCTCAGTGAGCGGTTGTAGCATTGAATGCACCCATTGCCAGGCAACAAGCAATAAGAAGAAAAATAGACCAATCACAATCGACTATTACAAGAATAATCTATTGTGATTGATCTATTTTTATTCTAATTGCCTGTTGCTTGGCATTGTGCAAGAGGCTTTACTTTCGTTGGCCTTCCAGACAGTTGGATGTGGTTTTCGTCATTTCGAAACTACTCGTCATTTTTTACTATTGGAACTGTGTGTGCGTGATCAACGTATTTCTTATGGGTCTTCTACAATAAACAAATAGTCATACGTTGTAACCAAATTGACCAACGACAGTCGATTATTTTTGAAATAATCAACTGTAATTGGTCAATTTGCTTATAGCTTATAATTAATTGCTTATTGTAGGTCTCTTAAAGCCCCTTGCACAATGCCAGGCAACAGGCAATAAGAATAAAAATAGACCAATCACGATAGATTATTCTTGTAATAGTCGATTGTGATTGGTCTATTTTTATTCTTATTGCTTGTTGCCTGGCATTGTGCAAGGGGCCTAACATTCGTTATTAAGGCCGTCTTCCAAAATTTACTGCCAGCGCGGAAAAGTTATAGTTTACGTGACACAAACTATATATTTTCAGTACTGGGAGTGAATTTTGGAACACGGCCAAAGAATGGCGTATAAAGATATTGGCCGCGTTTAGTACAACAAAGTGATCAGAGAGCGCTTAGTGATTATTGTCTGTGATTGGAGCATACTATTAGATTCTTCATAGACCCAGAAGTATTTTACTTTAATCTTCGATATCTCCTAAACGGTTAGAGATACAGGCCTGGCTCTGGCACCAAAATAAAGTCCTCTCAAAACCTTACATTTTCGACTACAATGATGACTCGCTACTCCCAGTAGAAGCGGAGATATCAACGGAGAAAGGTTGGAAAACTTTAATCTTCGATATCTCCTAAACGGTTAGAGATACAGGCTTCGGACAGGTACCAAATTAAAGCCCTTTCAAAACCCTACATTTTGGACTACATGAACGACTCTCTACTCCCAGTAGAAGCGGAGATATCGACGGATGAAGACTGGATATCGACGGAGAAAGGTTGGAAAACTTTAACCTTCGATATCTCCTAAACGGTTAGAGATACAGGCTTCGGACAGGTACCAAATTAAAGCCCTTTCAAAACCCTACATTTTGCACTACATGGACGACTCTCTACTCCCAGTAGAAGCGGAGATATCGACGGAGAAAGGTTGGAAAACTTTAACCTTCGATATCTCCTAAACGGTTAGAGATACAGGCTTCGGACAGGTACCAAATTAAAGTCCTTTCAAAACCCTACATTTTGGACTACATGAACGACTCTCTACTCCCAGTAGAAGCGGAGATATCGACGGATGAAGACTGGATATCGACGGAGAAAGGTTGGAAAACTTTAACCTTCGATATCTCCTAAACGGTTAGAGAGACAGGCTTCGGACAGGTACCAAATTAAAGCCCTTTCAAAACCCTACATTTTGCACTACATGGACGACTCTCTACTCCCAGTAGAAGCTAAGATATCGACGGAGAAAGGTTGGAAATCTTTAACCTTCGATATCTCCTAAACGGTTAGAGATACAGGCTTCGGACAGGTACCAAATTAAAGCCCTTTCAAAACCCTACATTTTGGACTACATGGACGACTCTCTACTCCCAGTAGAAGCGGAGATATCGACGGATGAAGACTGGATATCGACGGAGAAAGGTTGGAAAACTTTAACCTTCGATATCTCCTAAACGGTTAGAGATACAGGCTTCGGACAGGTGCCAAATTAAAGCCCTTTCAAAACCCTACATTTTGCACTACATGGACGACTCTCTACTCGTAGTAGAAGCGGAGATATCGACGGAGGAAGGTTGGAAAACTTTAACCTTCGATATCTCCTAAACGGTTAGAGATACAGGCTTCGGACAGGTACCAAATTAAAGCCCTTTCAAAACCCTACATTTTGGACTACATGAACGACTCTCTACTCCCAGTAGAAGCGGAGATATCGACGGATGAAGACTGGATATCGACGGAGAAAGGTTGGAAAACTTTAACCTTCGATATCTCCTAAACGGTTAGAGATACAGGCTTCGGACAGGTGCCAAATTAAAGCCCTTTCAAAACCCTACATTTTGGACTACATGGACGACCCTCTACTCCCAGTAGAAGCGGAGATATCGACGGATGAAGGATGGATATCGACGGAGAAAGTTTGGAAAACTTTAACCTTCGATATCTCCTAAACGGTTAGAGATACAGGCTTCGGACAGGTACCAAATTAAAGCCCTTTCAAAACCCTACATTTTGCACTACATGGACGACTCTCTACTCGCAGTAGAAGCTAAGATATCGACGGAGAAAGGTTGGAAATCTTTAACCTTCGATATCTCCTAAACGGTTAGAGATACAGGCTTCGGACAGGTACCAAATTAAAGCCCTTTCTAAACCCTACATTTTGGACTACATGGACGACTCTCTACTCCCAGTAGAAGCGGAGATATCGACGGATGAAGACTGGATATCGACGGAGAAAGGTTGGAAAACTTTAACCTTCGATATCTCCTAAACGGTTAGAGATACAGGCTTCGGACAGGTGCCAAATTAAAGCCCTTTCAAAACCCTACATTTTGCACTACATGGACGACTCTCTACTCGCAGTAGAAGCGGAGATATCGACGGAGAAAGGTTGGAAAACTTTAACCTTCGATATCTCCTAAACGGTTAGAGATACAGGCTTCGGACAGGTACCAAATTAAAGCCCTTTCAAAACCCTACATTTTGGACTACATGAACGACCCTCTACTCCCAGTAGAAGCGGAGATATCGACGGATGAAGACTGGATATCGACGGAGAAAGGTTGGAAAACTTTAACCTTCGATATCTCCTAAACGGTTAGAGATACAGGCTTCGGACAGGTGCCAAATTAAAGCCCTTTCAAAACTCTACATTTTCGACTACATGGACGACCCTCTACTCCCAGTAGAAGCGGAGATATCGACGGATGAAGACTGGATATCGACGGAGAAAGGTTGGAAAACTTTAACCTTCGATATCTCCTAAACGGTTAGAGATACAGACTTCGGACAGGTACCAAATTAAAGCCCTTTCAAAACCCTACATTTTGCACTACATGGACGACTCTCTACTCCCAGTAGAAGCGGAGATATCGACGGATGAAGACTGGATATCGACGGAGAAAGGTTGGAAAACTTTAACCTTCGATATCTCCTAAACGGTTAGAGATACAGGCTTCGGACAGGTGCCAAATTAAAGCCCTTTCAAAACCCTACATTTTGCACTACATGGACGACTCTCTACTCGCAGTAGAAGCGGAGATATCGACGGAGAAAAGTTGGAAAACTTTTACCTTCGATATCTCCTAAACGGTTAGAGATACAGGCTTCGGACAGGTACCAAATTAAAGCCCTTTCAAAACCCTACATTTTGCACTACATGAACGACTCTCTACTCCCAGTAGAAGCGGAGATATCGACGGAGAAAGGTTGGAAAACTTTAACCTTCCATATCTCCTAAACGGTTAGAGATACAGGCTTCGGACAGGTACCAAATTAAAGCCCTTTCAAAATCCTACATTTTGGACTACATGGACGACTCTCTACTCCCAGTAGAAGCGGAGATATCGACGGATGAAAACTGTATATCGACGGAGAAAGGTTGGAAATCTTTAACTTTCGATATCTCCTAAACGGTTAGAGATACAGGCTTCGGACAGGTATCAAATTAAAGCCCTTTCAAAACCCTACATTTTGGACTACATGGACGACCCTCTGCTCCCAGTAGAAGCGGAGATATCGACGGATGAAGGATGGATATCGACGGAGAAAGGTTGGAAAACTTTAACTTTCGATATCTCCTAAACGGTTAGAGATACAGGCTTCGGACAGGTACCAAATTAAAGCCCTTTCAAAACCCTACATTTTGGACTACATGGACGACCCTCTACTCCCAGTAGAAGCGGAGATATCGACGGATGAAGGATGGATATCGACGGAGAAAGGTTGGAAAACTTTAACCTTCGATATCTCCTAAACGGTTAGAGATACAGGCTTCGGACAGGTACCAAATTAAAGCCCTTTCAAAACCCTACATTTTGCACTACATGGACGACTCTCTACTCCCAGTAGAAGCGGAGATATCGACGGAGAAAGGTTGGAAAACTTTAACCTTCGATATCTCCTAAACGGTTAGAGATACAGGCTTCGGACAGGTACCAAATTAAAGCCCTTTCAAAACCCTACATTTTGCACTACATGGACGACTCTCTACTCCTAGCAGAAGCGGAGATATCGACGGAGAATGGTTGGAAAACTTTAACCTTCGATATCTCCTAAACGGTTAGAGATACAGGCTTCGGACAGGTACCAAATTAAAGCCCTTTCAAAACCCTACATTTTGGACTACATGGACGACTCTCTACTCCCAGTAGAAGCGGAGATATCGACGGATGAAGACTGGATATCGACGGAGAAAGGTTGGAAATCTTTAACCTTCGATATCTCCTAAACGGTTAGAGATACAGGCTTCGGACAGGTATCAAATTAAAGCCCTTTCAAAACCCTACATTTTGGACTACATGGACGACCCTCTACTCCCAGTAGAAGCGGAGATATCGACGGATGAAGGCTGGATATCGACGGAGAAAGGTTGGAAATCTTTAACTTTCGATATCTCCTAAACGGTTAGAGATACAGGCTTCGGACAGGTACCAAATTAAAGCCCTTTCAAAACCCTACATTTTGCACTACATGGACGGCTCTCTACTCCCAGTAGAAGCGGAGATATCGACAGAGAAAGATTGGATAACTTTAACCTTCGATATCTCCTAAACGGTTAGAGATACAGGCTTCGGACAGGTACCAAATTAAAGCCCTTTCAAAACCCTACATTTTGGACTACATGGACGACTCTCTACTCCCAGTAGAAGCGGAGATATCGACGGATGAAGACTGGATATCGACGGAGAAAGGTTGGAAAACTTTAACCTTCGATATCTCCTAAACGGTTAGAGATACAGGCTTCGGACAGGTACCAAATTAAAGCCCTTTCAAAACCCTACATTTTGCACTACATGGACGACTCTCTACTCCCAGTAGAAGCGGAGATATCGACGGATGAAGACTCGATATCGACGGAGAAAAGTTGGAAAACTTTAACCTTCGATATCTCCTAAACGGTTAGAGATACAGGCTTCGGACAGGTACCAAATTAAAGCCCTTTCAAAACCCTACATTTTGCACTACATGGACGACTCTCTACTCCCAGTAGAAGCGGAGATATCGACGGAGAAAGGTTGGAAAACTTTAACCTTCCATATCTCCTAAACGGTTAGAGATACAGGCTTCGGACAGGTACCAAATTAAAGCCCTTTCAAAACCCTACATTTTGGACTACATGGACGACTCTCTACTCCCAGTAGAAGCGGAGATATCGACGGATGAAGACTGGATATCGACGGAGAAAGGTTGGAAAACTTTAACCTTCGATATCTCCTAAACGGTTAGAGATACAGGCTTCGGACAGGTACCAAATTAAAGCCCTTTCAAAACCCTACATTTTGCACTACATGGACGACTCTCTACTCCCAGTAGAAGCGGAGATATCGACGGAGAAAGGTTGGAAAACTTTAACCTTCGATATCTCCTAAACGGTTAGAGATACAGGCTTCGGACAGGTACCAAATTAAAGCCCTTTCAAAACCCTACATTTTGCACTACATGGACGACTCTCTACTCCCAGTAGAAGCGGAGATATCGACGGATGAAGACTGGATATCGACGGAGAAAGGTTGAAAAACTTTAACCTTCGATATCTCCTAAACGGTTAGAGATACAGGCCTGGTTCTGGCACCAAATTAAAGTCCTCTCAAAACCCTATATTTTCGACTACATGGACGACTCTCTACTCCCAGTAGAAGCGGAGATATCGACGCAGGAAGGCTGGATATCGACGGAAAATGGCTGGAAAACTTTAACCTTCGATATCTCCTAAACGGTTAGAGATACAGGCCTGGCTCTGGTACCAAATTAATGTTCTTTCAAAACTCTACATTTTGCCGTAAATGGCGACTCTCTACTCCCAGTAGAAGCGGAGATATCAACGGAGAAATGTTGGAAAACTTTAATCTTCGATATCTTCTAAACGGTTAGAGATACAGGCCTGGCTCTGGTACCAAATTAAAGTCCTCTCAAAACCCTACATTTTCGAGTACATGGACGACTCTCTACTCCCAGTAGAAGCGGAGATATCGACGGAGGAAGGCTGGATATCGACGGAGAATGGCTGGAAAACTTTAACCTTCGATATCTTCTAAACGGTTAGAGATACAGGCCTGGTTCTGGTACCAAATTAAAGTCCTTTCAAAACCCTACATTTTGCCGTAAATGGCGACTCTCTATTCCCAGTAGAAGCGGAGATATCAACGGAGAAATGTTGGAAAACTTTAATCTTCGATATCTCCTAAACGGTTAGAGATACAGGCCTGGTTCTGGCACCAAATTAAAGTCCTCTCAAAACCCTACATTTTGCCGTAAATGGCGACTCTCTACTCCCAGTAGAAGCGGAGATATCAACGGAGAAAGGTTGGAAAACTTTAATCTTCGATATCTCCTAAACGGTTAGAGATACAGGCCTGGCTCTGGCACCAAAATAAAGTCCTCTCAAAACCTTTTCGACTACAATGACGACTCTCTACTCCCAGTAGAAGCGGAGATATCAACGGAGAAATGTTGGAAATCAGGAGCGAGATTCAGCGGAATATCTAGTAATGTTGTCCAACTGTTGAGTCTGCTGAAAGCAGCCATTCACTTCCCCCAGAGCCAGATGGAGGCTGTGTTCTGAAATACCAGTACTACCAGTACTGAAAATACATAATTTATATCACGTATATACTATAGAATTTCACTGCCAGCACTGAAATTTTATAATATATACGTGCATAAACTATGTATTTTCAGTATTGGCAGCAATATTACCTCGTCGGTGATTATAATGAGAAAACTAAGGGTATGTTGTGTTTCATGCATATGCGCACATTTTGTATAGTATACGTGACATAAACTATAGATAAATGCGTGCAAATGCGTGAAACGAAACGCAACCATAGTCATCTCACCCTAAAGGCAGCAGCACACGGTGCTTGTTTTCGTGCTGGATTGCTTGCTGGATGAAAATACTGCGTTCTGATTGGTGCATTTCCATCCATCTTCGAAAATGCACCAATCAGAACGCAGTATTTTCATCCAGCAAGCAATTCAGTACGAAAACAAGCACCGTTTGCCGCTACTTTATTCCACCATTTGAGTTGCATGGTTAAAAAGAGCATACCACAGAAGTGCATTACAAAGGCATTCCATTTTTAATCACAGCCAGTTGAAGCCAGTTCTTCGTTCAGTGGTGGTGTGTAGTTCGTGAGTGTTTTATAGATATGTTAAAATGGCAGGGTCTATAGAGATACCACTCAGGGATACAGACGAGGTAAATATTCATTTCTTTCGGATTATATTTTTATTTTGCGAATGCGATATGAAAATCTTGATAAAATTCCGTTGAATGCATTAGAGTGGTGCATGGCTTATGAATGAAATGGCATACGATAAAAGTTTTATGAATCATATCATATGAATATAACCATGTGGATTTAATTTGATTTGTTCTACTAAAAATAACGCTAGAAAATTATAAAAATGTACATGTATCAAAATATATGTCAGTTTTAGATATTTTAATTGTGTTTATTATTCTTAATCTAATAGGTTATAGAGCTTTATTTGGATCAGTTACCTGATGGAGATGAGGTCCTTGGGATTCTACGGCAAGAACATGCTCAGCTTACTATCTGGGTCAATTTGGCCGTATGTAAAATAGATAATTTTAATTGAAAATGTATATATATCCGATAGCATGCATTTGTTTAGCGTTTCTTGTTTGTATTTCAGCTTGAATATTACAAGCAGCAAAAGATTGAAGACTTTATTAAGATACTTGAATCTTCTCGTATTGATGCAAATATTGACTACCGGGACTATGAAAAAGATCAGATGCGAGCTCTTGACATGTTGGCAGCTTATTATGTTCAAGAAGCTAACAGAGAAAAGAACAAGGATAAGAAGAGAGATCTTTTTACAAAAGCCACATTGTTGTATACAACAGCTGACAAAATCATTATGTATGACCAGGTATGTGTTGTGCCTTTATATATTGGCATCTGTAAGGTTTTATGATTTTATACTCATAATTTTTTTTATTATAGAATCATTTACTCGGACGAGCTTATTTCTGCCTGCTCGAGGGGGACAAAATGGAGCAGGCAGATGCACAGTTTAATTTCGTGTTGAATCAATCGCCCAATAATATACCTTCTCTGCTTGGAAAAGCTTGCATTGCTTTTAATAAGAAAGATTATAGAGGCGCGCTTGCATTTTACAAGAAAGCTCTTAGAACTAATCCAAATTGCCCAGCTGCTGTTAGGTTAGGAATGGGCCATTGTTTTATGAAATTGAATAATCAAGAAAAAGCACGACTAGCGTTTGAAAGAGCTTTACAGTTAGATGGACAATGTGTTGGAGCGTTAGTAGGTCTTTCGGTTTTGAAATTAAATCAACAACAGCCCGACAGTATAAGAACTGGTGTGCAAATGCTATCGAAGGCATACACGATCGATTCGACAAATCCGATGGTATTGAATCATTTGGCAAATCATTTTTTCTTCAAGAAAGATTATAATAAAGTTCAGCATTTAGCGCTGCATGCCTTTCACAATACGGAAAATGAATCTATGCGAGCGGAAAGTTGTTACCAATTAGCTAGAGCATTTCATGTTCAAGTAAGTCCTAAGATTAATATGTCGTGATTATTTTCTCATCGGTGTTAGATAAAATAATCAGAGAAATAAGTTAAACTCTGGGTCGCTAAATAAGTAAAAATATTTCAGGGTGATTATGATCAAGCGTTTCAATATTACTATCAGGCGACACAATTTGCACCACCTGTATTCGTATTACCACATTTTGGCTTGGGACAAATGTACGTTTATCGCGGTGACGCCGAGAACGTAAGTATATGATACTAGTTGTTATCTAAACTATTGATTGTTTTAAGAACATGTAAGGCATTGATCTATTTTGATAAATAGGCAGCACAGTGCTTCGAGAAAGTATTGAAGGCACAACCAGGAAATTATGAAACTATGAAGATCCTTGGCTCACTCTACGCCAACTCGAGTTCTCAATCGAAACGCGACATTGCAAAGAACCATTTACGGAAGGTAACGGAGCAATTCCCCGACGACGTCGAAGCCTGGATAGAGTTGGCTCAGATATTGGAGCAGAGCGATCTGAATGCAGCCCTGAACGCTTATGGCACTGCGACGAGAATTCTAAAGGAAAAGGTTCAGGCAGATATCCCGCCGGAAATCCTGAATAACGTAGGGGCTTTGCATTATAGGTATGTATCTTGTTTCTATCTTGAACACGTCTCGCTAAGGGAGATAAAGTTGCACATAAATATTTGTGTTTTATCTTTCAGACTCAGTAGTCTAGAAGAAGCCAGGAAAAACTTGGAAGAGTCTTTGGCACGTTCAAAAGCAGATGCTTTACACGATTCAGTATATTATAACTCGATATCAGTTACGACTACATATAATTTAGCGCGAATGAACGAAGCATTGTGCATATTTGACCGAGCGGAAAAATTATATAAAGACATTCTGAAGGAGCATCCGAATTATATGGACTGCTACTTACGACTTGGCTGTATGGCCAGAGACAAAGGGCAAATTTACGAGGCGTCCGATTGGTTTAAGGACGCTTTGAGGATCAATAATGAACACCCGGACGCGTGGTCATTGTTGGGTAATTTGCATTTGGCCAAAATGGAGTGGGGCCCTGGTCAAAAAAAATTTGAGAGGATTCTCAAGAATCCATCAACGAGCACGGATGCCTACTCTCTCATTGCTTTGGGCAATATTTGGTTGCAAACCTTGCATCAGAGTGGAAAAGATAAGGAAAGGGAAAAGAGACATCAAGATCGTGCGTTAGCCATGTACAAGCAGGTAATACAGCGGGATATAATGTGTTGCCTAAGTCCAAGTGCTTATTATTACTCAATTGGATTGAAATACCTAGTAATTTATTTTGACTTATTATAATCGATATGATATATTATACTAGGTTCTGAGAAATGATCCGAAGAATATTTGGGCCGCGAACGGCATTGGCGCGGTGCTTGCACACAAGGGCTGTGTGAACGAAGCCCGAGATATATTTGCTCAAGTGCGCGAGGCAACGGCGGAATTTTGCGACGTCTGGCTGAACATTGCACACATTTACGTGGAGCAAAAGCAATTTGTTAGTGCGATTCAAATGGTAAGTAAAGATGATTTATGTGGAGAGAAAACATTTCCGGGGATTCCGTTTTTATAATTAACAATATAATTAACAAATGTTTCAGTATGAAAATTGCCTACGCAAGTTCTACAGATATCATCACGTTGAGGTCCTGCAATATCTCGGGAGAGCTTACTTTAAAGCTGGCAAGCTGAAAGAAGCGAAACTGACGTTATTGAAGGTAATTAATTATGTATGAATTTTTTCAGATTATTCAATCTTTCAGTTAATCGCACAAATTATTAATAAATATATACTTTCAGGCACGCCGAGTGGCTCCGCAAGATACAGTTTTATTATATAACATCGCACTTGTACTTCAACGATTAGCCACGCAAATCCTGAAAGACGAGAAATCGACTTTGACCACTGTACTTCAGGCGGTTCATGAACTTGGCCTTTCGCACAAATATTTCCAATATTTGTCGGCGCATGGCGATCGGATGGAACAATTGGCTGACGCTGAAGCCAGAAGGTGCCAAGATTTATTGTCGCAAGCGCAGTATCATGTCGCTAGAGCTCGACGATTGGACGAGGAAGAGAAGATGCTGAGACGGAAGCAAGAAGAAGAAAGGTATATTGCACTTTTCATATAATACTTCGTATATCTACCTAAATTTTGTGGAGAATACGTCTCTTACGGTAAAACCCTCAAATTCATACAGGCAAGCCTTCAAAATGCGTCAGACGGAGGAGCAACGTAAGCTGGAGGAGATGCGTCGTCAGAAAGAGGAGGAGATGTTGCAGAAACGACAAGAATACGTAGAGAAAACCAAAAATGCGTTGGTGTTTGGGGAAATGCCATCAGAGAAACCAGGAAGAAAGGGCAAAAGGATTCGAACCGATCAGTACATTAGTGATAGCGGCGGATCAGGTAGGGACGAAGGCAGGGAGGAAGCACCGAGAGAAAGAAAGCGCAGGAGGAAACCGAGCAACGAATCTAAAGAGAGGAAGAGCAAGGGCAAACGCCGACGCAGGAAGGAAGTTGGAAGCGGTGGAAGTGGTAAGAACTTTGTTCTGAAATCTTTACTTTTTTTATCGACTATGCATTCGGATTTGCACACAAATTATATTTTACTACAAGTGTACAAATTTAGTAGTAAATTTGGATTTGTGTAATTTTATACATTTGTAGTTTTACGTATTTTTGCGTGTGTAGCGAGTGCTACGTGCTCCGATTTTATAGACCTATTGAATCTGAATAGTATATCGTTTTGACGTTTAAACTTACATGCCTTGTAAACGTTTGTTTTGCAGGATCAGAAAGCGATCGACCGAAGGCTAAACGTGGAAGAAAGACCAGTACTAGGAGAGAAAAATCCAGGAGGGGTACGAGCGATAACCACAAGGGCAAAATGCCGCTGTCAAAGGAGACCATCTCCACCAGCGAGTCGGACAGTGACACCGGTGGTCTTAAGATTGCCAGCGGGTAAATATACTTGACAATAATATGTTATCTTACGACGATTATCTCATTTCAGTTTTGTAGTTTCCAACAAATCCGACTTAATTCCTCTTTACAACTTATCGCGCATATATTCCACGTTTTCCACGTGAGAATATACGTGTAATATATGTTTCAATAATTTTCTTAAATAAACATAAGATTGAAGATGGACGAAATCTAAACGATTTGGCGATATTAAAATTTATAAACAAAATATTTAATTTGTAACAGTGGCGAAAGCGGCAACGAGAATCAAGCACGCAGCAGCAGACGAATCACGTCCGACTCAGAAGGTTCTCGTGCCTCGCGCTCAAGATCTCGCTCGAGATCAAAATCTGGAAGCCGCTCGAGAAGCAGTTCCCGTTCGCGTTCTGGTTCTCGCTCGCGATCACGGTCGCGCTCTAGATCCCGCTCAGCATCTGGATCCAGGTCTAGATCCAGAAGTGTCTCGAGATCCAGAAGCCGTTCTGCATCTGGGTCAAGATCGGGGTCTGCTAAAAGTAGATCACGATCGAGGTCTGGCTCGCGAAAAAGTGGCTCACGGTCAAGGTCTAATAGCGGTTCAAGGAAGAGCGGCTCGAAAGCAAGATCACGGTCGAGCTCGAGGAAAAGTGGCTCTAGGTCGAGGTCGCCGAGTGGCTCGAGGAAAGCCGCGTCTCGGTCGAGATCGCCGAGCGGTTCAAGGAAAGCCGCATCTCGGTCGAGATCCAGGTCAAAGTCAAAATCTAGATCTCGATCCAGATCTAGAAGCGGTTCACGTTCAGGCTCGGAGGAACGCCGATCGCGAAGCAAAAGCCGATCGCGAAGCAAAAGCCGATCGCGAAGCAAAAGCCGATCGCGAAGCAAAAGCCGATCGCGAAGCAAAAGCCGATCGCGAAGCAAAAGCCGATCGCGATCTAAGTCGAAGTCCGTTTCGAGGTCCAAGTCAAGATCCAAAAGTAGATCACGATCACGTTCCAGATCTAAGAGCGGCTCTAGAAGCAGGAGCCCCAGCGGATCGGCACGGTAAGCTTTCTTTCACCTATTATTATTAAGACTTGTATGATTTATTTTTCGCTTAACTTCAGCAGATTGCAAATAACACGTTATTCTCCTTCGTAGCTCTGCGTCTCCGGTGTCTAGGAAATCGGTGTCGGGTAGCGGTGACAGTGACAGTGAATAAAATGGACATTCTCGCAATGTATGGTTATCATGATGACAAAAAACAGAATTACCCTTGCATATATGGAGCGTAGAATATATAATTTTTATAAAAGTCACTTTTTTTTACAAGGTACTTTGGATGCTAAATTTGTAACGTATATGAGAACAGGTGAACAATATAACAAACATAAGACATAAAGTTTAAGATGAGTCGTACATAAACGACTTTATGGAAATATTGCTTTGAGTTTCCTTGTAATGGACATTTTATTACGACAATAATTGAGTACGTAGACTTGTCAAGACAAAGGAACATTTTTAATCCCTCATGTAACATCGCACGATGAGTTTTAACGTTATATTAATCTCTAACACAATTTATTACGTATATTACACGAAACGAGTCATCGATGTGCTCCGATTGTCGTCGATGTCGTGCACGATGAAACAAATAGATTCTGTTCTTTGTCACTTCTCTTTGTCACTTCTCTTTCGATTAGTAGCGTTAAAATATAAAACGATACATTTTTGCATATATTAGACATTACATAATTATATGAACATTATGTCTTACATCTATACATACGTTGTAATTATACGTAGATTTGTTGTAAATCTAACATTTGAAAAGATTATATCTGTGAGAAAAGGAATTGTTTTATATCATTGTACGAACAGTGCTAATAAAACAACGAAATCGCACGATGAATTATTTCCTCATTTCCCCGGCGTATCGAGTAGAGAAACTTCTCTATTGTGTCTTCGGCTTTGCGGCCGTTTCGTTCAGCTAAAGATATTCATGCGCACAGTTGCTTGGTCAGAAACTGCCGACGATCCCCAGGGAGAATCGAACACGCTCGCACACGTCGTTATGCAAATACGATTAGACCGCTGTCTAGCGTATAATGTACGAGAGTAGTCCACTTATCGATCTCGCAGGCGATGTAAAATCAATTATTAAAGCTCAACTCCCGAGGTGAGTGACACGGACGCGTCGTTACTCTGCGTAACGACGGCAATCCGATTTCCATGCCGCACGGCTCTAATTTTCCAACCACTATCTACGTTCGCTTCGATCCACCCACGTCTTCATTGATTTTTTCCCGCATTTTCTCGGTAGTTCACCACCTCTCTCTCTCTCTCTCGCCACCGGCCAAGTGCCACCGCGAAGAAAGCACCCCCGGAGGGATATACAGCGAAATATCTCACGTGTATAACTACATGTAATTATAAGTACGAGCGAGTACGCGAATGAGATCTCGTTAAATGTCGCGCCGCTACGTTGCGCGAGATAACAAGTCCGGATCGCGGATAATTGCCCCGCAGCGATATTTTGATCGTTTCTCACTAAACATGCTAATGCTCGCGTATAACGTGGCGTCCGCACGCGAGTACGGTCCGTTTCCTACGCGGCAAACAGTTGCTACGTGTGCGACACCACACAACAGCCGCGCCGTAATTTCATTACGAACGTTACACGAATATGGTCTTTGTAGAAAACGGATTAACCGCGCTTTCGGCGCGTCGTCAGCGCTCGAGCGTAAAATTATAGTTTAATTGTATTTCCGGTTAACCCTCCTCTCTCTCTCTCTCTCTCTCTCTCTCTCTCTCTCTCTCTCTCTCTCTCTCTCTCTCTCTCTCCCCCACCCTCTACCCTTCCATTTCTTCTCTCATGAGTTCTCGTATGCGCATTTAATCACCTTGCCGCATTCTAATTAATACGCGCGCCGCGGATGAAATCACATCGTGCGGCACGCTGGCCGATCATCGAGGCTCTCGTCTCTCGTCGCTGCACGATTTTCTCATGACCTCTCGTGACTCCTCCTATCCATCGTGTCATCCCTGTTATCGTCGATGTTTAACTCTAACGTGTTCCCTCGAAGTTTATCTTCATACAGTAGGCAGCCTAGTTCTACCGCGCCTACAAAGTCTGATAACTTCCTGTCAGCTGCACGGTAATATACATTTCTCTCGGCAGACTTTGTGCGCGCGCGCGCCTATCCTTTCTAAGATAGCGCAAATAAGATCGATGTCATTTCTCCCTATCGATTGCCTCCGACGAAATAAAGTCCTCGACGAGCGAACTTCGGCGGGACATTCGTTCAAGATGCGGCGTGAATTTTTCGGGCATCGCAGGGGGATGTCCAGGCGAATTTACAGGCGTGTAAGCACTGTTCGCTCGACAAACATCTTGGCAAATATAGGTACACACTGCGCAATCGCTCCTTGTTTTCTTTTTTTGTTATTCCCTTGTCCATCTCTACCGTCACTGAACTCGTCCCGGAGGACTGCGCCGCTTCCCGAGTTTCATTCGATCGGAGCGGCCACCATTTCGTCTGACCGGCCGGATCCTTTGTGGATCCGGATGAAATTTCGGTGCGTTCCGTCGCGAACGCTTTAATCCCAATGGTATATAAAGCTCGGTAAATCTGACGCGCGGCACACTGTGCAAGATTCCATCCCATACATGCGTAATAATGTCATCAACTGCAGTCCACGGAAGAGCAAATTCCCCAGGCCGAATTTCCCACGAGTAATTTTCGTCCGGCTCGTTCATCGCCGATAGTTCATCGCGTACGCGTTATTCTTCGTCCATCGGTCGAGTCTGACGATGTCTTCCGATCGCCCCGTGTTATAGTGTGCGTCATATATTATTAATATCAAATTATAACATATATTATTCACGCTCCGGATATCGCGCAACATCCAATCCAAAATTTCACTGAAACTATTGATCTCTCGTTGAGAATTCCGCGTTATGCGGAATTAATGATAGAAGATGGGATTCTTGCGTTCGGTCTACGCGTAACTCGAGTGTCCGTCTCGTTTCCTCTGAGCAACGCGAGGCACCGTGATAATCCTGCGAAATGATAACAGCAGTCTCGAAAATCAGTGGATTCGGATTCGGCTCTCCCAGGATATAACGTACATCAGTATCTCCGTTTCTTATCGTTATGGTCGCTTGAGTTCATGAACACGATCTTTGTTGAAGCATATATATACATACGCATCGTATATCCCGGAGGGAAAGCTTGAGCCTGATATACAAGAGGATTCAGGGCGGCGAAGAGGATGAAGATATTAGGAAAGAGGGTGCGAAACCCGGCTCTGTGCTACAAGCACATTGAGAGAGAGAGAGAGAGAGAGAGAGAGAGAGAGAGAGAAAGCTCCGAATGTTTGCCACTTCGATCCACCGGCGCGTAGTGTGGATTTATTTTCTGCCTGAGTTCTCTCCCCCCTTTCCACCGGTTTGCCAACACCGCCGAATTCGTTCAACCGCTTCGGCGTTTGTTATGTCAAGCTGCCTTGCTTATTTTGCGATTTTACGCGACACTTTTAAGTTTACGTTTATTCAAGTTAATTTGACGTCTTTGCGTCAAAGGGCTTTGCGCGAGACAAAGTCACTTCTAATAGTCGTCGCCCAAGGACGGCTGCTTCGTTTAATTAAGAGCTAACTTTTTAATTGCTCGTTTTATCGTTCATCGGGAAGTTGAGCTCGAATCGGTCTAATTTTTTTAATTAATTTCCCGACTGATCGGCCATGCCGCAAGCAGCGAAAGTTTGTGGAAAGTTGTAAATAAATTTGCGAATGAGAGCACATGTGATTTTCTTTCTCTTCAGGCGTACTTCTCTCTGCTTTCTTTGGACGGTAAAAAGAATGAATAAATTGCTTGCGGAGGAAACTACGGAGCATTTTTAACGATGTTTTTAACTTTAACGATCTTGGCTTCTCGCGGTGATTATATAGAATTTCACGGGAAACCAATCATTGAAACAGGAGAACTGCCCAACTTTGCCCTTACTAGATTGGAGTTTAATTAGTTCTGCAACTTGGTACTAAGGAATTATGCGCAGCTATACAAGTACGTCAAAGTCAATGCGTTATTGTTTGCGCCGTTGTGCGTTTAGTTGGCGGATCTGTTTCACAATTTACAACTGTTGATACTTAGCATTTATTTTCTCTCCGACATTTTCATTTGAACACATCACGCAACATTACAGTTTAACAGCTTAGAAATTTCGGTTCTGCGCTCCCGAATATTCTGCGTTTCTACAGGGAATTACTCTCAGATTCTTCAGTACACATTTGCAGTTATACATTCGTAAAAGCATCCTCCTCTCTCATTAAAAAGGAAAAATCAAGGTAGAAACAGAAAGACTGTACAGACTCGCTCTTCCTTTCTTAATCAATAACGTCAACAACATTTACTTTTAAGATATCAAACGAGGAGTCCTACTGCCGTACCAATTATTATAAAATAAGATATAAAATTCTACGGAAAAGTGGAGTCAGAAAAAATACGATAAAACTCGTGTTTGGCAACTCGTGCGTTCGCGCTTATTTCAGAAATTCTATATTTATCTTGGCAACGCGTGAAGCCATGACGATAAGTTTGTTGAAGATTAGTTACTTTAGATTATATATTCTGTTTCCTGATATTTCTATATCATATAGGTTGAAACATCTTTTTTCATAGCTCTATTATAACTTTATTAATCAATATCTCGGCAACATGTATTTACCTTGTCAAGATATTGATTATATCCTAATACATACTTCGTTCTTTTGAATACAGTGCAAATCTGCTGTGTGGATCCTTTTCTCTAAGACTTACATCTCGATTCTGTTTATTACTTTTAAGAGCACCTAAAACAAAAAGATACTAAACTGTCGCGTATGCACTTTCTGCTTTGGTCTTCTTTTTTTTACGTAGTGGGCGTGCCAAGTTGACGTGAAGCTGGTTACTCCTATTTTCAAACTCGAGTTTCTACTCGAGCTTTAAAATCGGGGATATAATCCTACATTAGCCCCTAATTGATTAATTCGCACGTAATTCCGCTATAATTTTCATTTCGATTTTTCACGTTGGCGTGTTAGCTTAACAGAGGCGTTTGAAATCATTTTAATAGTGATTATAGTCGAGTGTTGCTGGATTTTAGGCCGAGCTATCTCGGCATTGGTGAAAGTCGCGAGCGTTATTGCGAACGTTATTGCGAGCGCCGGCACTCGAGGTTTGAGCGTTTCCGTTTGAATTGTGTCGATGAATCTTCAGATTAATTATCGTTGTTGCTGGCCGCTTATAGCACTTGTCGCACATTGGACTCTCGTTACGACGGGAGTCGCGAGCCATCGTCGTGTCGTCGTTACTGCTGTTGTTGTCCAATATTATCATTTTCATTGATTTAGGAAGAAACACTTAAACACAATGCTATGCGTCCTCAAGTAAGAGATTTTGATAATAATTACACGCTGAAATATTCAAGAAAAATTGAAGGAAAGCATAATTAATTAAACGGAGCTCAAAAACTCATTGTCGCCTTCTTAGACGCGTCCTTGTGCTTAATATCGTAAAATTAATATTGGAAGATTTCGGTTTCCTAAATACAAGGATCAATAAATACAAAAAGGGTACAAAGATAAATAAATAATGAGAGAAAGATTTTCTTAATTTCGGTATCCCCGAAAAATAATGATCATTACGATATTGCATTCCGTGTCTATCGTCGCTACTTTTACTTTTACCTCCACTTGTCCTCGCGTGAGCTTTTCTTCCCCTAAAATTCTGAAACATCCCATGCGCTAATATGAAATTCCCGGTAACTGGTTCACACATTTTACTACGGTTCTCATTGAATGGTCGACGAGGGAGCGAGGGTAAAACCAGTTTGGCAAAATCGTGAAGCCATATATCACGAGGTGG